GCGCGATGAGACAGCATCAGCAACCACATGTACAGCAATTCCCTTTTCGAGCATATCAAGCGCTGTATGCAAAACACACACATGCGTTTCAATGCCACATAATATCACAGACTGGGATGATTCAAGTATTTTGATCACAGATGGAATGCACATGCTGAATCTCTTCTTCTCAAAAACTGGTATATTATGTTTGTTTAGGTCCAATTCCGACACTGTATGTCCAAGTCCTAAAGAAAAAATTGAGTTCCACTGATTGAAACTATGGGGAAAACTCGTTTGTAGTTGTGGCTCGTAATCCCTTAAGCATCACTTTAGAATTACAGCACTCAAAACAACGCGCATGAAATGGTCTTCAACGCGCTAGGACCACACTGTTTAACGACAATCCTTTAAACTGCAGATCAAGAACCTGGGAATTCCTACTCAGATATACTTCACCTTTTGGATACTGTTCAGTGGCAATGACTTTCATATCAAGAAGTTTCGCAGCCATAATAAGGCGTTTGCTGACTTGAACAATTTCCTCAAAATACTTGATACTGTACCTGCAATTTAGGAAGAATCCAGCCATAAACCATATACTTTCCTGACCCTTCTGCTATTGAAGACAAAGAAAAAGTGAATGTTTAGATGCGAATCGACTCTAATAATAAAATTACCTGAACTTCTCCTGCATATCACAAATAAGTAATGCTGAGTCTAAGGACGACAATCGTGAAACAGCACGCGGAACAGCCATTTCTTTCCCTTTACAAATGTATCTCTGCGCCACACAAACCAAACAGGAGTATTCCCCACCACGATCACTCCAATCAGTATCAAAAAACAAAGCAAATAGAACGTGAGTACTTGTAGTCTGAGAAAAACTCCATGACTTTGTAATACCTAGCCTCCAAACGACAGTAATAACAGAATGATACCATGACTAAGTCTCAACCACCAGTTTTGCCTTCTTTAAATACAGCATGTACCCACTATCACATTCTTTTCCATTATACGAACTTCGGCAAGACATAACCTACGCAGTTTTGGAGTATAGTATACCTTTTTCAGAATAGCTTGGTAACTTTCCCAACACCTCAACAGAAAAATTTTATCGACAGCACGAAACATGAAGATGCGGTACAAACCATTTTAAAAAATAAATTAAAAAGTAAATCATCTCGCCATCGAGTGATAGATGTAGTATGCTGGCGCATATTAACAATTTTGTTTCCATGTCAGTATAAGAATCGGGTAAATACTCAACACGAGATCAACAAAAACCCACAAGTTCGACATCAAACTAAAAACTCATTACTGCAACTAATTCACTGTTTGAGCAACTTCTACTCAATTCCACAATTCAAAATTCAGGTTGATGAGCGGACCGTGGGTAACTACCAAAACTTAACAAATGCGAATTAATCAACTTCCTCCATCCTTGATGCATCTTCTTCGGCACCAACTAGGTTTGGGACACATTCATCCTTCTCACCAGAAACAGATGCAACTGCTTCTTCTTCTTCATCTTCCGTAATATCAAGCCCCAGCTGAAAAAGTGTGTTTTCTGACAAGTGTTAAATAAGAGACCCAATTCCCACGCAGCCCTTAACGCCTCCTTCTTAAACCATCGAACCTACCTTGATCATACGATATATCCTCGACGCATGCAGTTGCGGATCTTCAAGAGAAAAGCCAGAAGAAAGCAAGGCGGTCTCGAACAGTAAAACTACTAGGTCTTTTACAGTTTTATCGTTCTTGTCTGCCTCGACACGTTCCCGCAGTGCCCTGAAAACAAACCGATAAAGTTAATTGAAAAGGTCAATCCTAATGAAAAAGTCCCATAAACACAACCAACGTACTTAATTACAGAATGATCAGGATTGATTTCGAGGTGTTTTTTGGCAGCCATATAGCCCATCGTCGAAGAATCTCGCAATGCCTGCGCTTTCATAATCCTCTCCATATTAGCAGACCATCCGTACTCAGACGTGACAATACAACACGGAGATGAGACCAATCGATTGGATACAGCAACTTTCTCCACCTACAATGTATTATTACACGAAAACATTAAAATCAAAGTGTCCACAACTGCAAAGAAATTGACAAAACCTTTAATTCTATAGCTTGCACCACAAAGACTCATCTCTCAAACCCACAGAACTGAACTGACCCCTCCTACTTCTGCACTTTATGTTTCATACGCACCAAGACCTTGGCAGTACTCTACGCATTACGGAAATCAGATAATTTGTTAATCCATTATTATGTACCTTTTTTCCAAAATGTCCTTCATAACTTTGCACAGATTCTCAAATTTAACTTTGTCTTCCTCGAATTTCTTCTTCTCCTCCTCACTTTCAGGAAGTTCAAGACCTTCCTTCGTGACTGAGACCAGTTTCTTCCCATCATATTCCTTCAACTGCTGTACACAGTACTCGTCTATCGGGTCGGTCATGTAAACTACCTGCAAAAATTTGTAAACAATGAAGAAAACTGCAATGACTGTTTCAAATGACCGTATCACAAACCTCGAAACCGCGTCTCTTCACACGCTCCACGAACGCAGAGCTGGCGACCGCTTCTCTGGATTCACCAGTAATAAAATAGATCTGCTTTTGGTTCTCTTTCATACGGCTGACATAATCCTTTAGTGAAGTCATTTCCTCACTGGATGCTGATGTGTAGAATCGCAAGAATTCAGAAAGTTTCTTACGATTGGTCGAATCCTCATGGATACCGAGCTGCAGTTAATTACGTGTTAGCAGGAAGAGTAACATATCACATCCACCATCTACTTTATACGCAGAAGAAAACGCACCTTTATATTCTTCGAGAACTGTTCGTAGAACTTCTTGAAGTTATCTTTGTCTTCCGCGATTTCATCGAACAGTTCGAGGCATTTCTTCACCAGATTCTTGCGGATGACCTTCAATATTTTGGACTGCTGCAACATTTCGCGCGAAATGTTCAGCGGCAAGTCTTCGCTGTCAACGACGCCCTTGATGAAGTTCAAATATTCCGGCATCAGCTCGTCACAATTCTCCATGATGAACACTCGACGAACATAGAGCTAAACAGAGAGTACATAATGCCGTCGCTCAAAAATTGTACAATCTTAATTTCTTCCGTTAAAATTATATGCATCCTGAATGCCTCCGAACAAACCTTAATAGCATTCTTCGTCTTCTTATTCTCGAACAAATCAAACGGCGCACGCTGTGGTACAAACAACAAGGCGCGGAATTCAAGCTGGCCTTCAACTGAGAAATGTTTGACTGCAAGGTGATCTTCCCAATCATTCGACAACGACTTGTAGAACTCCGCATACTCCTCGTTGCTTATGTCATCGGGATTCCGAGTCCAAATAGGTTTCGTCTAAATGAAAAGCCTTCAAAATCAATTCAACCGAGCGACGTACAACATATATGCTACCCAACCAAACTCACGTAAGGTGAATCAGCTATATCACTACCTAAATTTTCTAGTCCTACCTTGTTCAGTTCCTCATCTTCGTGGTACTTCTCCTTGATTTTCTTTTTCTTCTTGTCTTTCTCCTTCTTATCTTCATCCTCATCTTCCCCAACATCCTCAATTTCACCCTCCTTTTTCTCCTTGTCTTCGTCTTTCTTTTCGTCCTCCGCTTCATCATCAGAAACTTCCTTATCACGTTCTTTCTCCACAGTAAGTTTAATCGGATACCCGATAAACTGTGAGTGCTTCTTCACGATCTCTTTTATGCGACGCTCCTCAAGATAATCCGTCTGGTCCTCCTTGATGTATAGTGTGATTTTGGTGCCACGGGTAAGTTCCGGATCGTTCACCTGTCGAATAATAAAGGAACCTAAAAACACACTTCCATAATTCCTCAGTAGTTTCTAGCGTGTAACTACAACTAATAAATGCATTCACTTCGACAGATAATTAAACTACCTCCGGCAGACGACTCCCACTGGTAACAATCATCATCATTGTGCTTGGAAGCCACAACAACCTTATCCGCGACCAAAAATGCGGAGTAAAACCCAACACCGAACTGTCCAATCATGGAGATATCAGCACCAGCCTAAAGTACATAATTGATATAATGAGTAAAACCTGAACTGAATGCAATCAAAACTCGAATGTTAGAAGACAAGGCATACCTGAAGAGCTTCCATAAACGCTTTCGTACCAGATTTAGCGATCGTGCCCAAATTATTAACCAAATCTGCTTTGGTCATACCAATCCCTGTGTCCATAATGGTCAGCGTTTTATCAGCCTATAAGAACTTAGGTAGAAGACCAACTATTAATAACCAGTGCAAAAGGCCCGACTGCTTCAAGTCTGATAAGCAGTTTGATTCTGAAAAAGAAATACGGTGCACCAACAGTAAGGCTTGAGAAACACAACGGAGATGTCAAAATTACCTTATTCGGGGTAATCTTGATGTATAGCTCTTTCCCACTTTCCAATTCGGCCGGTTCGGTAAGTGCCTGATACCGAATCTTGTCGAGGGCATCCGAAGAGTTTGAGATCAGTTCACGAAGGAAGATCTCCTTGTTGCTGAAAAGGGACAAAGAGTATGAAATCCTGAACCAACGTCCACTAACACAGTGCAGGTAAATTTCCTCTTCAACAGTAAAGAAGACTACTGACCTGTAAAATGTATTGATAATAAGACTCATTAGCTGGGCGATCTCCGCCTGGAACGCGAACGTTTCGCCGTTCATTTCTTCCGACATTGTTGCTGGTTTTCGTCAGATTATCAGAAATCCTGCACGCAAGAGCTGAAATTTGAAATTAGAAGTGCATATAAGATATCATTACGTGGGTAGTGACCTCGTATTGTCTCATGTCTTGCTCCCACCTTACAATTAGCCACTTCACTGCCTTAAACAATTACCCCACAACCCGCCAACATACCACATTAGGACAGCAACGCCCATAACAACCTCCACCACCCCCCCTCCAACAACAACCGAACCACCCCAATCTACTCCATCACCCCTCACAGCAAATACCACCACGCTACTGTGTTCCCAAGATCCGAGTATACGCTTTTATACCATCCGGCCCTAGGAATGTTCTAGAACCACTGGTAGGCGGTGCTTGTAATGACGACGACCAATGAATGAATGGTGCGATATTTGGCCGAGGTCGGCAATAGAATGTTCTGGAAGATTCTGTAAGGGATTTCGAGGGTATGCACATTTGAGGGGGATGGAACATTCTAGAAAATTCTCGGAGGTGTGTATGCATATGGAGTTACTTCCTCTCAAGCAGTAAAGTTCCATTTCCAAAGGGGGTTCGGGGATATTTCATTTGTCGGGGAAAGTTTCGTAGCAAGAAAACAGGACATGGTTTATGCAACATTCGGATGCGTAGTGCGCGCGCGAACTGTTAATGTCCGAAACCTTTTTCCGGTTGTTGTGGCCCAATTAATGCTAAGATTGGATGCAAATGTTTTTTCTGTAGAAGTTGGAGCAAATAATGCAGTAAGCAAGATTACTGGACGGTTATCAATCCTTCTTCATCGCCGATGCACTTCAAGATAACAAATCGCATTCACGTGAAGTGAGATTTAATGGGAAGTTATGATAGAAGACTGTTTTTCAGGTAACCCTTCTCCCCTCTTCATACAGAGTAAATTTTGTCTTTGAATTACTGACGGAAAATAATATTCAATAGAAGTAATATGCCAATGCTGTCTAATATCCAAAGAACTAAATCTCGAATTGAGACCTTTTCTCTTTCGTTCGCTTCATTTTAATTAATGCTATCAAATTTCATTTGTGTTGTGCACTTATACCGTGAGATGGTTATGAATTTTATGTTAATGTGAGAGGCAATTTGAATCTTGCAAGATAGCAACGATTGGCAAAGGAGATGTTGCTATCACTAACCTCACGTATTCAATGTTTGTGTAACACCAGTAATGAAAGCGGTATGTTCTCCCAACAGGCATCGCTGTAATTCTCTCCAGAACAAATAACTTTATTTAATCTACCAAAAAACAAAGCCGGAAAGAGTTGATGAAAATAAAAAGTAACATCATTAAAATCACAGTACACGTCTGCAGTTGGGAGAAGCAAACGGATGTTTGCGTAAATGTTGCTACCTGTTTTAATCATATTTGGACCGCAGATACATTCATTTCAAAGGTATATTCGTAAATATATTCGAAAAAAGAAAAATCTTAACAACGTAAGAATATTACTGCAGCATGAATGGGAAAAAAGTAAAAACCACGACGAAACATATTAGAAAGTGAAATATGCGTTTTCGATCAGATATGTCAGCGAATCTCAGCAAAATCTGCTGTGATCGCCACAGAAAATGATTCTGCTCATAATGGTGGGTTTAAAGTATCGAAAAAGAGACCTAAAACCCTAACAGTGAGGACCGAAGCAGGATTTCTGATAATTTGTCACTACTTACAATTTTGAAATTTAACCATCACTGACATGAGACCCAACAGCTGAAAATCATAGCTCCTAGTTGCAAAAGAAGGTGAGGCTATGTCCTTTACATTGTGAACTGTGCTAAAAAGAGCGACTTTTCCAAACCAAATAGCGCAACTCTTTGACTGAAAATCGGTCTTCTTGGATCAAAGGTTTTTTCATCTCTCAAGAAGTCACGCTTCTCATATAGTTATTATATTAAAAGTAATTAAAGTTAAAACTGAGCAAGAAAATACCAAAAGGAAATTTCGGAAAGAACTGCTAATGCTAATTGGAATGACATTAATCTGAGCTAGATAGTTGAATATCTATGATAAATCTTACCAGTCAACAAAGCCATACCAACTTCAACTATGAAAGAGTAGTCAGTATTTTAAAATGTGCATAAGACTTCCTGTTTTTTGATGTTACTCACAGCACTGACGACAATGAGTCGAAAAGTTTTCGGAACGATTCTGACCAAAATATTTACTTGTCCAAAGGCAAACATTACATCAGAGCACTAACAACATTCGGAGTGTTACAAACAACATGCGCGGATCAGTCAATAATGGAAGGAGTTAAAATTGCATAGCTATCATTGGTTCAGCATTTTCGTCGGCGTCAGGATGAAGACTTTTCCTGAAAATAAGAAGTAATATTTGTAAAAAATTAAAGTTCAGATGAGTTCCGCAAAAACATTTGCTGAAAATATGTGAAAAAAAAAGCTTGCTTTATCTTGAGAGCAAAGTAAACGGTGTTTTAAAAACAGTAATTTTAGATGGTTCCATTAATGAAAATTTTGGATTTGCTTCATCAATAAATGCCCTAAACATTAGCTGTTAATTACTTCAAATGATTTCATTCTTGAAAAGTTAGATGAACGAAGAATCGTAAGGTTTACTTGTATTTTTCAAAAGAGGCATGGTCAATTTGAAGACTTGTTGCAAAAACAACATCATCATAATTAGCTACAAGTGGTCGTAATTTAGATTCCGTTTGTTCAAAGCTATCGGATCTCTTACGCAATTCTGGCCGGAGCTTTGGCAATTTATCTGAAAATATAAGAAAAGATGGAGCCAATCACTAAGATTTAGGAATCGAAAGATTGGATAGGTTAACAAAAAAAGTCCTATATCGTTTGGCCATTTTGTAATTTGCACAAACGAAACACAACAAACAAAATATAATGATTTGGGAGAAAAAAAACGATCCGCAGACTTACTTGCATATCTTATACCCGGCTTAGTCATTCTTGACGTGTACCTTCCGGCCATTTTTAATGATGGCATTAGAGCCTCACGTACCGATTCAGATAAGGAGGCTATTTCCGCAATCTAAGAAATGCATTCTTTATTTAAATTTTGATTTCTAATTTACCAATCAGTATATAAAAATATAGAACTGGTATCATCCGGATTTAATGTAACCCATTTTGCAGACTTGAAAATGCAAAGTTCAAACATTATCCAAGTAATACGCATAACAAATATTCAGAAATACTGCTTCAAAATAGGAAACTGACATTTTCGCAATCCATCAGTTCTTTCTGCACTAGTTTAATTGTTTTTTCACTAAAAGGGTCAGGAAATCCATCGCCGTAAATATTTTCGAACAAGAGCGCATCCCAGTTGACGGTATCATAATCTTCCATTAAATAGCTGAAATATAACAAGTAACATATCAATGACTGATTCATATTTCTGTGCGAAATCCATTTTTGAGTTATTGTTCAAAAGGTATCAGCTGCGAACGATCAGCAGATTCGATTTTGATGGAACGTTACGTCCCAATTGATATTAACAAAAAAGAAAGAAAGAAAGAGAAAGAGATGCCGGAAAAAATAGTTCCTTTTGTATTAATGAACCATTTTGTCACTACCAGAACCGAGAAATACATTTTCTCCATATCTGTATCTAGAATATTAAGGACAGAAAAACTAAGGACTTTTAATCAGTCCTAAAATGACACAATTAAGGATGAGTTCAAACATAATGAGTATTCCAGAAAGAGAACCTATAAAGATAGAATGAATTTTCACGAGGAAATAATGGAACAAAGGCACCCAAACGATCAAATTCCATTTTCCATCTTTCCAAGCTATTTCGGGCACGCTCTTTATTGTTTGTGTAAATTTTCGTTGGACTGAAGGAAGGTGAGAGACATCGGATTGATTTCCTCTGAAATTTTTTTTGTGAAAATGAAAATGATATTAAATCGTTTTTGATGGAAATTATTATTTCCATCATGGTAATAACTAAATTCGTGCAAGTGTTCACTTTATAACACTTTCTGAGCAATAACCTTTTAAACATTACTCAAAAGTAATATTAAAAAACCAAAGTCTGTTTCGTTATAACAAAAATCAAAAGAAATTAACCTTTAAACGCTGAGCAATGAACAATGTTGCATCTTTTGACATATACCTCTTCCTATTTGAAGCAGAAAAAGCAGCTGAAAGAAAAGTTAAATTTCAAAGTCTCTACCTGGAATTTTTTTTTGGGACTATCTGAACCAACGTTTATAAAAAATTTGATATGACTATGATTAAGAGCTCAGTATCTTTAAATAATTTTTTCGTCAGAGCGGGAAATAGCGAAAAATAAACGCACAAGAATTGGGAAATCGGCCTTCTGTGTATTTCTGAGAAACAAGTGGTACAGCAGCAAGCGTAAGAACATTACAAACTAAGGAAGACTTCAGTTGCAAATCTAGTGGGGTGTCGCTGTAACCAAAAAGAGTTTAGCATTGGAAGGAATATTATCCATGAATATTAGCATATAAAGACCTCCTAGATGTGTTTCATCGTAGCTTATAACCTACTTTTAGTACTCAGTTTTTTTATACATATGCAGGTATAAACCGAAACTGCAGTGAATTCAGAATCAGCTGACATCCTTAAGCTACTACCTTTGAAATGTTGCAAGTGTTACCGGAGAAGAGTGCATCAATAGTACTGATAAATTGAGTCCATCATAGGGGAGAATGAAACAAAATCAAAGAAACTTGATAAAATGGAGATCAGTGAATTAGTGAAAATAATTGCAAAACTACTAGTAACCAACCAACTTAAACTGGGTGATAGATTCACCTCCAAAAGCCACGGTTTAAGGCCAGTATCAATCAGTATGTCGAAACCAAACAATTCAAAGCAACATTTGGAATGTACAACGACATTTTTACTCGCTGCCGCGATTTGTCCTTGTACAGAGAATAAAGCTTTCAATACGACATCTTCCACACGTACCATCAGCACTGCAATATCCATTTCTATAGCTACTTTTTGTCCTACTCGAATTTTATTTAAACCAAAGGACACACATCTAGCAATATTAAAGAGAATAATAAAAATGATACTAATGAACATAATCCATATCTATCTTAAGAACTTTACTTCAGCAGATATACTTTGTGAAACCACTGAGACTAACATTTTTCTGGAATATACCTCCCTCCATATTAAATCCTAACTAGTGACTTCCGGAAAATGACTTCTAAGGACTCATGTTAGAATTATTCAACATTGCAATAGCTGAATTACAGGGAAAAAAGAAACATACAGTTTGTATCTATTCCATTAGTCTGCAATTTTCGGAGTAGGGCACCTAATGTCCACTTGTGACCACTATCCTCAGTATTAGCACTTTCATTCCTGAAAATGATTAATCAATCCTTCAGTCCTTGTTTCCAAAGTTTATAGTAAAGTCGAAAATCTGAAACACAATGAAAATATTTTTGGCATTCACCTGATAAATTTTCCATTGTTTTTGTTAAGTGAATAGTTGGTAAGATGCGAAAAGCGTTGCTCATAGCTTTTTGCACTACTGGAGTATCTTTCCGAAGCAAACCGTGCAAGTCCTTCACTGTACATATAAGCAACCAATGGATAAAATGACGTCACTAATACATATAATCTGAAAAAAGACTGAAAACTATGAGAACTTTTCGAAAATTTCGGGTTCGGATTCATTGTCACTATAAAACCCTGGGTTCCAGTTCATTGTCACTGTACTTTCGAAATTGCTACATATTTCATAATTTTACGAATCTCTCCAAAATTTCTTTTGCAATTCCTAATTATTTTATAGAAAATAATGATGCGGTTCTGGAATCTTTTTGGAAGAACTACCCCTCATTTCAGAATCCTTTTTTTGATCTAACTGAATCAAAAACTATAAATTCGAGAACTAATTTAGGACCAAGATCTGGTTTTTCAAAATCCGGAGATGTCACTTGTGCAAAAACTGATGACACATTAAAAAATATATGAAGAACTCAAGTCTATGGAGCGCTTACTGGAATTAAAGTTTAACTTTTGTATACTATCGGAATCTTTTCTCATAGAATCGGAAGCGAACAACTAATTCTGATGCAGGGATGGCAACTCCAAAGCACTGTTGACAATCGAAAAAATTTCTTGAACACAATTTGACATTTAACAAATCGAGAAAACATTGAACATCATGACTAGTTAGAGAGAATTGATCCATACTAGTGATATTCCAATTAGCGAAGTATATTATAAAAAATTCATACTGGAATTTTTATGTAGAACACTTGCGAATGGTAGTGTTCGGGATTAGTAGTGCAATCAGTGGAAGATACTATTAATACCTTATACTCCGCACTAAAAACACTGGAAATCGCAATTATCGCAAACTCCTAACAACAAACCTCAAATCAAACTTGTGCCCGTTGAGCAGATATGGATTTTCGATGTAACGTGAAACCAACATTGGAGATCCGAGTGGTATATCTCCAGGCTGAAGAAATTATTTGGAAAAATATTAACAAGTCTTCTAATTAGAACTTGATTAATTTGAAAAGATGATCCTATAATTTAACAGGCTCTTGGCACTTCCCATAATATTATCTAGGAATAAACAAATCAAAAATTTCTGACAATCCTTTGAGTTTATAAAAAATGCACCCGAACGGAGGTCCAAACATTATAAACTTACGCTCTGGATAATAAAAATGCCATTGCCACGTGAAGAAGCAACCGGTTTTACGATAAAAGGTTTCAAACCGTGAGATTGTCCATTGAAATGATCAACAAATTTCTGATAATCTTTCGGGGTGACAAAAAATTCCGGGATCTGAAATAAAATTAAGTAATTTAATAATGCGATCTGGAAGTATATGAAGAATAAAATTTAACTAAATTTCTAACATACGAGTTTTAGGCGAAAAGAAGAAAGGTAATTTAACAAGTAATTGTTGTCTTCCACATTCCTAAAGATGCAAAAAGGAAAGAGAAAATACCAGCAAAACTTCATTTGTAGATTTTTTGCACATTTCACCATAAATAATTGAATACTAAGAAAAGTAAAATTGAACGCACAATATCGTAGGAAGTTCCAAATAAGGTCTGAGCCCGTCCCAGACATTCGTATAGCTTATCTTTTCTCGTCAGCAGAAAGCTTTTTGGAAAGTGATTCACACGCTGCCTGCAAAAGGTAAGGCAGATGAGGTGTTTTAATCACTCGACCGATTTTCAAAAGTAAATTTTTGGTGATATGGTTAAATTAAATCATGACTCAAATGCCCTGAGTTAATAGAACTCTAGAACTTATCGATACTGAACTCGCCTTTCGAAACTGGGATTATACAGATGTTACACTTTTTAAATGTCATTTTTGCAAAATGATCTGCGAAGTGGTGCTACTTCGACAGTTCTAACAATCATACCTTGGAAAGAAAACTGACTAAAATATGCGTAGAGAATCTACGATAAATTAGTTTTCAAATAATAAAAGTAATTAAGAACAATAAACATGATAAAGCTTTACTTTTCAACAGTAGTTTCTCTGCATTGTTTGCTTTTTCTAACAAAAAAAGGAAAAATAATTTTTGTTATGGAATACATACCACGACGCAGCAACATGTCAAAAAATATTGGGATTTCAAAATGCATGATTCTTCACCAAAAGTGTTAGACATCCTAATAAAATGCATAAGTAAAAGGAAGTACTAAAGTGCAAATACATACAATTTAAGGGCACACAATTTGACCCATGTAGACAAGTTTCAATTAAAATGACTTACGGAGAGTATTTAAAGCAATAAACAAACATAGACATAATTTTCAAAAGGGAGTTATACCATGATGCCATAGAACGCAAAACATGCGGTTTCAAATGTGAACCGGTCCAGATGATATTGCAATTTGAGTTTTTTGAAGAGCACTGCAACTTATGATTACTAATCACTTAGGAATGACAGTCGACAAACAAATGAATGAAAAAGTTTTATAAGATGAATGGAAGTCAAGTCAACCTGTTCAAATCCATAGCTGTGCAATATTGTCTTTACAAGCGCTTGATTACATTTGATCATCTTGAAACGTAAATGATATTTTTCACCGATTCGTGCGTATTTATTGCAGTCTTTCAATTTCTTCCCACTTTTGCTAGCATATTTCAGCGCAGCCGATGTGAATTTCAATATCTGAATACCACCACTAGTTGAAATGAATACTAAAATTCGGACAAAGAAAATTAAATTCTACTGAACTACTAACATAAGTGGAACGTAAGGAATACATATCAAAGTAAGGGAAGATTTATGAACTCGTAGTATCATAGGTAAAGGAACGGGTTAAAAATGATTCCAAGAAATGTTTGAATCAGCGATGGAATTTTCAAAGTATGCTAGCAAGGTGAGACTTACATAAAGCATAAGTAAGGAGCGAACAGAGATATAATTGAGTAATTAAGAGTGTAAGGACAGGAAAAGACCATGTCACACTCGATGTATTCTGAGATGTAAACGTAAATATATCTCTAAAAATTATGGAACAAAATCCCGCTTTGGATGAAATTAGTACCTTGTAATCTTACTGAAATCTAATAAAGGCAAACGATGACCTCTCCTTGCGTGACGCTGATCTCTTTCTGACAATCGTCACCTTCACTCACCTCCATCTCTTCCGTTTCGTCAGGCATTTTCGCGAGCTCTAAAAGGGCATTCAAACAAAATTTCACCATAGCGTTATTTTATCTATCATTAAATCGGATCTTTCCTAGGTCAAAATATAAATCAAAAAAGGACACAAATCAAAACCTTCAAAGAACTCAACATTATAGAGAACGACAAACGAAATAGGTTCCGCCGCAATTACTGAACGGCCAGCGGAGGTGCAGGGTTCAAAGAAAGGTGATGCGGTGGTAGGAGAGGGCGGGCTGTCTTTCACCTTTCAGGTTTTCAAACTCTTGACTTGTCTCAGCTCATTTTCACCCTTACAGTGGAAGAGTTTCTTGGAGAGATGACAATTTTTCAGAAGATGTGGTGGGTAAACTTCAGTACCGATACATTTTTCGTAGTCCGCTACGAATTAGTTCTTTCAGTTACAGCTTGACATTAGGGGGTTAGAGTAAACGAGACTTTTTTGATTACCACTAAATACCTGGACATGGTGAGAGATGTGGAACAAAGAAAGATAAATTATTTGCTGGAGTCCCTCATAAAAATCAAAAAGGAAAAAAAAGTGCGGAAATTACGTTTTAATAAGAAGCTACTAATCAATTTTATTGGTTCTAATCTTTTCCTTCGTCTCGCTTAGTTGGTTTGTCATTTCAAATCACATAAATTTTTAAGTTCAGATGTTGTTTATTATAAAATTTTAAAGTAAAATTCTCGGGTTTAAAGCTTTACATACATATTCATCAGGGACCGATAATAAACGTGGGCAGTGGCGTAGTAATGTATATAGGTTACAATACCTAACGCATCATTTCTACATTTGTACAAACCATGACGCTGTAAATAAATATTATCATCAATAAATAATATTAAGCACTTTTATGATCTAATCTTGTTTCATTAATATTTTCATTTACATTTTTTGATAATTTAACGTTGCTGCTGTGTGTGTTCTGTTCGAAATGCTTCTCAACCTTTATTTAGAAAAGCTTTCAATTGGCACGAGAAAATTATGCTGGATATTAAGATTGCAGAAATGGTATAATCACCGTCGATAGACTTATCCTCGCATAAGCGCTTAAACTTTGGTTTTAGCTGCTTTAACAAGCACAGACATTGCTCTTTTCGGACAGGGACAGTACGCTGCATCCTTTCCTGGAATTCCTGGTGGTCCTGGAGTTCCCGGTGGTCCACGCAAACCTGGTGCACCGCTACTTCCAGGCTGTAATTTTTAGAATATTAAAAAATCAAGAAATTTGAAAAGTTCAGCAAATGAAAGTTGTGAATAAGGATTATTACGTTCATTCTTTTTGATGTTTCAGATTAACTTACTTCTCCCTGATGTCCTTGATAACCAGGTTGTCCTGGCTGTCCTGGACTACCGGGAGGTCCGGGTTGGCCTTTCGGTCCGACTTGTCCAACTGGGCCTGCTGGTCCACGAGGTCCCTTGCGTCCAACAACTCCTTCACTTCCTGGTGGACCTGGCTGACCTGGTTTGCCATCCTGTCCTGGTTGGCCTGGAATATAAAAAAAGGGAAAGATGGAGACATTTGCGCTATTTATAGTACAATCTCCGAAGCTGTTTTATTCTAAAAAAAGTTGGCAGGCAATGCTACGGAACATTAATTTATTATATTCACCTGCAAGTCCAGGAGGTCCTGGTGGTCCGCTATTGCCTGGACGGGCATCTTGTCCTTGATTGCCTGTTGGCCCTTTCTCACCAGGTGGTCCCATTGGTCCTCGTGGACCTGGTTGTCCAATTGGTCCTGGTGGACATTGTTTGCAACCGACCGCGGGCTGAAAAGTCATTGGTGGTACAATTCCAGGTAAGCCTGGTCCTCCTGAAACGGTGCATAATGTCATAAGGCGCATGGATGATTTTTCAATTATCCTTTGATGGCAAAAATAAACCTTATATTTTTGTGCGACCTAAATTCAAAACATTTGATATTTTGACAAAATTTGAATGTAAAAAGCTGCTGATACGAGTCTCTTAGATACTTTACAAGTCATACCTCGTTGGCCAGGGGGTCCTGGAATGCCGGGTGCTCCCGGAGATCCAGGTCTTCCAGGAGGTCCTGGTGGGCATCGGTCGCCAAAGTCACAGTTGCAAACTGGCTCCACTTGACGTTCTTTGCGGCTACGTGGCTCACTATCACGAGTAATTATCATTTCACTCCATACTTCCTGCTCCAGTATCTACAATTAATTGTATGCGAATCTCAGTAAATGTTTCGAACGCAGATTGAACAAAAGGGACAATAGAAAACTGAATTTCTTACGACTCTAAAATTTGTTTGCTGATGTTTTGAATTGAAAGGAATAATTCTCACTTGAATTTCTTAAGCGGTGAAAATAACTAATTCTCAAAACAACCTACGCGAAAGAGATCCATTTTGACAGCCAGACTACCACGGATGTCTTCCATACGTCCCATCAAGTACGGAATATAAAAGAAACACGTCGCAATTCCGATCACCGATGCACAACTCGACAAACTTCCTGCTATCTTCGACATTTCGTGAGAACTGCATGCTTTAGTTATCGGATGAGACTTCCTTAAATACTGCGTATGCCTAGGTGTAATAGCACGCAAAGCGAAATGATGTTTTTCAATAGGTACACAGTATTTGTACTTGTTAAAAACCGGTCGATCACAGAAGTGGAACGTACATCACGCCATCCTACATAAGACACAAGTTAATCAAAAAAAGAGAAGAGTATGCATCACTCTTCTATGTTTTCTTATGGGGATTATAAAAAGATGTTTTGTAATTTTTTTTAAACACCATTTTTGGCTTTTTATTTTCATCTCCTTCTAAATGATTAATGATTTCATGTCTCGGATCTTAAATCAAACTGATAAGATTGATCGATTTGTTATGATTGCCCAACTTACAAAAAAATCCCACGTTTTATGAACACTAGCCAGCATCGCACACTGTAAAATACTGTTGTCACAATATTAGCAACTACAGCAGACTTTCGCTTTCCTCTCTTGTTTGCTTAATGCACCTTTGATCATCCTGGCTTACTTCTTTCAAGATCTGGTGGCTTATCTGTTGAAAGCCTGTTCCCGAATGTAAAAAACCCTAGAACCTCAAGAAACCCTAAAAACCCACTTATATATTCCCGAAACATATGAGCATAACCACTGATATCTAAAATTTGGGGGACCATCCATCAACCAATGGTAACAGCAAACTGTTGCATGCCATGTTTTCAGAAAACAATGTTCCGAAAATATTTCTGTAAGTAACTCAATAATGATATCGCCAATGAAGATCGGTGGAACGGCAAAGATGTCAAATCAGCTTCACGTATTTTCAAAATACTCAATCTAAATGCAATGGCGAAACTCCCACTTTTTCTAAAAACTCTCCGGATTGGAATATTCAAAATTCTTGGAATCAGATTTCTCTTCTTCCCCTCCAAACTCACTTCACTGCACATAAAAAGTGGAATTCATTTGAAAAGAGCATATAATAGCACTGTTTATTATCATTCACGTGCAATAATTTATGATACTTGAAGAGAATGAAATGACTCTCAATTCCTCAATGCATAGTCAATAAATTATGACAAAACAATGATAAGATTAAAGTGAAGAAATGTCACATTTACAGAATCCATTTATGGAAATTTCTCAAGCACTTCGCGAACGGAAAATTACTCAACTCAAATTTAGTAGAACAAAATAACATTATTTGGCTATAAAATATTTGGAGCTATCGAAGTTTTCTAACCACCATTTACCAGCTTCTGGCAACCTATCCGGCTACGAACAATTAATGACACATTCTTTATGGTGCCTCTTTCAAGAAGAGATTGTTGATTTCAAAGCACTGGATGCGACATATTATAAAATATGTCTTATGATTCGTCGCTTCAGAAACTAATGCGAGTTTAAATCAGCAAAAAATTGCCACAATTTTGTTTGAAGGACGAAACGAATGGATGCATAACAAGATGAGGTTACATGAAACGACAAGGAATAAAGAAGAAATAGCCGGAAACCATCAAGGCCAAACTGGAAAGCCATTACGCCGCATCTCGTTTTGTCGTACATTAGCTTTCAAAACTGCCTGAAATGATTTTTGAAACAGTTTTTCCTTTTACATCACATTTTTGCTGCTGTAATAAGCTGCTAGTAGTCCACTTTACACTAGATGACAGGTTTAATTTGAGGCATATTGAATATTCGTATTTCAGCATATTCCAAGGCATTCAATAAAACGGTAACTATAAGAAATCTATAAGTACGCAATTCGAAAACACAGATTTGCATATTTAGGTGTGGAGGAAATTTTCCAAATAGAATTTTCGAAAAAAATTGGCACCTTTGTGTTTTCTTCATCAATCTGTGTGTACTCAGTAGGACAGGCAATTTTGTGCCGCTGCGAAGATTTAATAAATGGCTGTGATTGTGCTAGTGGTTCCCTCATAGGATCAAGATAATCCAGCGTGTCATTCGTAGTTCTCACTGCTTCATTACCGTACAGAGCTTCCTGACCAACTGAAATCTTGAAAAAAAACATTTATTGCTTTTTCACCAATGACCAATCAAAAATATATGCTAGTTTGGCATCCACTCAGCACAATTTGCACAAAAACGATAAGAAAATTGTCAAGAAAGACATCCACCTCTTACTTGTTTATTCCACAGTGCTACAGGATGCAAAGATTGTTGATATGAAAGATTAGTTGGTAAAAATCGCAAGGATGTCTCAAATGTCTCGCTTTTTCTAAACCGACAAATAAATTTTATGTTAACGAAACTATGTTCCATCACACAACATTAGATTCGTTATAAAAAACAACTAAATATCTTGTAAAAAATTTGATAGTATGCAGAAATTAATCCATTCTAATTTTCTTTTCCTCGTAAACTGCTAAATTTCAATTCTCTATTCCTTCACTCACTGTTAACCTTCCTTTTCAGATAATTTTGAGATGCTCATTGAAGTCACAAAAATAGTACTTCCACCGACCAGCAAATCAAAGTATTAAATAAAACTGTCTAAAGCACGGTTGAAACAACCTTTTAATATTAGAATTTGCATAATGATAGAATTGACTTGTTTTTACCTATCATCGGTACTAGATCTTTCCTGACCAGTGTTTAGAGCGATATATTTGATTCCAGTCGGCTTACAAGATCGGTCTACCTAGAATTATATAAGTTGACAAACTCTTTAAAGGTTTAAATAAGCAATCAGAAGATCAGATCAAGAAAGTTACCATTTTTAAATGCCCTGAACATGACATGAACTGCTTTACCTCAGGAGGAATGTTGTGGAAGTTACGGCGACGTGGAAACAGTTTAGGAGCGTTCGAATCAGAAACAATAGGTGTTAGGGGAGAATCAAATAATAAAAAAGTACCATCTCCATTGATCGAGCCAACTCTATCTCTAAAGAAGGGAATGAGAAATAATTTGGGTTTCGATCTCATGACATAAAACTTCAAGATACTACAAAATCTTGAATCTATTAGAAAAATGACATACGGACGAACTGTTTCGTTGCTCCACTCTTCCTCTTTTACACTAAGAATCTCATGAACATCTGCAGGATTCACTGGTTGATCCAAAATATATCTACCTAAAGCATAACCATAACTCACTAAGAAGCCTACAGTATTGTGTCTTGGCATTTTAGTTCAACTTCTCAATGAAAATTTCGAATTTGCATGCTTTTGAAATCATTTGCTTTAGCCTTTTGTCTCGATCGAATAAATATGTATATTCTAAACATCTAAACCCCTAATTCTTAAGATATGACTGAAGATTTGGTGAGTGGATGAAAGAGTATATTTAAGTAAAACCTGATTCCAAAACGTGTTTTCCGCTTTTCTCTGCACGTGAACGACGGTTTGGTTTGGGTGGTCTGAAGTTATAACTTCAACCATAACTGCGTTTTTAACCAAGATATGCAACTAAATTATGAGAAATATATGGAAGAAGTTAATTTTCACTTAGCCATGAAATTCAACTCACATAGGAGGAGGAATCAAGGACGAATTCTTGAATGAAAGGTTTTCTGATAAAGTGGATGAACTAGCGATGCATGAGCATAAAGATGCTGAGCTGCTTCCTGCAAATCCTTCTTATTCGAGAAAAAAAACTTTCCTAAATATTCAAGGATAATCATTAACATTTCGTTGGCAACAGGCAAAAGAAAAATTGAAATCGTAACACGCTTACCTAATGAATGCGCTGACGAGCAATCCTTTAAACGTATATAAGCATTAGCGGTCACGGTGTCTACATAATCGGCATTATTAGTAATAACATTTGAAAACATCGGCGACTCTACCTGATAAATTTGTGTAAACTTAGATCATCCCGTTAAAAGTGCAATCCGCTATAGAAATCCTTAATTTCATCGAGAAAGTGAAAATCAAAAAGCAAAATAAATGGAAATAAAATATATCGTGAAAAAGAGTCCTAGTATTTCTGCAATACAGTATAACTTTGAAGACCTTAAAAATAACAAGAACCATCTTTTTTTAAAGACATCTCTCTATGATAGTTTATTTTGCACTCATTTTATAATTGTTCCACTTGAGAATTATTCCAAATAAAAACGACTGATACTTTATTAAAACATGAAAAACATACCACAGAATTATCAGCAAAGTAACGTTCATTCATACAATCTGCTACAAGCAGAAATTTATTTGCACTTTCATCAGCAGTGTTTTCTCTAAGCACTAAAAACTGTATAACAATAATTTCAATTTCTACATTCAGATTATATCTGAATTCAGTCGCAATTTTTCCAGCACAATTTACCCTAGTCTTACGCATGCAAAAAGCCCTCTCATCCAATAGTTTGAAGTTTCTAGAACGAAAAAGAGAATTCTTGTTGAAAACAAAGTATAAATCCCTTCATAAGCTTGCTTGAATTGATTGACAAACCTTAACTGCATGAAAAATCAGAACTGTAATTAAACCAAACGTATATTCGAGCTGGTGAGGGGAAGGGGGAAAACGAAAGACAATCTTTTCGCAAAAACAAAAGAAATTCAGCAATACCTGGGACTAATTGACCGTTCTCATCATCTTGTTTTTGGAGTTTACAAGCATAACCAAATTTCATAATCCACATATTCATCTCCTAAATTATGATGCCGTTGAATATATTTTTTAAAGCAACATGACTTTGGAATAAAATATAAATATGGCATCCGCTCAACGAAAAATGATGGAGTATCAGCTCACTGTTTCGCTATGAGCAGCCAAGTACAGCACCTTCAATCTTTCACCATGCTTTGCTTTGTAATGAATTGCAAAAATCCAATTCTGGTTGCCAACTTTCAAAGAAATATTTGTGTCAACCTGGAACTATTTACGGATAAAACACATTTAATGCATTAAATTCTCTTGAATACTGCTAACCAACCAAGATTTCCTTCTCCAAAACCTTTAACCTTTCACCACACAAGAAAAAAGCTACCATTAATCTTTTCCATTTGACGTAATCCAAATATAATATTAGTTGCTAAATAAATGGTTCTGTTTTGTACGCTTAAAATATGTTTCAATAACTAGCTGAGTCGAATGTTATCCTTATGAGTCTTCTCCAGATCCTAACCTTCTTGATGATCGTTAAAATGGATTTGGAAGGCAAAACATTCCATGCAAACGTTTTTCTGTAGTGAAATATATTACATACCTCCAGCACAACAGTACAATCAGTCGAAAGCAATCAATAAATGTACAACAGAACTTTTTATTGGAGACGAATATCGCTGCAATAAATGCAGAAGCAATTTTCTTTAACTCGAAATTTGAAAAAAAAAACCTGCAAGACACGTCGTAAATCCAAAGTTTTATGAATTCTGGAGAAAGGCATACAGTCTTCATGTTGTTCCAGTAGAAATGACTCTTGACCGGGAATATCCGCATGTCGAAGTACATAATAGCGAAGCACCCATGTTGCCTACAGAGAAACGAAAATTTGGTAGAAACCAGGAAGAAGAAATTTTTTAATTACCACAATTGAAATATCCTCAACACATACAGCAGGAGACCAAAGAATCAAATTCTGGTTAATTACACAAACCAACTTCTGAAGTGAAAATAAAAGTGTAGAACTGTTCCACAACATTAATGAGGTGTTCACCAAAAGATGACATGATTCCCATAGAATAAATGAACACTCCTAGCTTCGGAGAGCTGCGGAAACAAAATACCACGGTCTTTTAATTAATCATAAATTCATAGTATATAATGCGGTTGAATTTGATAAACTTACGGAAAATTTTTTGCCAGAAAAAATCCATGGGAACTCTCGTTCTTTTAATTTTTCAAGTGCTCCCTCCATCAGAATGAGTAGCGATGAAGTCTTCTCTATCTTTATCTCACTCATTGCTCCCTTCTTTTTCATTGGTCATTCGTCCACAGCCACCCACATCGCATATCACCTAACTGAAAAAGAAATCGAACTTTTTCGAAATTCAATCACTTCTAATACGATACAAACAGATAGAAGTAAAGAAATTTTTGAAATCTTTTTCTTGCATTTAGTTGTCATAAATGCATATTCCTGCCATTTCCATCCTTCTTCTTTCAGCAATTATATAGTAGGAGAATGAAAATGTTGCTTCAGTAGAGCAATGATATCTTTCGGTGGCAGAACGTGGAAGGATTGGAGGTAGTTCAGAGCACATTTTATTTATGCATGATATAAGGGAATGAAAATCATAACAAAATCATCATAACAGTAATCACAATAACAAAACATTTAACCCTCCGCATCCCCCTCCTCCCCTCAAAGGACTTGACACTTGACCTTTTCTCGCGCTATCTCTTTGTTTCCACCATCTGAATATAGCGCTGCAGCGTAATTATAATGCGCTTGAGGTGTATTCAGGAGAGAGCGCGTGGATTTAATTTGAAGTGACGGACAGGTGGAATGAGGAGTTAACGGCAACCAGTGCTAAACACGAGGGCTTGACATACGTGGGTTGTCATTCTATGCAGGCTGTCGAGTCCTGTGCTTTCGGTCTATGATCATACTCTCCCGATATTCCTCTTGTTAAACACAACATGGCATGTGCTTCTCCTGTATAAATACGCATGCACAGAATATACAGTGCAACTTTAGAAAAGATTTGAAATTAGTTTGCAAACTCCTTTAGATAACCAGGCCCGTTTATAAGTTAGCACTGCCATGATGCTATAGAGAATGTTGGTGAGAATACTACAGTTGACAGTTTCCTGGACAATAATTAAACAGTGGAAATATCGTTTCGAATTAATTTTTGTCTCTTGAGTCCACTCGATACATGATACAGGCAAGATGTTATCAAGAGAGGTAGACATAATTCTACAGTTCAATACCGAGACTTGATGCCATATGTCGGAGAAGCTAATTTGTTGATTCATTTATAGGAAATATAGGTTTATTTGGGTTGTAATATTGTATTCACATAATATTACTAGTAAACAACAGTAAGAAGAAATAAATGTAAAGCACACAATCAATTGGTAAGCAATAACAAAAAGTAGAATTATACAATGAACAAGCGATACGATCAACTTTACTAACAAGTCCCTTGTCGTTGTCTTCGGTAATGGTTCAATGTCGCTTCGTTAATACATTTCGTAATAACTGAAGTATATATTGTCGACATTCATTAAGCTGGGAGATATGCTGCCGGGAAGGTATAAAATGTAAAGAAAGGAAAAAGAGGAATAGAGTGTGGCTTGTGATCGAATGGAGGATAAGCGAAGCGGACGATGTAGTGCGTATTTGATTGTAAAAAAAACTGGTTCTGTCGGGTTTTTTTCCATATATATATCTAGGGGTTAGAAGGGGAGCACCGGGATCATCATAGAGATTCAGGAGCTTACTAAAGTCCTAACTTGCCTTTGGCATGGTCAATACTGCAGTCGCGCACATGTACCGAAATCTCTTTATGACATACCCCTGTTGTTAGCTTATAATCCTCGTCACCTTATTTTTATTTACAAGACTTCATCATCCTGGTCGATATTGTATAAATTTTTATTTTGACGTAATTTCAATTTTGGTAATCCGACATTATATTAGGAAAGTTACAAGAAAAAATAAAGTAAGAAGTAAAGTAAAACAGGTAAAGAAAAAGTGGTAACATTATGGAATAGAAATTGGTGTCGATGAAGCCGAAAAAGTGCTATTAGGTGTTTTATTCAGAGTAACTTTCACATAAATTACTCATTAAAATTAATAAATTAAATATTTCAATACCTAAAGGATGAATCATTTATCCTACTCTCGTCTTCCAATTTGTTAATTTCTTAACTGCAATGTTTAAATATTGTAGCAAGCCTTCTGTTGTAAAATTCTTTCAATCTATTAACAGAGAATATGTGCATTACCGAGGTGTTGTAAAGAACTTATGTGCATTGTCGGAATATTGTAAAGGCCTTCCAAATTGTTAATTACACTTATTTGCATTTGGTGATGTATTGTAAACTGCCTCTGCTATATAGTCAGAATCAGTTATCCAGTCATTCACTTGACCCATTGATTAACATTGCTCGTTTGTCCATTCATCCAACTCTTCAATATTCTCTGACAACTCTCATAATATTCAAGAGGGATATTTCCCCGTCAGTCAATAAACCTATTCGTCTCTGCCAATCAACAAAAAAGGACTTCATCACCAAACACGAAAAACATCCCATAACGTTGGTGGATTGCATGCAGAACAGACAAATTATTCCAGGAAGGGCTTTACTAAACTAGAAGTTAAAGCAAAGAATGAAAGAATGTTAGTAATATCGCCTGATCCTGTAAATTACCTCAATGAAGTATGGCAAAAAATATGTACCTGTTTAGAATGATTGTGAATAATTTGTACTGTTAACAGAAAAATAGAGTGTGGAAATAGTGCTACTGTGGTTCCGAAACCTTCCGTATTTCGTTTCACTGAATCTGACAATCTCGCCAGAGCAAGTAGCTTTAAGTGGAGGTTTCGTATTCTTTCCATTTCATATTTCTTATTAGTTTTGAAAAGTCCATTTGAAAAGCAAATGATAAAGGGTCGTTTTGTTCAGTGCGAAATTTGGATGGTGTGTAAGAACGTGCTCGATTTGATACTTTTATTACAGCAACTTCGCTCATTCATTTTACTAAAATTGTAACTGGAAATGCTTAAAATTTCAGTATGCTTCTCTTCATAGAGAATATGCCTTCGACAGAACTTCTGTTAAAGTTGAGAATTAAATTTAAAATTAAAAAACCATTTGATTTAAGCATACGATATGTCCATGAAAGGAAATAGACTTGAGCGTTCACGAAAAGAAAGGGACAGCTGTCTTTGGATTTTTTTGGTCAACGGATAAATCTTAGTGATTTGTATTCTCCTGTATTCTTCTGTATTTTTTTATATTCGACCACTAACTATAACTTGTTTGAGTAGTTCGTTAAATTATTAGCTAGAATGGACCTTAAATTTAAATCCTTTGCCCTTAATTCTGGAATTTTTCACCAGCAACAATAAACACTTGAAGCCTTCCAGGGTCTATAGAACTTTACTGTATTCTCTTGTAGTTGTGGAAAATAGGGTATTTCCGTCATGTGACATTCTATCTCATTAAAGCAAGTTTCAGGTTCGTTAGAATTGCCAAATGTCCCCGTATCTTGAGAGACACGGTAGCTACGGGGATCAAAACTTCTTGATAACTAGCCTTGCCACATAATTTTAAGGTGTATTCTCGTTAACACCGTTTCCCTTCAGTTCCCCCTCACTTCTTGATTCCAATAAAGATAGTCGAAATCGCGAAATTTTTCAGTCAAAGGACTTCTAGCAAGACCAGCAGCACTTGTGGAGTACCACTTGGATTCCCGAAAAAGGCGGCAGTGTTGAAAAGAAATTGGTCAGCTGGTTTTTCGACGATAAAAAAAGACCTGACTGTTATGAGCGTGTTTATGAATGTTCGTTTTGAGAAAAAATATCGATAATGATTGGCATGTTTGCTAATCACATGTTGGATAGCCAAGTCCTATTAGCAAATGGGCTTTGAGTTTGTCAAACCCAGCACAGAGGAGGAGGAGCCTGAAATATCTATGCCCATTATGTGCGTGCGTACGTCTGGAAACATCAGGACGTAGTTATATGCTTGATCTGGCGATATCTCCATCTTCTATTTATGTTGACAGATGGCAATCATAAGTGCAGAAGTACAGACGTGAATGAATGACTACTTCTTGCTTTTGCTGTGGCACTTAGCTGATGACAATTGATTTTTGTCTCTCAAAGCAGAGCTTATTTCTCTCTTCCTTTCATCTCCATCTTTTTTTTTCGCAGAGTAGCAGTGGATTTAAGCGGTCGGTAAGGGAAACAAGCATATGTTACGTACGTATGTTTCTGTATGTGAAATTTACGGAGGGAATAGATGGAAGGAATTTAAGGATGGGTGAGGCTTAGTGATGCATCGGAGGGCTTTACTGCGCACATAGCATAGGTAAGCGTGTAGGTAACGGGACGTTTTTTTTTGCTCAGTCTCTGCGCTGTCTACCCTGCTGCAGTATTTCCTCCTTGCGCTTGAACAAGCCGATGTTCAATATTTTTTGAAGGGATATAGGGAGTGGACGGTCCGCTTGGAACTAACCCTTCATCACCTACGTCGTCTCATTTCCCCTGGTGTGTCTCCAATTTTCAGTAGTGCTCACGCAGTTTTTAGATCTCTGGTAAACTTCGACCCTCACAGTCTAGCTAGCCACTTCTGTTTTTCTTGTTTCCTTTTCATCGATAACCGCAGGCATGTGTTTCCAAGCTGCAAACCTTGTTAATTCATCTGCCGAGCTCATCCTGGACAATTATTCTTTATGCCGCATTCACTTCTTAAAACTTCATGAATTCAGTAGTCGTTTTTTCTTTTCCAAACTATTCGGCTTCATTCCATTTCCTCACTTTCCAACTCTCAACTTAAGAGGTGGCTTTAAATCATCTAAGTCTCATTCTGTTTTATCCGGAGGCAGTTTAGAACCACCTATCGCCCATTGTTGCAATGTAGATCTACGCCTCAGTTGATGGAGTTGTACGCATGATTAGTTATGACTGTTCTGGCTTCCTACATCTTGCACCGCCATTCCACTTAAGATTTATATATATGTATCCTTATGGCTAGGCTTCACAAACAAAGGTTTAAGAAGAATTCAACCCACGTTTGCTGCACACGCTACAACTGTAGGATATCTTGCCAGCCTGCCGGTGGATTTTTTTTAGGTGAGGCACAAAGTGCGCGGAGCTAGCAGCACTTTTTACACCTAAGATTTATTTCTTGTCGAGTTAAGAATGACAGTGAAGTCCTGAGGACGAAGGTCTTAGTATTCTTCTCTTAGGTGGATAGCCTTACAGGGTTAAGCGTGCTCCATCTGTCGGGTTTGGAGTTAGAATTGTCCTTTCGCTTAGGATGGTTGCCGAGAAGTAGCGAGTCATCTATCTATCTATCGATGTATCTATCTATCTAATCTATCTATCGATCGATCGATCTTATCTATCTAATCTATCTAGCGATCTATTATCTATCTATCCATTCATCCATTTATCTATTTTGTCTATCCATCTATCTATCCTCCTATATATGTATATTATGGGGCTAACATCATTTCCTGTTCTAAATTCAGCTTTAAAACAGCTCCTGTATCCTGAATACACATCTAACTTATATGCGAATGTTTTACCGCTTTGTTTCAGATATTGCAACTAGCTTAAAGTATATCTTTGTTCTGTGTAAGCCAGAAAGTTGATATTATTCTTTGAGATCAGACAACGTTTTGGTGTAGTGGTACCAACATAGTTGATTCCCTTTTGTACAGCAGTGGACTGCAATCTTAAGTGATGCTGGGCAGTGTTTTGAATCACAAATAGGTTTGAACAGTAAAGCTGAGCAGTTGCAAATTAGGTGACGTTATCGGAAATCGATTTCAATTTACACCCACTAATGTTCATCTGCTAGCACATTTTTATATGTGCTGATCAGCTGGAGGGAAGCTAATGAAACAGGATTTTGATGCGAAGCTTCTCATTTCTTGCTGGACGCTCTGTGCGACATAGAGATCGTAATTGACTCTCTCTGGCTGTTAGCGTTGTTGTCGACTTCGTTGCAGATTTTGATTGTTACAAAATGCAGTTTAGGATTCGACAGATATGGTTTGCTAATACACCGATCCAGCTCCACTATTTTAGTCAAATGTTTTACAGGAGTGTGCTTATTGAACTGGCGGATTTTATATTTTTATTTAGACACGTGTTAGGAATCGGACAATCGATCAGCGACCCAGTTTCTAAACGAATCAACAAGTTAGAACATCTGTCAAATCATACAAGATTGTTGTATTGGAATGTTCGAGTTTTTTTCTGGTCAGTTCCACTATTACCCTCTGTTATTGAGCAGTTATTTGCATCTGCTGCTTAGTTGATTCTCGTCGTTTGCTTAAGCAAAACCAAATTTTTCAACTAATTCATAGTGCTCTCTGAAGATCGTTCCTACCTTCAAGTATAGCTTATGTTACAGATGGCTTAGGGACTTTTGCTGTCGGAGTCAAGATTCATGGGTCATTCTGTCAAGTTCAAAGTAAAGCCAAAAAATCTTATAAATCCTGTACGAATCTAAATAAAGATTAAAGAAATACGAGATCAGGCAGTCGAAGACCATCATTGCTTCAGTCATTTCTAACATGAACCATTTATATGGATGGGCATATAATATATATTCTCAGACCGATCCTGTTGGCTGTGTTCTTTTCTGATTTATTTTATTACTGGTAATCATTAATGCTAAGGGCCACTTTTCTTTCGTTACTTAGCTGCAGCACTAGATAACAACTGTAGGGAAAGGATCGTATGACTCATGGTATGATTCTCGGATTAGTGACTGTAAAGACCAAGCTGCTATTCATTCGTAATTTTCTGGATTGAATTGCTAATTGGCCATTAATTAGTAAGTTGAATGAGGGTAATTTAACGATTGGCATTAGATTCTTCATGGATGGCTGTATCCTACGGAGTAACCGGAATACATGCACTCGATTGCTAAACTTAGACTTACGAATAAAAAAATATTCGAGAAAACTCTTTTTCGAAATTCATCTCTCACTGATTTGTAATTTGATGATGTTGTTTTAGCATTCTTCATGATTTATGGCTTATCTCGTTCGTTTTTATATATATTAGAAATAACAGTTATGCTTTAGGTGATATCACTAGACAGATCCAATGCCAATTCATTGAGGAGGGAATGTTGCACCCCTTTATTTCAGTATTGCATATTCTTCAGTAATTTACCAGTGCTTCTCTTGGACTAAATCCTTTCATTTTCACGATGTAGATGGAGATGGATGCACCGTGAATTTTTAAATAATCTTATTGCATAATGGTGTTTAATTTAGAAAGTAATTGGGTGATGTGAGAGAGGCGTGTGAGGCCTTTCTCGAGAATGGCCAAAGAGTACCAGTTCAGTTGGAAGCCCAGCATTCCTGATGCTCTTCTGAAGGGTTATGAATTCGATAAATATGATGATGTGGGTTAAATTCACGTTGTTTTCAAATCTTCTTTTTTGTCTGAAATTTCGAGTTATATAAAAACTTCATGTCCTTTGATACGTATTGCATTTCGAATGCGAGGACTTCGTGTTTTCTGATATTTAATAGACTGGAGTCTGATGTATTTTTCTGACTGCATTTGGATTCTTTTTGTTGCAAAATTCATGGCAGATTCGTCAAACAATTCATGGTTACTATATCTTGCTGTTTAGATATTCGAATAAAAAAAAGTTGCAGGAAAGCATATGTTTGGAATGTGGTGCATTTCTTCGTGTAGATGAATATGGATTTTTTTTGTACTGGACATCAGAAGAAAGGAAAGACACATCAATACTCGACCTTATTCTGGTTAATTATTCGTGATTTGCATTATTTAATTAAAGTTTTATTTCAGTTTGAAAATTCTATTTTACCTATCGAAATATCTGTTTAATGCAAATACTGACCTTTGTTTTTGTCTTGACTTCAAATCCTTCTGTTTTTCATTACTGCGTAGAATTCTTTCTTGGAAAACTGTTTGAATCACAGGTCTGGGAAGCAAGACGTGGTACATTACCGAAAGATGGACGGATAATGTTCGAATTGGAGCAACATGGACCCCGTGAAACGATTGGAGACAGAACAATTTGGCTTACATATGGGCCTGACTTAGTCAGTGTTAGTAATTACTATTTGGTTGCGGAAGACATTGAAATTGCCAAGGTGAACAATTTTATCCTTTTAATTTTATTCATTCTCCTAAAACGTAATAAAGGTGATCAAGATAGTTTTTTTCAACATTTTCAGTTGTTGCATTGAAAATACATCCAAAAAACAAAAGACGTATGAGAGTTATATGCAAACATTTCCAATTTTTTTTATTGTCAAATTTTAGATCTGGCGAAATGGTTTGAATGAAATTTTAAGAACGAGTAAAATGCGACACATTTCTTACACAACAAGCCTGATGAAAAAGTTCGTTCCACTCTTTTGTATACTTGGGTTTATGACTAGTTTTCCACTTTTAATTCATACCTTTTTCAAATTCTTTTCTTCCAAAATTCCTCAATATTTTGCTTTCAAAATAGCGTACTTTCAGTTGGCGATATTTATGTCTCTGTTTGAATGAACATCGAAAAATCCCCATAAAAAATATTGTCAGAATTTTTTCTGGTGGTAAAACGGATCGAATGGTGCAGAAATGTCTCAGTGATCTCGGACTTTCGGGAAATAAAGTATGTGTTTTTATAAGCTTCAGAACAAAAGATTTCAAACATATTTTCTCTAAGAATCATTCGTTAATATTTCCACTCCATATATGAAAATTTTTTACCCCTTTTTGCACCTTTAGTTCAGTTAACTCTATAGTCATTTATTTCTGCGATTTTGTTTTTAAGGAGCATGATGAACTTGATGTGGAATTATTTACTTTCGACAAATATTTGCGGTTATATTATAAAATTTGCCCACGAAGTGATGTGCAAGAATTATTCGTAAAATTGTAAGTAGCAGTCAGCGTTAAAATTGTTGGAGTAGCTGCTGAAAGTCTTTAATTTTAGAAAGTATATAATTTCTTTACATAAATTGGAGCAGAAATGCAAATGTCTATTTCTGTTGTAAATTTTTTCGCATACATGTAATTTAGTTGATAATTAATAATCTAATGATAAAGTGAATGCATTTTCTAAGTTAATTTCTATCTATAAATCATTGGCCTCATGATGACAGCTGATCGATAGTTGTTTTGCAGAAGCGGTCAGAAAGAATATCTTACCAAGGATCGTTTGATAAATTTTCTGAATGAAGAACAGAGAGATCCTCGGCTAAACGAAATATTATTCCCATTTTTTGATGATAAGAGGGTGTTGAATCTAATATCAAAATACGAAAGTGATGAAAATTATATAAATAATGGTATTTTTTGAGTAATTTGTCATGATTACTTATTAACTTGAACCAGAATTTCCTCCCACTAAAAACTTCATCCTAATATCCTTAAAATTATGTTTGATATTCATTATTTCTAATTTTTTTTTCAGGGAAAATGTCTGGCGATGCTTTCTTACGTTTTTTGATGTCTGATGAAAATGCGCCCGTATTTTTAGATCGAGTCGAGCTTTATCAAGATATGGATCAGCCTTTGTGTCATTATTATATTAATAGGTACTTGAAAATCTGACATTTTCCTTGCAGTATCAAGTCGGAAATAGCAAGTATTCACGTAATGTTTGTTAGTCATCATTCTTGCACAGTGGTAAGAAAAATTCTGAATTATTGATTGTAGCAGATTGTTCCTTGCCACTGTCATCAGGATATGAAATCGGAATTTTTCGAAATGATTTGAAAAATTCACTAGTAGTAAAGTTTTTTTTTTTTTTTTTTCAGCTCACACAACACGTATCTCACTGGTAGGCAGTATGGCGGAAAAAGTTCAACTGAAATTTATCGTCAAGTTTTATTGTCGGGGTGTAGGTAATCATCATTTCTAAAATTGAAAAAATCTGAACACTATTTTTGGTCGGTAAATAATTCCTGCTGAACAGTTTAACAATATAAAATGTCCTTCTTCATTGCTTCGTTCCATTGCAGATGCATTGAATTAGATTGTTGGGATGGTACTGGGGAAAATAAAGGTGAACCGATTATCACTCATGGCAAAGCAATGTGTACAGATGTTTTTTTCAAGGTATACTGTTGACTGTGCCATCTCCACACTACAATTTTATTAAGGATTCTTTATGTTTATATAATTATTATCTTTAAATGTATTGGTGGACGGAGTGTAGATAACTTTTCAAGTCTTTCTTTTTTGTATGTTTACCTCGAAAAAAAATTTTAATCAAAAAATTTTTCATCAGAGCACTATCACTGAACATGATTTCTAAGGAAAGTTTACAAATGAAAATTCAGGATTTCTTTAGGATGTGCTCTATCAAATTCGAGATACTGCTTTTGCTAGGTCCGATTTTCCGGTGATTTTGTCATTCGAAAATCATTGCTCTAAATCAAATCAGCTCAAAATGGCGAAATATTGCATGGAAATACTTGGTGATATGTTGCTTTCAAAGCCTTTGGATGATTATCCGCTCGAACCAGGTGTACAACTGCCATCACCTAATCGTTTGAAACGTAAAATACTGATTAAAAATAAGCGATTGAAGGGGGATATTGAAAAATTGCAAATGGAACAATTTCTGCGCGAAGGTAAATTAGATGAAGAAGATGAGCCGGTCGAAAATTCAGAAGCTATTGTCGACGAGGAAATTTCAGCACAATGTAAGCATTATTTTTGTTGATTACCACAGTGTCCTGAAATATAGCATTTGGGAAGTTATTATAATTGTCGGAATATTGCATCTTTTTCGACGCTTTTTCATAGATTATGCACCATCTTGTAACCAGCTGAATGTGCAAATCTAGCAGTTGGGAAGTCCGCTGCTTTAAAATGTCGAGCATTTTTGATAGTATCACTAATAAAGGAGTTCAGATAGAAAAGTTTAATGGAAAAAATGATCAAATCGAACTGTTTGTTGGCAGTGAGCTCAAAACTAAAGTACTAGACTGTTATTAATTGCTAGAATATTATTTGCGAAATATTTTTGCTTTTTATCTAGCTCCGAATTTACCGGATCTTGGACTCATTTTTCATACTGATACAATGATAAAGATTATATGTTTTGCATGAAAGAATATTTTTGCAGCAGTTGGTGACCAAAGAGCACATCCAGAGATAGAGATTTGTGACGCATATTCAACGTCGACGTTAGGCACAAGTACAGTTTTGTTTTCTTTAAGGAAGTGAAAGAAATGAATTTTAATGTTTTGATGAGCATATAATGCAATAAGGTTTCAAAAAGTTTGCTACTTTAATGAAAAACAGTTGTAAGGTATTGAATTGGTGATCCTTCTATTGATGATTACGATGAATCATTTATTTACTAAGCAATATAAATTTTAGAAATATCTTCTTGACGAAATATCAAGTCATTTTCTTGTCCAAAAAAAGAATCATTTCAGATGTTGGTGCGCTATTGGATGAAGGGCATCCTGAATTCAAGCAGACAAATTTCATATCAAAATTAAAACCTCTTGTTACCAAGAAATCTCAGGCATTCTTTAAATTCCATTTTTATCAACTGATTCGCTTTCCAAATTTTTTTTTGAATTTAAATTAGATCGAAATGATGATATTTTATTTACCAATTTTTGATATAATAGGTGAAAGGATTTTTGGGTAACAAAAAATAAGAAAGTGTCTCTAAAATTTTGAATTTTTGTAATTTGTTTTTAAAGATTTTTGAAATGTCAGTTTGATGAATGTGTTTCCGGTGAGAGTAATTCAACTAGTTTTTTAACTTTTTTTTGGCAAAATGACACTTTAATTTTTGAATTGTTTGAGTTCAAAAATTTAGTCAGACGTTTTTTCTAATACTTTTAAAACTGATTGCTTGCTTCGGATTTAGATTTGCTATGGGTCGTTCAACTTTTGGATTACTGTCTAGATAAATATGTGAATTTGAAATCAGTTACTTCCCCGCATCTATAAAAACGCACAGCTCACGTCTGCATTACAGACTAGATTTAGGAAATTATATCGGGCTTGTCATATTTAGTTCTAAATTTCTTCTGTCAGGTAGCTGTTTGGTTAAATTTGATGACAAGATATAATAATTTGTTGTTTTTTCTTTTGGCGAGCAGTGGTTTTTGTTTCTTGTAACTTACTGTCGATGCAAATGCTGCAATTGTTCTGTTTGCACAGTTTGGAAGTGAATCACCGCCATATAACGCTGGAAATGTGACGTTACCCATATTTCCATCATCATCATTTCGGAACAAACGATCGTTTCGCCGAACTTCACGTGTACCAGAATGTGAAGACAGTGGTGGGAGTTTGAGTGCGGCATTACTGGATCCACAGCCACAGCGTCATTTATCAACAAGGCAGAAAAATAAAAGGCAATTTATATTAGTTATTAATCTGGGATCAAGTAAAGATAGTAGGATATTTAGTGTATACTCCGTTAGCCTGAGCAGTTTGAAACAGATACCACTTTACTAAGGTTGTTATAGCAGATTTTGCGGTAGTTTTGTATGAGTTTGGATTTGATCCGTCTAGGTATTGCTTCCATCTTTTGAACCCGTTGGTTTAAATACTTTCTCACTTTTTTCACTGTCCGTATAAATGAAAATTTTTTAATGGTCGTCACGGCGAGCACGGGGATTTGCTGGAGAACAAAAAAGGGATGGGAGGACAAAATTTTGTTAATGACCGTCAGTCCGTGATATCTTCGTGTACATAACATTTCTATATCTGACCATTGTCTCCAACGATTTTTGTCTCAGCACAAACATGCGATTCTTCTGAAATGATTGAAACAGTTCCCATTTGTGAGTATATCAGTCACCGCAATGTTGTTTTTGTCAAATTGATAGTTGCTTTATCTTTTTGACTTTGCCTTATGCACATGCATTTGCTGTAAGATCGCTATTGTCTTATCTTAAGTCTGATGGTTAATGACTTAATTCTGCTTCTTCTTTGAGAATATATGACCCACGTAAGCAAGTAGTTCCAATGTGCATGGATCTTGTTGCTTGTTTTTACATGATGAAATATAATAGTGTATTCAATAACTGCTAATTAACAAAAAGTGTTTTTCCTTCTCAATGCACAGAAGCATCCATTTCGTTCTCAGCATGTATTTTTAAGAAATCGTGCCATTTTTTGATAGTTCAAGTCATATATGTGCTATGTAATATGGAAAAATATTTTGCACGCATGATTTAAAACTGATCATAATGGGAAATCTAGAACTTTTTAACGAAACATGCCTTATCTGAATGATATTCTGATAATTTGATTTCTTTAGAATGGCTTTTTTGCACTGGTGTGTCAAGTACTAATTATGGCACTTCATCTACACTCAAAACAAACATTCATGAAGTGGCTTACTTTAAGTTCTCTCAGTTGATAGGAAAATGAATAGATTGATGTGTATATATAAATCCAACATTTCTAGCTAACCTTCATTCTTTTGTTGTACATTTACGTATTTAAAGGCAGTGAAAGAAATTTTATGAGAATAGATATTTGCGAAGAATTCCGAAAGTTAGTTGCATCCAGAAATCCAGGAAAATCCATCTATCCTTCATTCTTTCATCAACAAATGCGGTGTTTCATGATTTCAGCAAAATGCTATGGGTGAGTCGCAGTTGTCCGCGGAGGATAACCAGGCCTTTTATGAGTACCTGTTTCACTTTTTTTGTAGTAGTATGCTGCCAAGTTGTGTTATCAAGATGGAAAAATAATTTCAATAATAGTGCTGGTAGATAGAGGTCAACTTTTCATGCATTTAACCTGATGCTGTTGCTCTTGGAGAGGTTGCCATTAATTGTTCCAATTTTATTTTCATACTTTTCCTTACCAAACATTTTTTGTTTTTCCTTCATATAGACCGTAATATTTGATTGTCCGTTTAATAAGTTCAACACTCCCAACAATACAGTAACCGCTTTTAGTCTTCGATTAAAAAAATTCACTAATTTCACAGTTTTTGTTACACGTCTCATGCAGTTCAGATGAGATAATAACATTCTAACAGTGAACACTACAGAGACATTCCTTTTTTTTAGGTCGTAAAAAGAATTTTGAGATCTAAGCTTAAGTTAATTAAGTCTGAGGTCCTTTCTTTCAATTTTAGTGTTATTTTTTCATTTCAGCAACAATTAACAAAAGAAGAGGAGGAATGCATTTTTGCGGAATATCATTATACGGGTGCAACCACTAATATACATCCTCTGTTATCAAGCCTCGTTAATTATACTCATCCGGTGAAATTTTCTGGTTTCGATGTTGCTGAAGGTATCTGTCTAAAGTTTCATTTTGGTATATTTCCTCTTAATTTCGGCAATCTTTTTTATTGCATATTTCATTCCCTAATCTTTCAATGGAAGGAATAGAAAGGACGATTTTAGTTAAGAGAACTCATCAGGTCCTTTGTTTGATGCTGCTTTTCAATATAATTGTAATGCGTTTTGAGCGAATAATCTGCATTTCCACATGTCTTCGTTCTCGGAAAGTACGGGTTTGGGATACCTGAAGCAGAGTGCTCCAGAATTCGTCAATTACAATAAGCGCCAACTGTGCAGAATATATCCAAAAGGCGCTCGCGTTGATTCTAGCAATTTCTTGCCTCAGGTGAACTTTTTCATCCTTAGTTCTGTTTGAAATGATATCGCATTTCAGCTTAATCTCTCAGACAAATTTCTTTCTTTATCGGTAAAGACTTGCCAACATTTCTAGGTTTTGAACAAATCGACAATTAATTCTTCATGAAACGTTGCTTTAGCAGTAATGAAGACTTTGTAGTTGCATCATACGAGCAATCAGAAATATGTCATGACAAAATTCGCTTGACTAAATTCATCTAAATCCAATTTGCAACTGCAGATATTTTGGAATGCTGGTTGTCAGATGGTGGCATTAAATTTCCAAACTCCTGATATATCTATGCAGCTCAATCAAGGAAAATTCCAGTATAACGGTGGATGCGGGTAGATTTTCTTTTAAAAAAGAACCATATGATTTATATCGGGATATTTTAAAAACTACTCCGAAATAGTTTTTCTTGCAGTATCAAAATAATGCCATATTAAGCTGGCTAATTTATATTTTGATTTGCACTATTCCATAACGGCTTATCGTTTACTTTTCTTTGAATTCTCTACAGAGAAACGACTGTCGACGATGCTTTATTATATTTGTGAGATTGTCCTTATTAATTTCTAGGCTGCTGTGTTCATACCGAATTCCTCAAAAACAATTCGTTAAAACCACTTTTATGAGTACTTCGTATTTCAGGTATCTTTTAAAGCCGGATTTCATGAGACGACCTGACAGGTCATTTGATCCATTTTCCGAATCTCCTGTTGATGGTGTAATTGCAGCGCACTGCACCGTAAAGGTTACTAGTCATTTTCGCATTATCTACTTTTTTGATTTAAAGAAATTATTAGCAGATTGTTATGCAGTCATTATAATTGTTTAATAATCTAAGAATTTCGAAAACTTACGTAAAAGTTGTTCCTTCGTAGGAAGTACATTATGAGATAAGGACCAAGCAGGTTAAATTATCCTTTTTTTCAGGTTATATCAGGTCATTTTTTATGTGATAGAAAAGTTGGAACTTACGTAGAGGCAGAAATGTATGGTCTTCCGACAGACACGATACGAAAAGAACATCGAACGCGTACCGTACCTGCTAATGGATTGAATCCTATCTACAATAGTGATCCCTTTGTTTTCAGAAAGGTGATTTTATAAATTGAAATTAAGAAGTTAAAGAATTAACGTTATTCCATTTTGCGATTGGGAGTTAAATCTGACATTAAATAGAAAGAGATAATCGAATTCATTTTGTCTTATTTGTTCATAGGTCGTCTTACCGGAATTAGCCCTTTTACGTCTCGCTGTTTATGACGAAAATGGAAAGCAACTTGGACAAAGAATATTGCCGTTAGATGGTCTACAAGCAGGTTACCGACATATAACACTTCGTACAGAGTCAAACATGCCTATGGTATTGCCATGCCTTTTTGTTCGGATTGTCATCAAGACTTATGTTCCTGATGAGTTCAGTGGTAAGTTTCATGACCTTTATGCTTATTCTTATAGCAACGTGTAAAGAGCAAAAATATCCATAAGGTCAGTTTATTATCACTTTCTCTCTCTAACTTTGTTGTATTTGAAGTGATTTAAACTGATATGTAGCCACCAAATACAAGTTGTTAATTGAAGTATAATCTACATATATTTACAGGCCTAGTAGATGCACTGGCGGATCCACGTGCCTATGTTTCCGCACAGGAAAAACGGAGAGAAGCTTTATATAATATGGGTGTTGAAGATTCAGACATAGTGGAAGTGACATCATGTTCGCAGAAGACACCACCGAACAAAAATACACTACGAATAAATGGAGGCCCATCAGATCAAAACTGCGAGTAAGTGCTAAATCTTAATATCATCATGAACAATCAGCATGGGATGATGCATAAACAGAACAACTTTTGTAAAGAATCTGAAATTAACATAAAGCCAGTTTAAAATTTTCAATGTGTTAGTAGCAAGACCAGTCGATAATAATTTACTTTGAAAGTTTATTTCTTTGATTTTACGTCATATATCATTTTAGAACCATGGTTAACTGAATCTTAGTACTTTTCGCGGTGCTATCTTCTAATTATTTTCATATTCTTCTATATGGAGAGCTATTTCCTCTGATTGTTATTCCTTTTTAAATTGATAATTTCCGGAAATGAATGAGATTTATGATTTCTTAGGTCATTAAAATCAATGGTATTATCGAAGGATTCAGTTCGTTCGAACATGGAAGCTACAGATGGTAGGCAGAAGGTAGTTGTGTTTGCATTTTCACGCTTTTTGTTGTATTTTATGGCATTATTTGTCAGTTTTCATATAAGGAATTACAATGGTGAAATAACAGGAATTGCAAAAAACTTAGGCAGTTTTTATTAATGATCTTTAGATGAAATCTTTTGAATTGGTAGGTTATTGTCTCTGTGAACCCAGGGATTAAAAAGTTTCGAGTGTTACGAAAAAGTGAGGTTCGAATCTATTTAAGAATCTGTAGTCATGATTATTCAGTCTATTAGACATTTTTTTATTCGTACAAATGCGTCAAATAGCATGTCTTTATTGCTGAATTATATGATGCATTTGTTTTTATTTTCCATCGAACTGCTCTCAAGCCAAAAAGCGGTAATGCATATATAGGTAGTCGGAGGTAAAAAAAAGAAACCAAAGATTATGTCCTCTCCCCTCAGTTTCATAGTTCTTGTCATTTTTGATTGGTTCGTTGTGTTGTCCGAAAGAAGAAAATTCTGTTTCTAGTTTGACGTGTGAAATATAAGCGGAGTAACGTCAGTGGCTTTATTAAGGAATGAATAATTAAAATTCCAAAATCTATGGCTTGTCACATGTGAAGGATTCATTTGTTTCTCAATTTGATATCGCTTTAATTTATTCAAAATCTTGTATGGAAAATATTTGAGCGTGGTATTGATTGAGGGAGGGTGGTCTGCCACCCGTAATTTTGTACAGAAAAGAGAAAATGATATGGAATACTGAAATCATATGTTTTTAAGAGCATTTCTCACAGTGACCACTGAAGAATAACTTAGACAGTTTTCAGATGGAAGCGATCAATATTAATGATTTGAAGAAAGACAAATGTTTTCAAAAATTAGTTCGAAAATTTCAAAAAGATATGAACGAACTGAAGAAGCGACATCAAAAACAGAGGGGATCAGTTCAAAAGCAACAGGTATTTGCTTTTATGAATCATTATTTGTTGAAGTTGCTCTTTTTTTTTCATTAGTATTGAAATATTGAATTATATGGGTCGGAAGAATCCAAATCACATGTAATGTAATGCGGTCTTCTTCAATGATTAAAATCTTATGACTTGTGAACATAACTATTGCAAGTAATATTATTCATTGAAATACTGTTTGCAGTACAAAGATCATTTGAATAGTCTATGTGTTTTTTTATTCGGATCGAAGAAGTTTCTAGATCAGAAGTTGAATCTAGTTCATAACAAGCAGCACACTTACTGTAATTTGTACTGTTACGACCTAATCTAAATTGCTGCAGTTTGACTTTACGAAGAATAAAGATGTGGAAGGGAAAATCGTTTTGACATCCATAGCACAGTATTTGTAAATGCGCATATCAGCATCAACTTATTTTATTCTGAATATATAGTTCTTTTTGTTTGCTTTGTGCAGTTTTACATTGCGTATTGGTAAAATCACTGATAACATGGTATGGTTAAGGAATATTATATGAAATGTATTTAGCGTTTTCAGTAAGACTTGAATAATTCTGCAGAGTTTCACATTTGGCTCCTTTCACTAATTCTGCCAGTTATAGCAAATGACTGTCGATAAATTGATTTGTGACAGTTGCAAGCAGTCTAGGCGAACAGTGGGTAACAGTTCAGGAAGTCAGAAACACCAATCACTGTCGCATATGAAGTCCGAACCAATACCGCACAATGTTGACATGACTAATAATTATAAAGTGTGTTGTCATTCTTGTGCTATTTGCTTCTGGTACTGCTTGTTTTCTTTATGAAATAATTTATTAAGAAATTTACATGGGATGTTCAAGTCGCGAAGGATATGAACTTCTTTTGTTGTACCTGATTTCCTGAGGGAAGCTTGGAGAATCTTTGTAGCAATAACTAGGAATGCATTCAAGATTACTGGTAACAGGGCATCTAATCTTAAATTCTTTCGCAAATAGATTGAGGGAGGGTGTCTACTCAACTCTCTGTATTATGAAGGTAATCCTGGACTGCTCTCTTTCAGATGAAGTCCTTAGTATTGTCTCAAACGGATGAGTGGTCGTCGATGATGCGAAGGCACGAAAGAGAATGTCACGATCTAAGACGATCGCAAATAAAAGAAGAATTTGAATGTCTAGGGTGATTATTAGTTTATCTTCCCGAAACCCCAACCTCAGTACATTATCATGGCATGCGAGTACAGAAGTTTCCAGTTTGGAATAATGGAGGTCATGCTTTCCAGAAGAATCAAAAATCATATAATGCCACAGTATGTGGAATAATTTGACGGGTGATATCGTGAGATTTTCCCACACATTAGATCCATAGCAGTTTCTGTTAAGTGCTCCATGAAATATATTATGCCGAATGAGTGGGATTCCTGGTGGTCGTACTCTGTTATTTAAAATCATTATTGTTTCTGAAAACCTATGGATGACGTGTTCTATGTTCATTTTCATGCAAAAGTACGTCTTTCAGGAAACTGCTTCAGGATGCTCAAAAACAGCAAATGAATATGTTAAAACTGAGGTTGGAAGCTGAGAACAAAGATTTGAAGCAAGCTCAAACAAAAAAGAGTATGGACGATGCTCGAGCTATACAACAGGTATTTCATTCGATTTGGAATGTCGTTGATTGCTTTTGTTTCCCTATACTAGTACGTATTTCTGAAGAAAATATTACATAAAACTGTTAATTTTTTCCTTTTAACAGGATAAAAACATCAAGACAAAGGCAGAAAGGGATCGACGAATAAAAGAAATGAATGAAAAAAATTTGAAAGTGTTTTGCGAAGAACGGAAAAGGCTGGCCATAAAGTAACTAGTTATTTATTATAGATCTCACATGGTTTGATTTTTCAACCCACCGTTAGAAGAGCAAGTCCTAATTTCATGTTTTTAACTGTTATCTTTTAAGAGCCCAAAAACATGAAGAACAGCTGATGAAAAGGCACGGAGAGCAATACAAACAGTTTGAGAAAGATGCAGAAAAGGTTCCATCTTTGAAATTAATCTATAACATTCTCAAAAACACATACTATGCTTTGTAACTTGCGGGAATAAGAGTGTGTTAACTACAACTCTCAAAACTTGACATGAACTTCGAAATCTGCCTCGTCTCAGGATGATATATCTATTCGAGGGGAATAATTCAATAAAATTAAGTAAAATCAAGTATAGTTCATGTAGCTGATTTCAAACGAGAAGGAAATTTGCTTTCCCAATTTATGTTATAGATTAATACTTTCACTTTTCACACTTTTCGGCCGCCGCAGAAGATAAGCATTTCCAGGAGCTAGAATTGGAAGAAATGAGTCATCGAGAAAGTCAGTTGGCATCAAAACCTGAATTCATTTGTTAACAACTTGTGGGGATCGATGCTGATTACTCCGAAAAACCTTATCACTTCGCCTTAATCCCTCTTATTTCCGTGACAGCAGCAATAGATCACCGACGTGTTTTATTTCTTTCCAGTCACCTCACTTTAGGAAATCCCATCTCCAATTTCCCTAATATTTTAATTTCATGCACTACATATCGAATTATTTCTTTTCGAATTGTTCTGAAATAAAAATGCTACCATATACTTCAAAAAAGAGGTTTGCACTTTTGTACAACCAGGGTATCGATTGGTAATATCAAACATATTAAGTCTCATTTCACATTTCTTTGCGTCTTCAAAATACTGGGATTTTTAATATTCCCGCTTGAAAATGCTATTGGAGAACTGAAACTAACATGCGCAGTAACTAGAGAAATTTTGATTCCTAGACTGCGCAAGCAAGGCTGTACACATATCATTCTGAAGTTTCCGACTTGAAAGAATTCCGAAATTCAAAAGTCAGACAGTCATGAAACTACCTGGAAAATCTTTGGCTATTAATTTATATAAAGTCATAGCATGTAAATTAAAATCAAAGGCCGTTCTATGAAGGCATGGATATGTCGACAGGAGAGGTCGAAATAAGTGATAGTAACGAAAAGTCCAAATGGTATGCGTTGTCCCAGGACAAAACATGTTTCCAAATAATTTATGCTGTGAATATGACTGCAATGGAAAAGAAACATGTTAGGGAATTCTTAAGCAACTAATCAGATAAAAACTACATTAGAACGTAAAAAGAGAACCACAAGAACACCAACTGAAGGCTTAACAAAGCAATCAGTCGCGGTAAAAAGATACATATATGTATACAAGTACAGCTCTGTCCTTATTTACCTCGTTTCTTTCATTGGAATAACAATACGGGGCTTCACCATTGAACCTGTACGCACCGATGAGTCCTGAAAACAAAAACAGGCTTTATTATAAAACACAGGATAAGCGTTGGCTGTTCCAATCTTCAGCCATCAGCCATAAGAATGTTTCATTCAAGCATGGTAGCCACAGTGATGTAGGACACAACTCGATAAAATTTGTTAGTCATGATGAGTAAGACCACTATTCTTGAAATGTCAGACACAATTAGGAATATCACTTACGCAAGACATTCATAACCTTTACTACAGCTAAGAAATGACCATCCAGTTACCTTATGAACTTCATAACGAATCGGTTCTGAGTCAGGAATTTCAAGTTTTGCCTTCAAAATTTGCCCAATACGTAAGTTCACATCATCTTTCAGTGAATCACGTGTCCACAAAGAAACCTAAAACTGCGGAAAACAGTAAACTGTAGCTTTTGCAGTTGCATCAGTTTATGTTTTCATAAAACATTTAAAGCTTTTGATGCTTTATCTGCTCACCATAAAACCAAAATGTCATATAATAAAATCAGAAATGAATGAATCTTCCCGACTTTATCACCCTTCTGTCGAACGTTTACTACCGCACCACAGATATGTTCGCCATGTTCTTCAAACTGCTCTCCGATAATTGCCATTAATAGCTCAAGCCAATAATGGTCCAACAATTGTGCCCGTTTCTGTTTATCGACAACAACAAGCCATCGACCACCTTTCACATTATTTTCGTCTTCCCACATCGGTTTAATACCCTCTTTAAATAAATAGTAATCACTTCCCCAATTAAGACCGGAAGCCGTTTGAATGTGATTGTACAAGCTGAAATAAATTGAAATCTGTAAGTTTTCTAGTAAAAACCATGAATCCTGATACAACGATAGAAATCAGTAAGCTGTTCTCAAATGCAGTTGTGCTAAGCTGTAATATCAAGTTGAAGCTTCCGATGTCACAGATTGATCTCAGTTGGCAAACAGGAACTGGTTCAAATTAAAATAACTGTGAAACAGAAACAAATAATAAATTACGTTTATAGCATAACAGTTCGGATATCCAAAGTCGGTTCTAGGAAAATGAAAAGCAAATAGAGTTGAAGACGACAACAGGAAACACAAGAATTTGAAAATTAACTCACGCCCAAAAGTCTTCAACGGTATCAAAAACAGCTACTTGTTTTAAACAATCCTCCCAATCTTTGTTTCGATCGGCTTTCAAATACCAAAGAGCCCATCGGCACTGCAAGGGATGACGTGTAAGTGATTCTGAAGCTGGTGCGGAAGGATTTTTGGGCTCAGACTGCTGAAAAAGACGCATATCTTGAAAACATTTCTTTGAATGTAGAGACACAAAAGTTATTCATAAGAAAAACGGTTATGGCCGATATGCCAAATTCAAAGGAATGCCTTTATCAATTAAGCTCCAGCAGCTATGAGAACTTTAAACAGACTAAACTTCCTGTTATCTTCGGACTTACATCACTTAAAAAGAAGCCATCTTTTATAAACTTAAATGAAATCACGCTGAGAGTTTTCTAGCAATTTTAAAGAGAATTCATTAATATAGTCGACTCTATCGACCAGAATGTTGCCGAGATGAGCATTAGTTTTCTGAAGTGCGTTTAATATGCATTTATTGAAATTTAAAACAAACTGCTGAAAAGTCACCTCAGCATAACTTGTCTGATCTTCATTATCATTAGACTGAGCAGTTTTTTCAGTTGTTTCCAACGGATTCTCTGTGTCGTTGGTTGACTCCTGCTTCGTAACTTCCGATTTCGATATAGGCATATTATCTGCAGCTGAAATTGACAAAATCTACTCGAAATATGAAGAATCTTTAAAGTAAAGTCACAACAGCCATATCGTCCTACATAACTAAGCATAAATGGCAACTCAAAAACAGTAATATCTCCTGAAGAAAGGCAAAATATTACGTGAAAATAACTAGGCAATGAGGGACGAGATGATTTCCCATGAATGATATAGTTTTAGGTTAGCTTATGGGTGAAAACATCTATATAAACATGCAAATTTTGAAATTTTTTATAAAATTTAAAATTGGACAACAGCAAGCGGAAAAGCATACAACAACATATTCGGCATACTGTTAATTGCTACATCGACCCAATCCACCGTACAATACTGGGATCTACTATATAGTTGTGTTCGGTATAAGAGGATTTCTTTCTCCTCTTAATCAATAGAACTCAACAGAGCTTTTTCACACCCGTCCCGAATAGTATGATCAAGAGTGGTGGACTACTAATTACATAGAGATGATTTTGAATCCACGCGAAAAACATTCACTTACAGTACTTTGTCATGATTTTCATGAAGAAGGCATGCGTCAAAGTAGGTCGAAATCGGGAATAAGTACTTCGTCATAATTTTTGTGAAGTTAAGTAAAACATGTTTCGAGATAGATTAAAGCTGGAAATATCTCTACAGTAAGGAAAAATGGAGATGAAGATGGTGATAACAAGGAACCTTCTAAACTAAGATTTTCGTTCAAACCGTTCGAGAGTTAAAATATAGATTAAATCGGCCAAACGTGGTGTCCCTTCTCGACCTGCTTAAAGCTTCTCTAACAATATGCCCTTCATTTCCACTTCTCCAACACCACCACTTATCAAACGTCCACCAAATCACCAAACTAAGGAATCACAAATCTACCGATTATTTCGAACAGACCACGGCAAGTGACCAGTAGCATAAAAAATTTGAAATCTGATCCACAGACGGTCAACCATAATATACCAATCAGGCCGTCTTAGAGAAGACAGAGAACAAGTGACACGTGAATGTTCCCTGTTTGAATGGGAAGTATCCCTAGCAAATAATAAGACAACTGTGGAATTGTGAAGAGGTGCCGGAATCATTATATTGCATAACGGAGCAGCTTAAGTGGTAAGGAAAAATCGTCGTCTACGGAGGAGATTCCAATTTTGGCAAACCAGTATCGACGACGGTTTGGGTATGGTTTGCTATACAACAATCTCGACTGCCAACGAATGATTTGAACGTGGCTTGATGTTAGACTGTCTTTTATTGGAGAGAGGGGCTGCTTTTAGCCGAGAAATTAAACTGTTCTGTATAATTGTAGACAACAGTTATGCTTTTAAAGCTCACACATTACTCTCTTGCTTGACAGGATTTCGACTTCAGTTGTTTGTAAATTCTTGAATTTTTCACCTTCATAAGTGGTCATTTGTTCCTCTCACTGCCACTATTTGTCAATATCAGTATTTTACGAAATTGGGAATGTTCTATTTGCAGAATGGTTTTGAATCGTCCTACGGTAATTCGTCTCGCCGATTTGCATTTTAGCAGCTTGGAACATTTAAAGTCATGGTGCGATGTAACTCATAAACAGAAATGGGAGCAAGCGATTTCACGACTTGCTTGCACTAAGTAGAATACTTTGGCGTATTTATTGCTATTATTTATTTATTTCGTATTTATTTCCATATAAAAATATTGCAGTAGGTTAAAAATAATCACAGGTATATGAAACTTTTTATAGAGCATTTGACCATGCTGAACGGGTTTTCGATGAGGCAAAGTTGAAAATGCAAGAAGGAGACGAGGAAGATGCATATAAGCTGTTCACACGAATGGGCGTTATCTCGAAAATAATTATTAGCAAGAACGACTTCCAAGAGTTCAAGAATTCACCGGTAAACAAAAAAAAAAAACAAAAACGCGTACTTATGTAGAGTAAAAAAAATAGTTTTGTTTTTGTCGGACTACTACATTTTCTTGTCTATCCTTTCTGTTTGGAGTAAGTATCGACATTTTTTGCTGTCTGTTTGAAAATATGGGAAAAGAGAGAAAATCCACATTGCCTATATGCGGGATTTGTGCTGCAAAGTCTCTACTTTTAGGATGGTCGTCGTTTTTACTCTTTATTTGAGCAATGTATTGCTTATCTGAAAGAGCTGGAAGAAAGTTTAAATAAGCGGTACGAGTTAAAAAAAGTCGAAAAAAGTTATGATGAGCGAGACTTGTCAGTTTTACAGAGTGAAGAAACACGAAAAGACAAAGATTATTCTGTAGGTAAAATTGTTTTAATTGCTTATATTATCGGATTTTTGCGCAGATGTTTTCAAACCTCATTGTTTAGCTTAGCTGCGGAATTCCTTTTACTACATTTACAAAAATAGAAATAATCCTCCACTGTCATATGGCGTACATGAAAATTATGCAGTAAAGTTTTGAGCTTCACATCATGTATGTCAAAAAAGACATTCCGTCAGGATTTGTTTGGACATATTCAAATATTGATGACCGTGATACTGGGCTTGTTTGGAACTAGGGTTTGCAGAAATCAGTTCAAAAGTTTTAAATGTTTAAGATGAATCACTGGTAATAGATCCACGTGATTTGGTGCGTTACATTGCTTGTAAACACCGAGTTCTTGTTATTGATTACCGAAATGATCAGACAGATGTCATTCAGTATGCAAATGCTGGGCTGTTAGTCGCACAGGTTCCTTCCGATGCCATTGTTCCTGGGTTAGTTCATTGGCATTTGCACATCCGTCCTAATTACTTTTGTATGATTTAAATAAAATTCAACTTCAAATTCTGGTTCATTTCCTCCTTCTTGGACTTGTTTACTTATTTTGGTTCACTTCCTCCTTTTCGACTTGTTTTACTTATTAAATTCGGATGTGAATCTATTCTTAAATCATAAAAAAGTAATAGACCCAATTACTTGGAGCAGAACTGCTGAATTTCTAGCATTTAACAAACATTCAGAGATCAATAGATTCAAATTGAAACAATAAAATAAGAAAAACCAATGTCATCAGCGCAAATCAGATAATCAGCGCATGAATTTTATGCATATAACCGTATAACTCATATGATAAAATAGCTCCTTTCCTAAAGCTCATGTGACAAAGTTCGCTTTGCTGGATTGAAACCCTCGTAAATAATCTTTGTTACTGGTCGCCATTTCATCATCATATTTTACTTATGTCAGTGACATTTTATTAGCTGCACTTATCTTAGTAAGGAATCATTTTAAATTAATAGCAGTTTATTCAAGTAACAAAAGTTGGTGTTATTTCCTGTTTATAATTTAGAAAGATGAGAAATGGATATTGTTCGTCACTGCTGTATTTGATTAATTCTTTTTTGTACTTTGCACAGTTTTATTAACTTTCCAAGTTTCTTCCATTATATTAATTCTTGGTTTTATTTCAACAGTATCACATTATAGTTGTATTGGTTCTTCATTGATTCGCTCGGCCGAGATTGGCCAAAGAGCTATCCTTCAGCGCATGACAGATGTAGATATGGTAGTACTTATGGGGAATGAGAGTGCTCCAAATGAGGAAAAGGATATGATTGCTGGATCAAAGGAACAAATACTATATAGCGCATTATCGATGGTTTTACTTCATCTTCTATAAGTTTTTTCTTTTTAACCGTAAACTAAAATCAAAGAACCGATATGAGTTAGATTGTAATCTGTAAGAACTCCCTACTATATTCGGATATACTAACAATAAGTGGTAAACTGTTATTTTAACCCGTGACACTGTTTCAACGCAAATCGAGAGAAGTGGTTTCGAAAATTAATGATAAATTAGTTCGCAAAACAGGAGGAAGAGATTGCTTGCAGGAAAGCTTGCCATTTCTGAGGAGATTAAGGGAGAAGTTTGACAGATTTGTGCTGCAAAATTTTTGTTTATCTTGATTTCGAACATAATTGTCAAATCAATTGCTTAATTGCAGTATAACAATAACTTCCGGTTGCGAAAACCACCAAAATTCTTGAAAGGTGGTTTTGAAAGTTGGCGTTTGTATTATCCAATGCATACATCTACAAAATCTGCGATGCAAAGGAAATTTGTGGATATTGCAAATCGTACCGAATTCGCTAGGGCTGTTGCTGAATACAAAAAAGGTTTCTTTTTGTCCTGCATATTCTTTACCTTATTGAATATATCTAAAGTACTTCGTATTTCTTCAGATTTTGGGATTGATTTCTTAGAATATCCTCAGTTACTACCAGTGATTTATCCTAAAAAAAGTGGATTATCGATGCCTCATTCGAGTGTTTCTGATAGTGTTGTGCATCATATGGGACAGTCTTCATCTTACTCCTCAATGTTAATGGAATCTGCAGGTACACTTCAAGTTTTGGATAAGTTATTTTATCACCGGTGATTTGTAATTAGTATTCTGCATGCATAAGTTTGAAAACGCATCCATAATCTAAAACGGTTGCTTCAGAGATTTAATTTTTCTTAATATTATTGTAATCCTTTTTGTGAATAGCTTTTAGCTTTTAGAAGGAACTTCTATGTTGGTTCTTTCATGTGGTCTTACAGACGTTTCTGACAAACCGTCAGTATCATCGTTGGGCTCACCGCTGCCACCGAAAAATGGATTACTTGACATTAGGATAGATGCTACTGGTACAACAAATGAATCTTCAGCTATAATTGATTCAGTCATTACGGAGACTGCAGTTCCTCCGATCCATCAAAGTGCGACTAAAAACTCTAATTCGCAGATTGATGTCCCTGCACTTCAGTCTTATCAATTCCCCATAATTGATAGAAGCAAAAAACCGCCTTCAGAGGTCTGTATAAAATATAGTATCATCATAAATAAAATGAAGAGGTAGTTTTTTTTTTCTTTCACTACATCATGTTGTAGTGAATCCTACAGTTCTTAATATATAAATCGGTGGTTTCCAATCGATAGTTCAGGAGAACTCAAATATGACCCTTGAAGTTGGCAGCGCGATGAGTAGAAAACAGGCGGGGACTGTTCTTATCAATTTTTGATAAACTAACATGTTAATGTTTTGATATTTTTTTTGAACTTTGCGGTTCTTGCTACAAATAAAAAAGCCAGAGTAGACCCTGGTCCAGAAAAGGTTAGGAACTACGACAAGAATGAATTTGCATTAGCTTCATCAATCTATTAGGATATTCTTTGTTTAACCCACTCATACATCATTTTGCTCGATGTTTACCTTCTCTAACTATTTACTTCCTCTTCTTCAAGACTACCTCGATTTTTATTCTGAAAATTGTATGTCCTATTCATTGATCACATCTATTTTAATTGAATAATTTTGACCATGGTTTCTTTTTTACTTTCCGGATTATTGGGCAACATTATTTCAGTTATTTTTACATAAAGAAAAAGCCTCTTCTGAGAAATCCTTTCCAATTAAGCCGACTCTAACGATGTTTGGTGGTGCAAAATTATACGATGCAAGGTTAGTTACCTTTTTTATTGTATGTTTATATTTATAAAGCCTCTTCTGAGAAATCCTTTCCAATCAAGCCGACTTCAACGTTGTTTGGTGATGCAAAATTATACGATGCAAGACTAGTTACCTTTTTTGTTATATACTTATATTTATCAATCTATGTTGTATACCTTCTAATATTATTTTAGCGCAAAACGGACTCCAGTGAATATTCCAGCCATACCAGACAGACTACTGAAACCACAATTACTTCTGAGGTATATGTAGGATTTGTTTATTTTTGGTGAAGTAGCTGGATGTGAGGTAATTCGATCATGAGCTATTCAGTGTTTCACTATGTTGTTGATAGTTTAAATAGTTACTTTGTTTTTTCAGGTTAAGGGATTTTTTGGATGATCTGACTTAAATGAAACATGTGGCATTGAAATTTCTTTTTTCAGTGATGGCTCGCACCAACTTTTACATTTATATGAATCTATGATGAATATTCTTAGTCTCTATGCAGTTCCTGAAAGCTGTGTAAACTTTCATTTTGTGCACTTAATTTCATGAATTTCGTTTTTGTCTTTTTCTTCTTTTTTCTTTGAAAACACCGTTTTTTGCACGTTCTTGAATTTTTCACATTTAGAATTCCGGATACACTGGTTTATACAATTTGGGAAACACATGCTTCATGAACTCTGTGTTACAAACTCTGTTCAATACAATACCATTGCGACGTATTTTCACCAAAAACGAATTTGTCAGATTTGTTAACAGGCATTTTTTTAAGATTCAGCAGCTTTGTCTTATTCATTTTTTATTAGTTGTAATGTTTCATCGTCACTGATAAAAGCTTTGTTTCATCAATGACTCGGTATTTGAAGAAAAGGAGGAAAATTTTTTCAGGAATAACAAAATGGGAACAATGGGTGTAATATCGTCAGTATTTTCGGCAATGATGGATTCTGTTTGGAGTGGATTATTCAAGGCTCTCCGTCCTCAACAATTTCTTGTATTTTGTTTTCTTTTTTTTTTTTTTTTAACAGTTTCCATGTGAACACAAAAATGCATAGGCAAATACATCCTTCACGCATTTCATTTCATTTTATGAAACCCTTTTAAGGAAACATTTGCCGCTGAAGTGAATGCTTCTTTGGCTGACGGTCAGCAGCACGATGCGCAAGAATTTCAGATTTATTTGCTTGACGCATTACATGAAGATACGAATCGGGTAATTTGCAGTAATCTCTTTTTACTGGGTGTACTGCTTTCTAAGAATGGCTCGACTACGATAGTTATTTACGTAGTTTTAAAATATTCATACCAGAGTGTATTTTTCTTGGCTTTCAAATAAGTTGATTTTCTGCGAAATACGGAGAATTATGTGTTTTAGGTAGTGAAACGTATAACATTTGAACAGAATTATACTGGAGCAGATTTAGAAGCAGAAGCAGCTGATTACAATGAAAAATTAAGGAGATTTGCCTGTTCGCCAATCAGTGATATTTTTAATGTTAGTCATTTTTTCCTTGTGACTAACATCATCGAATTCCGCACATTGCTTATTATTTATTTTGGCTTTTATTTCAGTAACGTGATTGTGATAACTCTTGTTGCTGTAGTAATTTCCATGCATTTTTCCGTGCAATGCTTTGAATTTCTGCAGACTCAAATTAGTACATCTATTTCACAATCCTTTATGCTGTAGAAAAAAGGAAAGCTTCTCCCACTTACAATTTTTGGCTAGCCTTTATTCTTTGGAAAATGATTGGAGTGTCTTCGCGTTGTATTCGCGTTAGTGGATTGTGATGTTTATGAAAAATTCAGTTTTGCCCGGTAACTTATTGTAAGTGGGGGTATTTTTTATTCTGCAAGACGGTGATCATGTAATACTGCTCTACTAACTATAAGAGTTATACAACTGTTCATCAGATGAGGTCAAAACATTTCAACATTCGTCAAATAAATGTTCCTAGTGTCAAACAGTATCAAGTTTGCAATGCAATAAATGCAAAAGGCAAAGCGTTACGTTCGAAGAATTGGCTCAGCTGTCGATCGAAGTGCCAAATCGAAATTCAACAATTGAAGATTGTATACGGAATCATTTTCAAGACGTGGTTCGCTTTCCTTAAGAACTGTAATTCAGGATCCGAATTATTTGTTACTTGACATTTTAAAATTAATTTACATTAATTTGTTTAGTAGTTTATAGGAACTAGATGGTTCATGCAAATGGCGCTGCCCTAATTGTGAGTCTTTACAGACTGCAACTCGTAGAACGTTTTTGTGGAAGCTGCCTGAAGTTCTGGTCCTTTGTTTTTCTTTTACTTCATCACTTTTCTGGATTCGTAGGAATTTTAACAGTAATTTCGGTACAGTACTTTTATTGCATTTTGCATCTATTATCTATATCATTATCAGAGTTAATAAAATCAGCTCTCAATGAATAATCTACAATACTTTTAGAATCAGAAATAAATGTCAACTGCAGGATTTAGCAGTTGGTATTTATCCGCCTGTCTGGTATTTTTAACTGATGTGTTGTAAAACGATCACGTTTTGAATCCCCACTTAATTTTAGGTCATACATTTGAAACGTTTCACTTTTATGGGTGATAATTGGCAAAAGAATGATGCTTATGTAGCTTTCAACACGTTTCCATTAAAGCTACAGGCTGAATATTTCAGCTTATATGCTGTTATCGTAAGTTGTATATTATTGTTTTGCCAGCCGAATTTTTTCATGTTTCTATTTTCTCCTTCCAGAGAATAGACTTTATGTTTTGGTCAAAAAATTTTTGCAGCTAAATCATGATTTCTTTTCTTACATATTACCGCTGAGTGTAATCTTTAATCATCTATTTTTAATCATCAGCCATTTATTGTTTTATCATCTCAGGATCTACGATTCCTTTCGTACATAGGTTCTAGAGTTCTAATATTTGCGAGATTTTATTTCTGCATTACACATTGAATAATATTGATAAAAACTACCATAGTGTTAAAAAAGACTAATCTGTTCGTCCCTCCTTCATCATTAATGTAGTGTTTCATGAACGTCTTCTGCAAAACTCGAATTAAAGCCTCGATAAAAAAAGTATTCCTTTTAATTTGATATAAATTATAAAGCTTATGTACAACACTGAAAGTAATGTTGGTACAGATTAAAAGATCAGAACAAATTGATGCAGTTTTGAAATGCAAACTTGTTCGGCTTCACTTTCATTAGCTATGATTTCACTGATTCAATTGCTTTTCAGAAAATTTTTAATACATCATTATTGTTCTTGTAATCCCCTCTTTCTAGTGATTTTTATGATTATATGCTGTAACTTGTTCAAGTACCCTAAATTGCTGCATTTTGTGCAGGTTTTCAGAACCACAGAGGAAGCTTAAATAGCGGACATTATACAGCAGTGGTTCGTAACCAAACCACTAAACAATGGTTACTCTTCGACGATGATCTTGTTGCGCCGATAGATGTGGATTTGATATGCTCGAAGTATGCCTTTATCTTATATTTTCAGAAAAATTCTCTTGCAAAAGTCCTATGATTTGTTGAAAATCTGTACAGTCTCGAATTTATTTGAAAAATGATTTGGTGGAAAGCATTCAAAATGTTATCATGGAACTGGTTATTTTCATTTCCAATATTGTCATTTTATCATATGCATCCATAGCACTCTCTTCTCTTTGGTCCCAACTTTAATTAGATTCGTATTTTCTTCGTCTTGAGATTACAGGTCCATATCATTTATTATTTGTTAATTGCACTCTTGTGTTATATCACTTCATAATTTTAATGAGGTCAGTGAATCTAACTTTTCGCTTTTTGATGCTTTTTTATATGGTTTTTTTTCTACATCAATTGCTATTTCTTTCAGACTTTAAACATCATTATTTAATATTTGATTCCACAAATTGTGATTACTTTATTTGAATCCTGTATCTTTCGCCCCTTGGTATTTGCACTTTTTCTACTCGTACCGTTTTACTGGCATATTGCTGCTGCATTCTTTCGACCGAGATTGTGTCTGAATAGAGTTATGTTTCCTCATAGAATTTTATTTCAAATAGTTCTTTTTTATTGACATAGATAAGCACTGTTGTGACACCTTAGTTATGGTAACCTTTTTATCTGCTGCTATTATACATAAATTTACGTCTTTCTTGAATTATAATGCAGAGTATCTGATTAAATTGCCGTTACTTTTCTTTGGCAGACTTATATTCGTTTGATCTGAGTTATTTATTACAAAAACACTCAGTTTCTTTTTGAAAGTTACGGAGAAGGGAGATTTGAAAAATTATGAACTATTGATACCATATTTGCTGGAAGGTAGTATATCATTTCTTTGCATAAATTGTAATTGTTTATACCAAACGTTATAATTTGATTGGTACCCTTAATTTGTCATTTATAAATTTCATATCAGTTGCTGTTGCATTGTTAGGAAACAAAATGGGGGTCCAGATTAGCAGAACAAATTTTCATTGAAATTTCCCGGTCTTGTCGAGAAGTTTGGAGTTTCGGATGTTCGACGGATTAGAAGGATGTTGTAGAGCTTACCTTCGCTTGGGATTACTAATTTTCGAGATAATTGGTCTATGCTTTTTAACCTGAATGGGGAAGTTTTTATTATCACGTAAGCGATCAATAGATTTCATACTTTAAAAACATGGTTGACGGTTAGGTTTTGAAGAATTGGATATTTCTTTTGCAATTTCAGATGACTCCATGTTATTTTGTTTTTTCGGTCCTGGACAAACTTCCTCTAATTGTCTTGGTTCTAAATAAACTGTTTATTTGTCCGTAAACTGGTTTTGAGAAAATTTTACTTGATTTTGCAGATGAATGGAACGAATATAAGCTATTTATATTCGTCCATGTTCATAACATGGTAAGAAATTCGTGGAGTAAAAAATGGAAGTATTAACTTCCTTTGATATAATCAATTACTGATAAACGAGGGGAAGTTAGAATATAACAAAAGTTAGAAAACGGGTCAGTAAATGTTTCACCATATGTATTTCGCATACACAACGTGAACTCCTTAGTCCGGGCTATCATTAATTTCCATATAACCGTGAGAACTTAAATGCCTGATAACATGTTGCTTTTTCAAAAATCATTTACTCTCAATACTCCAATCGTATTCTTCCAATCAACTTTATCTTATCAGCATCAGTCCTTTTCTTATTACAACTGTAATTTTATGATTTTTGTTAAGTTCAGCTAAGGCGTACTTTGAAACAGAATCATAAATCATTTCATATCTAACATCCATCTATTTGAAAGAGATATATTGCCACAATCGTGTGTGCTCCCATTAACGGAGGACACATTTTTGGTCGTTATTTTTCTACCATGCAACTTAATTTTTATTGTGACGGAGATTTGGCATCCAAGAGAACGTGCGCAATACATATGAAAATCCTTACTTGACATCGATTATTGACAACATTCATTACGGTAATCATTACCAGATCATTCAGTCCATTGGTAAATCAAGTATAGATTTTGGATTGCAGCTAAATGGTATTATATAAGTATGGTTCTTACAAAGAAGAATCAGATTGCCTCTGTGATAAGTAGCTTGGAATATTTTAGTAATTGGTAAAGGTGACACGGAAAACATGGAATATAAAGCATAGGGAAATGAAAGCCTGAAAATACACCGTATCATATTGAGAGCAGCAATCATTTCTCTTAACTAATGTATAAGAGGTACATTATGTAAGATAAAATTTGTTTTTAAAAGTATAATTTGCTTCATTAGGATGAGGTTCACTGTCTTAAGCATTAATAGTAAAAGGACTACTACTACTAGTGCTACTATCACCTTTCAAAAAATGGTTGTTTAAGGCGGCACATCGAAAGAGCAGAATAATTGCGAGGTGCAGTTTATTACTGATTGGTGAGGTCCATGCACTGCTAAGAGCGAAGGTCTGGTTATACTTCTGATTTATTGTCATTAGTCTAAAAAAAGAAAGGAGTCAGTTTGGAAAGAATATTATAGAAACAAAGGTGGTCCTAACTATATGATTCTTAGCCGGATAAATACCACAAAACCAGAAGGCATAAACTACCGGCGTACACAGGAAAAGGAAGAGAGGGCAGGGTTGGTTTTCAAAACTTGTTTGCGTTGGATGATGAGAATGACAGAAACGAAACAGACGTATACATGCATCTCCGAAGACGTTTCTATTTGTCACCTCTCGACAATTTCAAATTTTACCCCAATTGCATAGAAATTTTTGCTGGAATTGCTGTACTATTTGCTCCCCAGCGGCGCACAATTGTCGTTACCGCCCGCCGCTGCCGTTCTTGCTATACCCGTTCAAAAATTACCCTTTTATAGATATTCTTCCAAAATTAAAAATAAACAAAGCAGAATTGATTGTTGAAACTTTTCTTAATAATTCAAACACTACTTGGAAGAAATGTTTTCAGTGGCAATTCCTTGTGATTCTTTTTCCAAAAAGAATTAAAAAAGGAATTTTTTTTTCATTTTTGGAATTGATAGTGTCACAGCGTTATCACCAGTTTCTCTGTCACACATTGCTACACTTAGGTAGCTTCAATAAAAATTTTTGAAACATTGTTGTTCAGTGTTTAGAATAAACTCAACGGTCATATGCGTATTGCGCATACACGGAAAAGTAAATGAAACTATAGGAATGTCGTCGTGATCAGATACGAGATTTTAATAAACTGCTGTTTTTCTTCACATTTCTAAAATATATCTCATAGATCTTTCGTTAGTATTCACTATCTTAAACTATTGGATTCTTACTATCGTTACTGACCCAGTCTTCAACAGTTCTTTTGACTTTTTATTGAACACTGTCTCTGCCATAATATAGCATTTGTCGATTCGTTATTATGTCACGGAATAGTAGAAAGTGCTTAGCTTTTTATAGTGGAAGGTCACTTCAACTCGTTAACAACAACAATGCAATTACTTGTCTTGCACACAATTCTGTCCCTTGCTGTGATGATCTTCGCTCTTCGATCACAAAGTAAGTTTTGAAAAAAATTTTTTGGATTTTAAATCGAAGAGTCGATAAATGAACAGCAGCACCATTTTCATGTCTCTATTACAAGTTACTATCTTGATTGTCCATCATCGAGATTAAACTTCTTTTCGTCATAACACTGAATTTGTTCCCTTCTCTTACAATATTATTTCTAAAAGGTTGCTTTTTGCTAATTAGTGCATACGAAACAAACAAAAAAGGTGAATCACGTGCCATCCATCTATCAGATTTTAATCTTAATTTTTGGTTATTATTCCTCTCAGAAACGTCTTAATATAACGAGATAAATCATAGTTATGCTTATTTTATAAAGAACTGAAATCACTTAACGGTGAACTAACAGCTTTTTTAATTAATTTTCTATCCAGTATTACACAATTTTCCATCCAGTATTATACGCGCAAAGCCATGTTGATTGAAAAAAAAAATTTGCAACCAAATTGTTGCAAGTCAAAAAACGCTGTTGAAAATGAACGTCAAATTCTCAATAAAACCAAAAAAATTTTTAAATTAAAATGTTAGAAAATATAACTCTGAATGGTGTTCACTGTCGCATTGGTAATAAGTCTTATTGAGTACTTCACCCAGTCAATTCAGAAATTGTGCATTGGAGCATCGCTTATTACAATATTTTTGTTATTGATCAGTTATTCATTAAACCTTTTTCAGTAAGACGAATGATAAAATAAACTGGAATAAACAGTACATATATGAAAATAGATGATAAGAGTTATTTCCCACTTTCATTTTGTTGAAAATCGTATCACATTTACAAAAATTTCCTCATTTCAATTGCTTATCAGACGCGATTTTACTATTAAGCTAACTATGTGTAACCCTATTCCTATCTAACCTTGAATTAAAAAATCTTACAAATCTTCATGGATCCAATATTCGATTATATTAAAAACATTTGAAATTTGTTCACTTTGAGGAAAATTCTACTTTATTCACGGATTGTTGGTTTTCTTTTCATTTCATCATGAAATTTCATTTTATGATTATACAGCACACAAAAATTATTCTCTAAGACTTCAAAATTAATTTTTTTTTTTGATATTTAGGACAATTCTTGGCCTTTTATAAAAATCAAAGTTTAAATTGAACTGAAAATCAAGGAGGCAAGCAAGGAAAATTTACTTCAGGGAATCAGAAAGCAGTAATTGCGGATCTGGGCAAATTAATTGTTGACAATTGTCCACCAATGTTGTGCACCGGTCTGGATTGCGCCGTGGTTACGGAAAGAAACGGTTGCCAGGTATTTTATGTCGTAAATAACCAATCCAAGGGTTTCATTACTACGGATTTCTCATGCAAGTTAATTAACAAACGCTTCTTTCCTTATCTCGCGTTGTCTTTTCATATTTCCAAAATCCCAGAAATATTCTCATTATTCATGTCTCGCTAAAGTATCTTCACGAAATTTCACACTCTGATTAATTAAAACTAATTACTTGGCAAGTACTATAGTTCTCTTGGATGATTATTGAAGACAGTAATTAATTGCTATTTGTCTTTTGCAAGCGAAGGAAACTAGACAAAAAGTGAAAAAATTTGGTGACAAATGAAAGCAAAAAAAAAATTTGAATATTTTGAAAAGAAATTCAAATTGCTGAATTAAAATAATCCAGTTACATCATAACGAAAAATGAAATTGCATCATTTCTTGTGAATTCTTTTCCTTGTACATGAATAAATTCATGAATTTAACTTCGAGCAATTAAATCCATGAATTCAGTTTCGCAACTTTTTTGGCGTGTTTTTTTTCCTGAAGTTTAAGCTTATCAGTTGAAGGACCAATCATTAAAATGATTCATGAGTTGAGTTAATTTATAATTTCATACTCTGAAGTTCTCTAAATAATTTTGCTTGGTCTGGATTAATACTGCAACGCTTGCACTGCTACCAAAGAACTCTTCATGATTTCCGGAAGTCAGATGCTAGCAGCAAAATGCTGTAACCTTTTATATTTCGCTATTTACAACACATATTACTATGATCTTCATTATGGTGGATAAGATTGAATGACAGAGACGCACTTTCTCCTCTAATCTAATTTGCAAGTGCTACCAAGTTTCATTTCTGGACATAAAATTGGATGATGATAGATCAGTCATTTTATGGTAAGCAGACAAACCTAACAAATAAATACACTTAAATGCAAGATGTGAAATTAGTGCAAGTGACAAGTAATCAGCAAGAAGCACAAGTATAAATTAAAAAATCCTTCGATAAATGAAATAAGAAACGATTTTAAGAATGAGTTTTGTCCAAAATGTAGCATCAAAACACTGTCAAAGATAATTGCACCTATGCGTATGATTTAAAAATGCAAATCAATTGAAATTTCAGAGTTCTTTACTAATATTAAACCAATTCATTCTTTTACAGTCTCTTATACTTTTACCAAATTTCAGTGTAAGGATAAGGAAATCAAATAAAAATTATTGCAATCATTATAGTGGAGTAAAAAGCCTTTAATTGCCTTTAATTTAATACTTCTCATGGATCATTTAAAATTCAAATCAAAAGTCTTTAGAAAATTCGAAGATGTATACCTTCTATAAAAACAAGAAAATTCAAGCATAATATGTTTTGTCAATTCCAAAAGTCTCATATTTTCATTTGTCTCCTTTCTGGAAGGGGAAATAATTGACTTTGAATTATTGCTTACAGTGTATCAAAACCGCATCTCGCAAAAAAATTCTTCGCAATGTAATTTCGCACGCTGATAAAAACTTCTTGCGTATAGCGAAATGTCTTCCCTAATCGTTAAAAAAAATTCCTATCTGTTAAAACTGTTGTGATGTTACTCAACAATTAATTTAAGTCATAATTAATTCAAGTCTTAAACTTAATTTTAATTCTTAATTTCCCATTTTTAGTCTCCACATCTGCAAGAAACAAAAAAAGAAAAGCAACTGTGTGGCATGACCACAGTTTCTTATCGTAGAAAGTTATCATCATCTTAGCCAAATAAAAGCGAACAATTTCAAAATTAATGTCTGTGCAGAATCAGCAAACAATTTCATCAACTTTGCATTGTACGAAACAGTACTTTTTAATCGAAACGCTTTTCCTTCCAATTCTTAAAGTTCTGTTAGCAAACTCAATAAATATGATATGACATCTTAAGCATGATATCATTTGACTATATGAGAAAAACTAAATGTAAATGGAACTACCTCAGTTATGTGCCTGCCCTATTGGTTCACCGGCTCGAGGATGCGATCCAATGCCATTCATTCTATGGCACGATCTAATTGTTAACGGATGTCCAAACGTTACTGTCAACGGTCGTGATCCCGCACAGAAAGTTCATCGATGGTTTCGAAGGGTAAAGTTTTTACACTATTGAAAATGCTAACCCAAATCGAAAACGGATCCCTCCATTCTTTTCTAAATTCCCAACAACCATTCGAATCATGAAAGTCAATATTGGTTGAGATCTTAGTGTCTGTTCAAAGATTCGACCACCACTTACCGTTTTTTATCTCCACAAATAAAATTGGGAAGTTTCAAGGTTTTTAGGCAGGGAAGATTCTTTGGTCTTAAAAATCAAATAAATAAAAAATAGCATTTAAACAAATGCTATTATTTTTCGGAGGTTACTATAAAACGTTTCACTGCTGTATAATTCCTGAACCAAACAAGATCTTAAGCTTACCATAAAGCGCAAACTATCGACTATTATTAATCATCTCTTGCATATGATACTTTTGAATAATTCCCAGGTGAACCGATTCTCAAACACGGACCAGTGTGAACCATATATATTCCCATACTGTGCTGAATTGGACTTCAATCTATGGCGTTCACCGAGGACTAAACGAGAATGCGAACTTTACTGTTATTCATTAGCGGAACAACGAAAACGTGGAATTATTTAAATTACAGTTTCCTTTTTATTTATTCACATTACATTTTACAATGTAATGCGTCTTTTCTGTTCCTTGTTGAATGAAAAAAAAAAAACTGTAATGCCTAAAATTGATAACCAGCGGTGCGGTTGTATACTTCAAACTGATTCCGAGAGAAAATTCGTGATGGCATCCCAGCTCTTCTTTATTTTTTGGATAGATCAATTAATTCCTAACATGCATTATCTTAGAGACATCTTTGATCAGCAAGTACACAGCAATGCAATTCGGCACCAAATTTATCGCTCCTCGTCCTTTAATTTTGATTTGAGCCTCCAAATTTTTGTGAATTTAGTGGCTCAATTTAGTACTCGTATAAACATTCAGAATGTGTAAACAAGTATGCGCTCTTCATAGTTTTTACTGCTCTTTTCTTAAGACTCATATGAAGTTTCGTACAAATGTACTTCTCGAAAATCTAATATTATTTATGACTAAATGACCAACTATACATAAATGATTTGATGGCTTGAAGGAAATCCAGTCGAATGTTCGAACAAACATTTTGTCCAGTTCAGCATTGCTTACGTTTATAAATAATCACAACTGAAACCTTCGTTCGCCAAAACCAGAAAAATTTTTCATCTACGCAAAAACTGACTCAACGTTCGTCGAAACCTGATAAGCTGTACTTTGAATGCTGGCCAAAAAAGCTTAAGGTTTTTATAATACCACTCTCTAAAAATAAGGAAGGCAATAATTCACAAGCATTAAACCTTTTCATTTTTTTTTCTGAAGCATAAAAAAACGATCCCTCAATTAATGGACAACAATTAAACACCACAAAAACATTACATATGGATTTGTCGAAAGTAATGTTTAAAAATTTAAAAATATACCTGTTGTAATTCGTAAGACTGTCATAGTGTTCGTCGAGAAACTCCTTATAGAATTCCGACATATCAAGAGCACTTGAATGCTCTAGCCTCCCAAGATTTTTCTTCCTCTAAAGAAGTTTGTTCAAATTTCCATGTGCAAGAAGTAAAAGGTACCTCCTTGACTTCCTCATCACCAAATGACTAAAAAATTGGTTGAATTTTGTAAGCGACAGCAAACAATTCACCACAAAAACTAAACCTGTTCAATAAATTCTGCTTTTTTTTTTCAAACAAAGTATTATGGTGCGCCCAAAATTGTGAACTCCACTGAATCAGTGCTTCGCGTGCTTCACGGTATTTTCTTTCCTGCTCTGTCTCATTGCTTAATCGCCGTAATCTGAAAATGCATCTCTCGTCTTCTTATTTGCTACTTGTTTTAGCTAGCATTGACCGAGCCTTAGAATTACAGAATTATTAGGCGGCATCAACCAAATAACTACAAACGCAAATTTCGCGAGCAACCCGTAAGCTAGCTGATGAACAGTAGTGGATTCATTTTCTTGGTAGTTTCCAATTAAAAAATGATTTAACGCGAACCTTACAGGCCTTATTTTCGAGATGTCATCCGGTGGTCCAACCCAATCGAATCGCTTATCCAAACGTAAACCTCTTGTCTCTTCTTTTCTCGAATTGTTTTTTCCTACTTGACATTTCTGGCACATATAAGCTGAAGAATTCGAACACATAGCACTGAACTATGCATACTATAACTTAAAGAAGTGACAGATTTACATTATAAACATTATAAATTACATTTTTTGGATTTACATTATAAACGAATGAGACTACTCGAGATAGCAAGTGATGAGCAGATGTCTGGGACTTATTCTTTGATAAATGTTTATTCCACAAACAATTAAAAACAGCAGAACAACATGAAGATCAATATGAATATCAACTCAAACATTTTCAGCATCCAAACTCCTAGATAAATTCTTCCTCAGCAACGCGAACATTCGTTCATATTCTTGCATATTATGTCTGAAACAAATGACTCTAAAAAAAATGCACCACATAAAAAGTTCAATTTCGAAGTGAAAAGGCATGTGGAAAACACTTTTCAGAAAAAAAAAACACTTTAAACTAACATTACGAGCAGAACTGGGCCTAGTAACTCCATTGTATTCGTTAAATGTCGTAGGTAGCTCCTTGTATAATGTGTGCAAGTGTAACAACTGCAACTCTTACAAAGAGGCCTAAAATCATCTGCATACCTAAAAGACATGAACAAAATAACGATAAATTACCAGTTAAAGTATATAGGCGTAAAGTGCAGTAATGTTATAAGAAGGGATGCAAGTAATTAATAATAAAAGAATTTTTGTTAAAAATTCGATGTCAAGAATCTAATTTGAAAGGTAAGAATTTCGAAATTTCACACACTGAAATATATGAATGGCTTATTCATTGCTGATATCCATTGACTCGGAGTAACAGGGAAATGTAAATAAGGAAATCATCGATTTTTTTTTTATTCGTTCATATTATGAAGCTGCAACTATCAAATGCACTTACAATGTGTCAGTGAAATCAAACACGCTGAAAGTCGTTTCTTCCGGAAAATTTTCACCACAAACAAATGCTTTTCCCTGTTCAGCAAGAAATATAGCATAGGATGAGTCGAATAAATCTACACCGAGATGCGTTAAAGCAACAACTTCCGCCGGCGAAAATGCTCCATTAACTAAACGTAAGTGAGAAGGCGATATGTGAGCCTGAAATATTTAAATCCGATACTGCTATCAAACCATCAGAAATGGAGGTAAAAAAACATCACTGTTTCCATTATCCCAAAATCCATTAGTTTCTAGATAACAGTGAAAAGTAACTTACCCACACTCCAGCTAGCAAATCCTTGATAATATTTTTATCAAACTCGCTTTCCACGATAACCGGATCCAAAGAACCAATACTTCCAGATACTTCAGGGCTAGAAGATTCTAGTGGAACTGTAATGTCAGTAGTATCCACTTTTGACTTCATTTTCGGTTTTTTTGGAAACACACGAAGACGTTTCGCAAATTGCATTACATCCAAAACAAAACCAGAGCCCTTTGAAAGTGAACCAATCGTAGACGCACAACGTTCATGATGAGATGGGCTATGCCCACCACATAATGCAATTAGTGCTGCTGAACCCTAAAATATCCAAACAAAATCTTTACAAATACAACTATAGCGACCAATGATTTTGATCTACAATTTTAAAAAATCTGGTGATTCGAAAGCATCGTAAGGTGTGGCTATTTAGCATGCAATATCCTTTCATAAAGTATATGAGTTCGAGCCAATGAAGTTTTATGGTTACCAGTTTAAATGAAGGTATGTCATTGAAACGCTTTGTTGGTTATAATTTGATCGTACAAGTCTAACATCAACATACTGTCTTATATTTGCAATGATATTATATATAGAGCACCAGTTTAAAGAAAAAAAAATATTTTCCACCTACTACACAGATAAAACATTCCGAAATGAACCTCAAAAGAATCACTACGCAGCAATTCTCTCGAAAATTTGACTGTTCGTTCTAACGCTTTTTCTAAACGTTTATTAGAGCACCCCTCTGGAGTACCGTAATCAAACATCGTTTCGTAGGATGATACGTGACTGAATCTTAGCAATTTCTTAACTGTTTCGATATTAATCTGAAAGAAACCAACAAGATTTTCTTATTTTCCTAATCAAAGAATGTTTACATGATAAGCATCTCTATGAACAATTCAACAATATTAGAAGCAGTCATATGCACTTTAATTATATAAGTAAAAAGAAACATAAATTTCGTCTCCCTCCCTTTGTCCATATTGCTATATTCCCGCCATTGTTGAATTTCATGTTTCGCTCCGTCAGAGGATCCGTTAGCGTCAGATGAGTTGGTGCATCTTCCTGTAAAAATTCTTATCGCAATCAGCATTGTTACCGCATAACCATATCGATACTTTGTCATTTAAAAATATTAAACCGCATAAAGCCCGACTCAATATAGAGTTGAGGTGGAAAAGTTCAATAGCTATAGGAACAGCAAACCAGAATCTTCAATTACACCATAGAGATGCTGACGTCGTGTTGATAAAATACGAACACGGTTAGAAAACGTAAGAAAATACTAACTGGCATGGAAACGAATTGAGCAATCCCGTTACCAGATTTTTCAATAACTGGCAATGCTTCGAAACTGTAAGTAATGCATATTAAAAACAAAATCCTGAAAAATTTTAGAACAGAATATTTTATCCTTTTAGATTTTATATAACTGTTCAACTTATAACCTGACTGTAATCCGACTAAAAACGATTAGATTCGTATTGTTGGAAGTAAAAAAATCAACTGAAATTTGCTTTACTAAATTTGGAATAAAGCAGCTGGAAGAACTTTCATAAAATAATAACAGAAAAGTTTACAGTGAAGGAAGAGTCAGCTGATAAATAGGCGGCTGTCGGTGTTTGAGATGTGCAGTTGCTACATCCCACGTCAAATGTGGAATATGACCAGCACGTGTATACACCATGTAGGATGGCGTTTCGTGCTCAACAATTACATTACCCCAACGAAAAATTTTTCCGCTCCGTCCATTCACAGTACTTCGCTGTACCATAAATTTCACCATCTGAATAATTAAAAACATAATCTCCGGTTTTCCGATCTCCTGACACAATGTTTTGTTGTTTGGATAATAACAATTACTGATTGAAATCGGCGGTCAATACTTGACGTAGACTTGCAAGAAGTTTTTTATTCACTAAAACCCATTAAAAACCATGGAACAAATTCTCAAATACACAAAGTTACCTTTTTTAATCTTTTGTGAAGCAAGCAAATTCAAGTTAAACACCTAATCATGAAAGCGTATTTAAATCATGCAAGTAGGTTTCGCTATTTTGTAAGCCCAAGTAGGTTTCACTATTATACAAGCATCATACATAATTCTCAGATGGAAAATAAGGAAAGCGAAATGATAGACAAACATTTAAACAAAAGATGGCTGTAACTACTGAATGAAGAAAATCAAGATTTAAGAAAGCAAATTTTAGAGATGGCCTACGTAACAGAAATCTACTAACAACTAATATTAAATCAAAAAAAGAAAAAAAAGATAATTTGAGAGTGCGATATCTTCATTTCGACTTCAGTTTTTGTAGTAATTTCTTCAATTCATTATCACTGTCAATTCCCTTTGCCCATGACGGAGCAGGAAGAGTGAATGTTGACATCGCTTTCTTAATATGTTCTATTTTATCTGAAATAGTAAAACGAATGAGCTGAGAGTCAGAAAGTCAGTGTAATTTTGACAGAACTAATCATTCTCAAAATCGTCATGCTAGACATACCCTCAAAAATGAAAGCTGTTAAACCACTTCAGCTCAACCCATCTATTAACTAGGCTATCGTTATTTCTGAATGCTTAATTGCTTTCATTTTTTTCTTTTTTTTCAGTAAGGAACGTCCAGTTTGTAGGATTAAGCTTCATAAGAAACATTACAACTAATATCTTAAAAAATATACCTTCAGTTAGTTCAATCGACTTTGCCACATCAAATTCAAGACCGAAATTTGCATTTTCTGAACTCACAACCTGAAATACGCCCAAATAAAGATCGGAAACAAAAAGGTACTTAGAAAATACTATATCCTTCAAAATAACAGAATGGTAACACTGCAGAAAAGGAAGCATATGAACTAACTTCCTCCACATCTTTTTGAACTACTGCACTGGTGCGCTCATGGTCAGTACTTGCGACCTCGAATGAGTCATCCAAAGTAGGAAGAATCCGATAACCAGCATAGAGATCTCCATCACTCTCATCGCATGAATTCGATTTTGTTTCACTTATATCGTCTACAAAAATGACACGCCACTGCTTCAAATCTCCACAATTCATTTCTCGATTCAAAAAGTTATCCACCATTAAATGAGCATAACAATAGTAATAAAACTAAATAATTTCAAACTAAGACTTTCGATTATTATTTCAAGCATGGCGCCAACTATCAACCACTCATTTCATTTTAAGGCCAGATTTTATTTGGCATTATTATGAATCGTGTCGTAAAATTAAATTCTACAAACAACAAAATCACATAGCAATTCTGTTTCCCAACTTTCAAAAGGGAAATCCACTCAAAAATGAAAATTTACGTATACCTCCACCATATGCATATTCTTCAACACCAATGCCACGCATTTCAACTTCGTAGCCAACACGCCAGCCATCATCACTATCCCGATTGCCTTCAAAAAAAAACACTAATACAGAAGAACCACTGTGTCACATTTATGTTTTTGACTTGAACATTACTTCAATTTTAGTGCTTTTCAGTTAACAAACTATTTCCTAAAGATAAGCAAGCAAAGGCAGAACAATCCAAATCGAAATGAGGATAAAGCTATCAATCGTCAAAGAAACATTCACTTGTTTATATCTCTTTTTTTCTATCTTATTAAGCACTTATGAAAATTGTGTTTAATAAGGTAGAAAAACTTTGAGAATTTATGGCAATGGAAATTATGGAGGTGTTAAAAGTTAGACTTATGGAAATTCTCACTTGTGGCTCCACTTATGGGAATTTTCGTATTAGATTCTCGTAGCTCTCGTACAAGTTAAAAGCATAAAAATTTTTGAAATTTATTGTCGTCCAAAAACAAAATTTTCAGGATTTATCAAAATTTGTTGCATTAATAGCAAACACAAAATCCTACCATCATCATTATCAGAGTCATACCGCTCCCATGGATTTTGCTCTACTGGACTCGGACCCATTGCGTAATTATAATCAGGATAACGAGCACATTCACTATAAGGCTCTTGGAAGTAGAGGAAATCGTACAAAGAATTCATTACCAAAGCATCCCCATATCATAAATTTAAACATTTGAAAAACTCATTTATTCAAATCAAAAGATTAGATAATAACGAAATATGATCATTCTCACACCGACGACCCGAAGTCATTTACTTGCTTCAAATAATAAAATGAGTTAAGACCAAAACTTGCAATTCTACACCTGGAACAAATGTTTATCGCATGTGGCATATTTCATTGCCTCGAAAGAAAATCAAAATTAGTTCGAAAGCGAATATCTTTATGAATAAAAAATGAAAACACTAAGTATTGGATGACAAAGAGAAATTAAAAATAAGAGAAATTTCAAATCGCTGTGACAAAAAAGAAACATGTAAAATGTAATTATTCTGGAACGTAATAACACCATTATGAGCGACGATGTCCTGAACGGTCGGAAGTGGAATCATTAGCTGGTTTGAAACCAGTGAAGCAACACGGCGTTTTAGTTTAGAGATGAAATGAGTTCTGATTTTACCGTCCAACAAAGTCCATGCTGACGAATCCACCAGTTGCAGATGTAGTTGAAAACTGCAACTAAACATGAAAAAAATTTGACAATTTGAAACTTTAAAACAGCATGCGATGTAAAGGAAATAAAAATTTACAGATGAATTTCCAAAATTAAATTACATAGAAAAAAAATTGCATCACTAGAAATATAATAGTTACCTACAAAAAACTTTTAAATGAACTGACCCTTCCGTTTTATCAAAAAAATAAAAAATCCTGTCACGAAAAAACAATTCTGCTTCAGTTTCAGTTCAATTTTATCCCCACCGAGCATGACTTTAGGAACATCTATACAGCTGCTACGAGTAAGGATCTTTCAACATCCAAAAAATCCCTGGAATAAAATTATACAGATTTAATCATTTATTATATCGAAGACTGACACTTTTGGTCAAATGAATTACCAAATTTTCGGACGTATTATTTTTTTGCAATCATGTTTTCGTATGTTGGGCAGTCAAAAGTATCTTGAAGTAGGAATCTGATCTCAAACTTAAAGTATTGCACGTAAAACAGAAAATAGAAAAATCTGTGAAGAATATTCTAGTTGAAAAATAGAGTAGTAAAACTGGTAATGTTCAGTAAATAAATAACAAAGTTGCACAGAATAAAAGTGATGTAATATCAATCAAAAGCTGAATGACTGTATGCTGCTTTGACTATTTCAGCAATCGTTTTGATATTTACAGCATAAATAACATCACCACGTGGTAACTTTCGAAAACTGTTGAAGATATCATCGACTTTCAATTATTCTCATTTGCGTCTTCTTTATCCGGAAATCCAGCATGATAAGTTATTAAATTCCCCTACTGATAATTTCTGGGTGTCGAACCAAAACACTATTCATCAGCAGTCCTGGAAACAGTTGTGCAGAAATGACTTAATTTAATATTATGTTTAGAAAGAGAACGAAGTACTTCAGGAAAATACTAGTTCGATATATAATGCACTGGAACGAATAATAAAATTGCCTGCCCGGAAAAGATGACGCGGTGGTATTTGTTCAATACCATGCCTCAAGAACGAATCAAAAATAGTGCTTACTTTACGAGAAATAACTTTTTTTTTAATTTCGAAAAGCATAAAATGATTCAGAAATGTGTGTACAAGTCGATAAAGCAATACTGGTCTGGAGACCGAATGCGTGAAGTGTTTGAATTCAAACATGCTGAAACAAACTCTAAACTCAACCGGATAGTTTGCTAAAATGGAATAAAAATCACTGCTCTAACGGGTTTATTTGTCATAGAGAAAATAAACCCTTCCTTAAGTTCTGATGGATGGAAAGTTGAAAAAAAAAATTGAGTGAAAGTCAAATTGGAGACATTTAACAGAAACCAGTTAAGCATAGGATCAGCGTATGGTAGGCCATCTTATTAAACTGGAAAAATCCTCCCGATTATTATTGTCATGTTGTGAATTCAAAATGTAAAATTTCCACTTATTTCGATAAATAGTTTGCATATCCAAACACCAACAATATTCACATTGATATTTGCTATCTAAACAGAAGTTAATTGTTGTATGTAACTTCTGCAGTTTATTTGTAAGCATAACATACTACCTAATTTAACTATAAACCTTGAACTTCGGAAGAGAATTCATAAACAGAGGCGACAATACGTAGTTCTGTAATCTAAGTAAAAAGGAGAAAGCAAAGGTCTCAAGGTTCCAAATCTCCTAATTAAGAAGATGTAGTGAAGACGGAAAAACCTGCAAATAATAATTACCAACACATAATGTAATTTCAAAAAAATCAGCTCGGATGTGCTCGCAACTTTTGCCTGATAACAGCTGGCACCAAGTCCACTGCTCAACAGTGATTTGAGCTAATGAGAATCTTTCTTGAAATATGACTTCAAAATGTGTGCACTGGTCTGAAATGCACCGGGTTTAATTAACTCATACAAAACAACACAACGAAAGGTATATCATAGCAATTAACGCAGAAATGATCCACTGAGAAGTGACCGGAACAGAGTGCCCAACCGAATGGCTTCACGTAGTTTAACTGATGAATAATTGAAAATATAACCATTACCGTTTGAATACAAACTTAGTACGACAACCCTCCCGATGCAGCCCCTCTCTGTGCCCTCGTTTGTACGCGTCACATTCATTACAGATCTCCTCACTCATCTCTTTCGTCTTATTCTGCGTAGCATTCCTTTTCTCTGCCACTACTCGATAACGTACTGACTACTCATTCTCTCATTCCTCGTCTCTTCCTCGCCCGACCGAGAATATTAATCATTCTTTAATTGGGAACTTTGTCTTTAATAAAAGAGTTCCATCCATCACTTCTTTCCGCCGAAGTTGACATATGAGGACATTTGAGGGCATCACATGCAACTTTGAGAGTTGTGAAACAGATGGTCCAATCTGATGATAATTGAAACGAATTTGGTCACTTGTTGATCTCGCCAAATGATGCATTCTTTGACGCGTTAAATGAGTGACTTGTTATAAATTCAGAAGAGGAGAGTGAAGAATGGCACAACTGATAGTAACTGGAAAGTCATGTGTTGAGTTAAAAGAACGGGGATTCCCTCAGAGCAGCTTAATTAGAACAATAATAAATCTATTGGTTGGAAAGGCTGTTTAATTTAAACATCAATCCATTCCTGAACTCTCCGTCTTCTTCTTCTCCCGTCCATCCTTCTACATTTCCAGCGGCTCGATCAGCATAATTGATCCTTTTATTACCTTTTTTTTAGTGGACGCTTCTGACTTCAGTTCGCCCATTTTTTTTTATTACTTGGTAATCGATCGTTTGCTATTACCAGCTATTTACATAGATTATATTTTCAAATACTTCTGTTATATAGCCATGAAAATTTCTTTCAGATGAGCAGTTTGATAAATGATTCGTTAGAAAATTGTTTTTTTTCTTTTTTAATATAAACTGCTAAGTAGTGAAGATTTCGTCCAGCACAAATAGAAAATCATCTTTCCCACAATTTTATCTGTAATTTGCACTGAATTAAAGAAAAAAATTATTTACAATGTTTGTTTCATTTCGACCGATGCAAAACGCAGTTTTTGAATACTTTTATCCAATTCAGAAATGCACAAATAATTCTGGTTCTGACGCCCAGTGAATTAATTATGAAGCTGAAGGAAGAGAAAGACAAGCAAACAGCATGCCGCCTTTTACCACTTTCTTTTTTTTTTGGCCCGTCCACCGTTCTGGCTTAATTGTCCGAGATCGGCCTTACGAAAAACGAAAATGTAATCCAATAAACGGCTTTTAGGCTCCCAAAAACATACTAAATGATCAAAGCATATCGAACATAGTAAGTGATTTAAAATATTTGTTACATCATTTTCACATCGAATTCATGCAACTATACTTTTTTAATTTCGCGCTTGGGAAACATTCTGGTTCTTAAATTAGATTTCAAATTTCAATGAAGTGTTTTCAAAAAACTCACTATTAACTCGTATTTAACCTAGGTTAAAATGATGAGAAATGTATCATTCCTGCAAATCTGGTAACGTTGCTTTGAAAAAATCAATACCAGTAGGATTCACGTCTGCAGAATAAAAATCATTAGGTTTTAGTAGGCCCTTAAGCTCGCCGCTCCATAAATCTTGCACTAAATAGCCATTGGGGTTGGTGAGTCCAATTTTCCATAGTAGGAAGCGCACATTCTGTAATAAATGTTCAAATCGGGAAAGCAAAAGAAATATTACAATATTGCAAGAATCAAACTAAATTCATCTGACAATTCAGGAGGTGTAAGAAGAAGATCAAACAAGTTACAGGCAAATGCTTTTACGACAAAACTCTGAATTATACATATTTTTTGGAATTAAAATTTAGCTTTTTTTTTAAAAAAATTCTAGCGGTATCAAATATGAGGAGTGGGAATAATCTTGTTTTAGGTACTAACCTCCACTAATATTCCAGTAAACGGTTAAGAAGGAAACGGAAAGTTTCACAATTTTTTTCCATCCAACCAAGTAATAACCCATATTCGCAGCTCTCAAATTAAAGCAGATAGAAATGTGCTACTATGAAAAAAAGTGAAAATATACCATTCCTTGGTGCAGATTACGATTGAAAATAGCTACAGCGTAAGAGTAACGATGAGCTGAGGGTACTGCTGGAATTACGGGTTTCACGTAAATGCCAATATCGGTCGTCTAAAAAAAAATTGTTGATTAGAGGGGAGCAAAAAGTATCAAAACATTTCCTTCCTAATTAATTTGACCATAATGATTCACTAAAAATACTAAATATGAATAAGAATTTAAATACGATAAACTTGTCAGTATAATATCTGTGGGATGTCAACACTATGGAATGTTAACAATTGGAATGTCAACTATCCTGAAAAAATTAGACTCACTGAATAAATAGTACAGAGTTGGAAAAATTGTTGGAATAATTTTAAAAATGAAAAGAGAAAAAGGAAAAAAGAAAAGTGGAATCAAATCAATGAATGGTGGATAAGCAAAGAAATGTGTGGATAAAAACCGTACGTTGATTAAATATCAGTAAATTATACTAACATTAGCAACCAATCGTCCCATGATGCCAAGTGAATCCTGATCGATGGCAATAACCCGCCTATTCAATAAAATATCCCGGAACACGGGAGCAATCAGCCTCAGATCATTGGACATGATTAGCGGTGAAGACCAAATTGACCAAATAGACATTTGCACTTTTGCTTGATCCACGGTTAACTCCGTATTCCCTACAATTATCTGAAATTTTGAAAATTATTTAGTTTCATCGAGAGAAGCTGAATTTTTGATAGCTACGCTAGATGATATTTTTGTGTTGTTCCAAATTTAGAAATTACAACAGCTTCTGAAATGACAATATGGCTTCATTACTATCATAATCGTAATCTTATTTGTTCCATATGCTGAGCAAGCAAATCAAGTTTGTAGAATTCTAAAGAGCATACCATGTCAGGATCATGCCACCTTCCAGGACCCTGTGCAGGAATATGTTTGTCTTGATGATAATCGTAATAATCAATGATAGTTCTCACGGAAGCCCAGGAACGCTTTATGTCATCAAAATTACGCCATAAATTACAATGGTGTCCAATTAACTGATAATCAACCTAAACAAAAAGGATTGTGAAAAGATATTCTCTTGTTAACACTTTTGTGATAATATTGATATGGCAAACGTAAAACCAATACAAGAACCAAATGTAAGAGAACCATGAATATGTATAAATAGTATCACCAAGATTGCTCGAGCTTTTAGTGAGATGCTCGCGATGTAATTATATGATCACACTTTCTATACTCATACTCATCTTTTTTTTTGCGCCATATTATCTCCAGTGCTCCCACCACAAATGAGAACGATTTTCTCAGTTGTTGATTTCCGTAGACACCGCGACAACCATTACCGGTGAAGTGAATAACACATGTTGCTCTAATATCATCTCTTCACCTGATCATCTCGACAGCTATTGTACCGCTTATTTTATGAAAAATTCCGTCTTCTATGTGATCAAGAAATGATACGCTCAATACCCTCGCTTTCTCCGCCCCACTAGTCGTATGTTTACTATCTGCCTCAGTTAATTATTGAGTTCTTTGATAAATGTCTCTAATTAAAGTTGGTCAGAGTTTGCAACAAATCGGAATCCCGAAATTTTCGCTCCCTTTATTTTAATTCACTTTTTCCTGTGTGTTATCGATGCTTATACATTTCCACCAAATCGTTCTGAAGAATACCGCATCGACAGAAAGTGAAAAATTGAGAGAAGGATTACTCACTTTTACTCATTAATCGGTCTGTAAATTAGAAAAATGAGCAGTGTTATATAGTCCAAATAGCTTATATTGAACTTCCTTTTCCCATTCATTAACACTCAGTTCATTTTCACGCAGTGCAATGTTCGTTAAATATCATCGAGTAGTTTAACGTGCAATTGACGAGAAGGATATTTAAGGGGGACGATATTTCTTTAGTGATTCAGAACCAATTAAAATAAGTGGAGAAGTTCTGTATGCTGAATTTCTGCCAGAATCTTGCCTGTTGTCATTCAGCAGAACTTTTATGCAATGATCAGTAAGACTCTTGCAATTTTTTTTTTTTGTTTTTTGTTTTTTTAAAAGAGATAACGGTATTTTATTCCCTTGTTGTCATCCCTTCTGTGTAGAATACGACACTTCACTTTGGATGACTTTTCGATTAAATCGGTTCTACGGGAGTTTTATACATACATTGTCTTTTCCAGTTAATGCTAACTACCAGAAGTTTTCCCACTTTCATCTAATCAATCCAAAAAGAATATGCTAATTGGAAGCTTAAATTTAAAGACAAAAGACAATCGTCTAAAATTTTTCTGTGACTTGCTCTTTCTGTATGATTGTGATATAATCCATAGCTATTCAGATTCAAAAAAAAAAATTTCTCATTCTAAATCAGAAATGAATAAAAATTCTTTGCATCCTGCTCACAGAGCGAAATAACCTTCTCCGGTTGATTGATGAGATAGGCAGGCCAACTGCAGGAGTAGACGATAGGTCGACCAGTTAGATTCAACATCCGACCCATTTCCGCATAGCCTATGTAATCAGCAAAATGATTCAAATGTTATCTGCAGGAACAGCTGGGCAACTATCCAGGTCTGATATATTAACAGTTCATCTAGAAAATATGTGTATACGAAGATTTATAAAACTATCCGGACGAGAAAAAAGGAAAATGATAGCAGGCTACTACAAATCACATTCAGAATTTGGAACTGATCCCGTCCAACTTTAAGACATGATTCTAAGATACATAAAAACGGTTTGATGTCTAACATTATTCAATTTCTGATATTTTCAAAAACATGATGAACTAACCGCTCGGCATCAGATTAACATCGATGTTACAACCATCAAGCTTGAGATAATCAACCTGCCACTCAGCAAATGTATCGGCATCTATTTTTGTATATTGATAGCTACCTGGAAAGCCAGCACATGTGGCCGTGCCATAATCTTCATAGATACCGAATTTTAGGCCACGCTGATGCATCTAAATTTTGGCAAACTTCAAATTCTCACTTAAAAAACAAGATTCGTAAATTGATGCGTATTTAATTTTTTGTTTTCATTTCCCTAAATCCAAGTGCCTTTAACGAGAGCTTCTTTTCACTAAAGCTTTAGTTTTTTCTACAACATGTACTTTTACGAACTTGTACTTTTATTCTTCTCACTTATTTCATATCGAGCAATGAACAATTGCAATGCAAACTGACATAATCAGCAAGTGCAGCCATCCCGCCTGGAAAGCGCTGCCGATCCGGAATAAGACGATTGTGTTGATCCCGCTTTCGTTCCATCCAGCAGTCATCAACATGAACATACTGGTAACCCGCCTGGAGATAACCATCATCTACTGAAATGGACACAATAAGATAATCTCTTGTATCATAAAATTAGGAAACAGTCTAGGAACCTGATCCACTGCACACTTTTACATCGATATATGGTCAGTCCATCTTTCTTCATAAGATTGCATAAATGAGTGCAACTTTTTCACATATGCAAAGTTATTGTCCAAATATCAGGGAAGCTGTCATTGTCGTAGAAGCTGGTCTATCCATCCTAAACTGACCTTCCAGATTATCAAATTCCACTGAGTAGAGGTCCGCAAGATTTCGAGATATATTGAGTCGAAAATTACATTAAATGTACATTTCAACGGCTAATTTGAAGTTGGTTTTGTTATTTTGGAATTATTATTTTTTATTCTTTTCTCTTTACCTAATCTGCAAAGGTAATTGGACATTTATATATTGCAGGGAATATCAAGTTGAATGATTTTCTTGATAGCTTACCCATACGATCGGCCATGTCCATGTAAAGCTTTTCACTAATACATGTAAAAGGGTGGTGTACGCAATCCATCTGGCAGTGAAATTTCGTCCAAGACATCCATCCCATCGGTGGTGTCCTAAAAAAGGAATTCAAAATGAATTTTAAGAAATTTAATAAACATTTAAATTTGTGTCTGGTATCCAGTTGTATCCTGTATTAACCTATGCTTGGTAAATTTTTTTTCCATGTTTATTTAAAGAATTTCAGACCAAGGTCAACAAGAAACATTTGTCTAGTCACATTCATTGGAAGAGGAAGGAATGAACGGAAAGAAATCAATAACAAACAAAGTAAGGAAAAAATAAAAAAAAGTGCACTTGGGACAAACGGTAAACATAATTTTATAAGCCGGAATTAAGCACGAGGAGGGAGAGGAAGAGGGAGGTGATCCTGACCTGGTCACAAATGCCGCGTGTTTACCTACTTCATTGTTGCACAGCAAAATAAAGAAACCTAGCTAATCCATTTTCCAAAGCTTCAGCAAAATTTGTTATTGTGACCAAACAAAACAGAATAAAATATTGATTCATAGGAAGACCAAGTGTAGTATAAAATAACAGTACCTGAAAATATTCATGACTGCAATTGGTACTGAAAGGAAAATAAGGACAAGTGATTTGGTGCATTCATTTGTGTTTAGAGAGTGCAAAGCATTGTTAGAGTAATAATAAAAGAAGGTTGATTTGTCTTTAGAAGTCTAAATGATAAGCTCAGCTTGTAAAAGGAAAAAAACTGTAGTTTCGGTGACTTTAACAGAACGGTCAAAACGGTCAAATGAGAGAACGGTCAGAACGGTCAAAATAAAAAGGGATGGGTAAAGCAAATTTTTTACATGACCTAATGCATTTTCATATCTTATGATTAGTTTTATGCATGTGTTGACATAAGAGATTACTAAAACGCAGTTAAAGTTGTTGGCCATAAATTATGTGACAAATTAGCAAAGAGAAATATCCAATTATGCTATCCAATTAGTTTGAAAAATCTAGTAGAAAACTGGAAAGGCTGGCCAAAAGGCGCAGCTTGAATGAAAACTACATATAATTTTCTTTGACAAAAGAATATTGCTGCCGGAAAAGAAAAATCAACAAGTCTTTAAATACATTTGAATAAATCATTAAGGTCAACCTAGCAGCTTATAGTTGCAAATCAAATATGAGCAGAGAAAAATCCTGTCATTATTACTGTTTTTATTCAAAAATCATTTTGATTTCCTCGTCGGTGGTAACTTGAATTTGAAGTTATAATTAATTTTCCTGCAGTAATATAAGTACTATTAAAGATACTTTTTTTTTGTATTTTACAAATGTCAGTTTTCATCAATTTTTGGTTTCGGAGATTTTAAGAAAAGTAATAATCATTTAAAAGACATTTGAAAATCGAAAAAAAACAGGACAAAAAACATATCAGTGGATAAACGGGAAAAAACCAATCAAACTTTGTCACACGGGGAGTTGCTAAAATTCAAATAATGCGACGTTGAATGCATGAGGTTGATGCAAAAATAAGTGAGAGTTTTCGCATCATTGAAAGTTATTACTTCTTTAGCTGTATTCCTAGAGTTGAAGGTGTGACAAGCATAAAATAATATGAAAAACAAACAATTCAAAAGAGATATATTTTAAGGTATTAAAATGGAAAGAAAAACGAATTAAAAAGTCAGATGAATCGAATCACAAAAAACAGACTCTCAAGAATTCGTTCTGCAACTGATTTGCAATAGATGTGAAACTAAGGCTGAAGATTGGATTTACGTTGAGAAGAATGCTTAAACCATATTTTGGATGGACAAGCAACATTTCGATGATAAGAACGATATTCGTAAAGGAATATAGTATTGTAATAAGTAAGTAAAAAAAGAGATGAGTATTCAGTTCATTTTCTGCTACGGAAAAAATTACCGTGAAAAAAATGATTCAGAACTTGTGTATACCTGAAAACAAGAATTCAAAATTAGATAATATTGAAGTTGATAAAACCTGATAAATGTTTTCGCGTTGTGAATTAATCATTTCTTTAATTTCTTGAAACGATTATAAAAAGCAGAAGTTAAACACTGTAGTATATATATATATCAGCCAACAAACGTAACAAAAACATTCCCGTGCCATTTAATCTAATACAAAGTCACTTCCTTATACGGAATAATTCCAAAGGATCCACTGAAGACTGTTTTTCAACCATCGAATCCAATAATTTACAAATAATTTCCATTTGTGGGTAATCTTTGCTGTCCTCCGATGTCTGCACATAGACAATTCTGTTTACAACACAACACACTCGAGGAGCGCATCAAACGGTTGATTGCAAATCGATCTGTAGCACCATCAATCTGTCGTATGACGGTCGGTCTTATTATTCATCCTGCAATTCACTTCACAGTTCGTGTTTAACACTAAATTTCTGTGACAATTCATACATTGAATTAGTTCTATTTGTCCATCCAGTCATTTGAATTCCTAGTTTAAGTTCGATTACATTTATACTTTGTAGTAACGGAAGTTTTACAGAAGCGGTAAATTCACCCTGTACTAAATCAAGATGCTTGGATGTGAAGCATTTCCGGGCAGTCAAATGTCCAAAATAGTTATTCTCGCAATATCTCATTGATTGGATCTATGAATAATGCAGCACTCATTGTGTGAGTGACTAGCTCTGATAAACTGATATGATTGATGCATTTCAACGTTTCAAATATGTTGTTGAAAAGTATCCTTCCGATAGCATTGTAATCTTTTGATTGGAATAGCGTCATTATTTATTTACGGCTAAATTATTTCAGATCTTGCGTTGCTATATGAATGCACGATCATAAAAATTCAAGAAAATCTAATGACTTGACTAATCTGTCACCTTTGAGAACCCATTAGGCAGCGGAATGAAAGATGTGGGTTGTACGGAAGAAAAACTTGCGAAATTGTAAATAGGATGAATAACCTCTCAGATTCGGCCTACATTCTAAAAAGTGATGGGGTATCAGATAACCCAAGCGCAAATGTAGACCTGAGTGTATCTCTAACAGAAAGATTATGCATTGGATGTTATGGTGACGGTTTCTGCAGGCGACAAAATAGTTGAACTTCGATTATTTCAAATACGACTAATCCAAAAACTGACCTACTGAAATTATTTGAAATCGATGAATGCGTCACCGAGCGCAATTATTTGCCGTTCGCGTCAAAGCATATGGCCAGCTGTATCGGTGGAGGAAGCAATGGAGATGATAGAAGAACACGCTTCCTTGACGAATAGGACACGTTTAGTCCGCGTTACAGATATCAAACCAGGTGTATACATTACTAGTTCAAAACATTTTAGAAATATTAACTATTTTAAGAATGTAAACACTTACTTAGTAAAACATGATGGATAGATGATATTTGTATCTCGGCGTGTTTCATAGGAACAACTGAAAGGCTTCCGCCTTATGGATTCACATTTTTCCATACATTTTATACTTATAGAAGAAAACATGCATTTTCGAAATTCAGGAGATATTCTGGCGGAAAATGTGAATGCGACAAAAGCACACCCTGAAATGCGTACATCTGTTAAAGATGGATATGCTGTTATCGGTTGGTATTCAAATGTTCAATTACTCCAAAATTACGCAAGTAGATTATGACATTTTCGATAGTTTTCTCTTTTGAAGCAGTCATTTCCACCAAAAATAAGTTTGATGGTGGATATTTGAAGCATCAGATGGCAAAGGTATTCGAAAGGTCGTAACTGGAACAACGGCCGGTGTTTTGGCTTTCGATATTCTCCGGCCGGGCACTGTCTGTCGAGTAAATACAGGTTATGCTTTTAATGAGATTGAAATTTAGATTTTGTCATTACTTAAATAATTTGAATCTTATCATAATATCCTCCTGCCATCTCTCAAGTTCTTTTTCCATTCATCGACTGATATTAACAAATATCTTAACCCTGAATTATTTGTTTAGAGATTCGAATGGTTTTCTAAGCAGACTTCACCATTTCAAAACAAACTTTGCCAAGCATAAGTTACACTACTCGGTCTTATTTTATAAATTGATTGTACATTTGCTTAGGTTCCATGGTGCCAGATGGTGCAAACGCGGTAGTACAGGTTGAAAATACTCGCATTGTGAAGCATAATGTTAGTTAGCATTCATTGAATCTTCGTTTAATAAATCAACTTTGTTTGTTCAAAGGAGTCGTCTAGTTGTTTCAATGTAAGTTTTCAATCATTTAAATTCATATATTTTTTCCCGACAGCATTATGATGAATGACACACTCAATTTTTAGAACTCTGAAGAAGTTACAGTAGAGATTTTGGATGAACCGAAAATTGGACAAGATATCAGGTAAAATGGGATTCTTCAGCTGTATATCAAACTTGTCCATTGAGAAGACTTTATGTAGATATTAGTAGAGATTGGTAAGTAACTGAATGCTTCAAAAAGATAAGCAAAGCGAGGTAATTAATCTGACCTCCACTTGATGCGGAAAGAGCGCAAACAAGGGTTTTTACATCTGTTTCTGAATTCGCCACGAATACGTTCCCGAAATTTAATGTTCATATTACAGAGAAATTGGTTGTGATATCGAGTTGGGAGAAACCTTACTTTTTAAAGGATGTGCAATAAGTGCAGCTGAAATTGGTATCTTAACGGCATCAGAAAGGAATTTCGTGGAAATATTTCGGAAACCCAAAGTGGCAGTTATTTCGACAGGCAATGAAGTAAGTTGGTAAGAGACGATACAAGCAAACACACTGATTCATTTAAGGGACTGGACTAAAAAGTTTATTTTGGCATCAAAATTCCAAAAAATCGCAGTTCCATTTTTTTCAAGATCGAGCTTAGTCATTATTAAAGCAGAAAACATGAATCGGCAAAATGATGCAAGATTTAAGGTAGTGGACAGCGGATCGAATAATTGTCTATTGGGATCAGTACGGGACACAAATCGTCCACAACTTATTGCTCTGCTGAAGGAAAATAATTTCAAGCACGTGGATATTGGCATTTTGCCAGATAAGTCAGGTTTTTCCACTTGAAGTTGAAATTAAAAATTGGTAGTAATTACAGAATTTCTCTAAAGAGATGTGAGCAGATTAATGAAATGACTTCTCTTGCTCCTTTAGAAAGGAAAAAATAGAAGAAGGACTGAAAACAGCACTGACATTGTGCGACGTTGTTGTTTGTTCAGGTGGCGTTTCTATGGGTGAAAAGGTATCAATTTTATGCTTAATACGACACGGACAGATACTAATTTCATTTTTTTGTGGACGGATACATTACCCGAAAGCTGTTGAAGGTCCCAAATTAAGGAGCGGAACATAATATTTTCAAAATGTAAAATCTGTCCATGAAAATTCGATCTGCCACTAAATGACTTTGTAATTAAGGATGGAACTCTGATAATGATCTTTAGCCATTACTTATAGCATACCAAAAATCTTCATGATATAATACAAGCGTTCTTCCAACACAAGTTGAATGATGCAAAATCGATTTAAGGATTATCTCAAAGATGTACTGCAAAAACGGTTAAATTTCACGATCAAATTCGGTAGAGTGATGATCAAACCTGGTTTACCAACTACTTTCGCGTGTGGAAAGTGGAATAATAGAGAAAAATTGATTTTTGCTCTGCCCGGAAATCCTGTATCAACCTGGGTCACCGCACAGTTATTTCTATTACCTACGCTGAAGAAGATGGCAGGATGGGAACACTATCAGCATACGGTTATCAGTGTACGGGTAACTGCTTTTCTTTTTCGCAAACATCGTGATTTTCACCTCTTCCTTTTCTTTTAATAAAAAATCTAGGTTTAAAATAAAATCCAGCAAGAAGAGAACTGAGTTTAAGATCCTAAGAAACTTATACAGTATAAGGGGGCTTGTTGTCCTTAACACTGTTTTTAATTCATTTCTCATATTTTAAAATTTACTTTGACCGCAGAGTTTGAACAGAATTCGAATTTATAGCTAAGTGAAACAATAAAACTGGATTGTCGGCCGGAATACCGACGAGCTTGTCTAGTACCTGATCCAGAAAACTTGCCTCGAGCAATTTGTGTAGAAAAAAAGCAAATGAGCTCACGCCTATTATCAGTTCGAAGTGCTAATTTGTTGCTGAAATTGCCCCCCTGTACAGATACCAAGTCGACGGTGCAGAAGGACGAAATAGTGGATGCAGTGGTGATCAATCGATTGTAAATCGCTTCACTTCGTTTTAAGCAAAGTTTCAATAAATTTTGTATAATTCTACTCCAGGGACATTTTTACGCAGATAGAGTCGAAACCCGACCGGAAACAATGAAAATTGTAGCTAAGAAACTTTGGGATCAGCTGTATTTTTGACATAGACTATGAATGATATTTTCCGTCGCTGACGATTTCCTCACATGATATATGCCGGAGAACACAGACACTTCCTGAATGCACTTTAGCTCAGCTGATTGTTGCGATCGCTTCACTTCCAGTTGTTCTGGTTTGTTCAGTGACCACGGTTTTTCGGTGATTCTTTTGTTGGTTTTTAATACCGCAGGAAGCATTTCACCTGGATCACAGATGCCCGGACCCTGATTTGATGACACAATGCCTGTGGTCTATTTGATGTCACACTGCAACTGCTTACCGAAACTTCATCACTTATACATGAATTTATCAGTTAGTGTGCCACAAAATATTGACTCAAATATTCAAAGTCACATCTGGTCCTAAGTGGACACCCTGGCGTCAATTTTAACAATGAAATCATTGTTAAATGATTTTATCCAATGAAATCATTGAGCAATTTCAGAATCTATTCTAGTCCTCCAATTTCTGGATGCATCTCTGCTCTGTAATATCGAAAGTTTGGATTGAAAACGACATAGAGATCTCATTATACTGGCTTCAGTATCTTGAATTCGACAGATTTCCCTTAAAAATCACAAAAAACAGTTGGAATCCCACATACACATGCACAGATGATTTTCCACTTCCGTTCTCCAAGGCTCAAAATAACAAAAACTCGCATTATTTTTTATGTGAAGTTATAAAAAAAAAATGCTTTCCCATCCCGACGCATTGAAAAATTTTAAAATATAGCGGAAAATAGAGAATGAAGCCAGACTGATCTAATTTTGAAAGTTCTAAAGATCTCTAGCAAACATTTTTGAAGAAAAAAAGGCAGAAAAATAAGCTTGCCACTCCCAGATTTTCAGGTAGCTGTACTACTGAAAAAATTTAAAATGTTGATCAGTTTACTGCGTAAATTCTTGTTAGCACAGTACAGCACCGGAAGATTACGTACTGTACAACTTACGATATCAAAAGACAATAAAAACAACTGGAATAACAGTAAATTAAATAAACTTGAATTCTCATTTGCTTTCTTCTTTTTTGGGCTCTTCTGCTGTCTGAGCTTCTTGTGCTCCTGGAAATTAGAATAGTAACGTATATATTCCCATCAGAAACAAAAGAAACTGGAAAGTTTAAACAAAAGCTTGCCGCTTGAGGACTGCGTATTTTCCGCTGCCATTTTCTTGTAGACGGCCTCAAATAATTTCAGTGACTGCTGTTGCAGCGAACCGATTGCTTCACGTATGTTAGCTGTCGTTTCGTTATCCTTATTCGCCAAGAGCTGCCTCAGTTCACCAAGTTTATTACGAATTGCTTCAGCCTGAAAACAATACACCTACCACAGTAACATTGGCTTCTGGAACTATTACTGGTGATTTTCTCATTTACATTCAAAACTTCATAATTAAAATGATCGTCTCCTCAATGTTGGCTTTTTTAGAAATAGCTTATCAATCAGTTCAGGCACAGAAAAAAGTTCAACAATTTCTACAAACATATAATTTAAAGGAATGAATTGTAACGTTATTCTAGAGTTTCACATTTCCTTTCACTAAGCGGTAGCTGGAAAAGCTAAGTGAATCTACAAAAAAAAAAATAAAAAAATAAAAAAAATAAAAAAATAAAGAAATAAAAAAATAAAAATATGGATACAAATTAATGACATCGGCTAAAAATTACCTCTTTCGCATCCACTTGATCTTTAAATTCAGTTAACTTAGAATCGGTATCCTGGATAACACTTTCTGCTTGATTACAAACTTCAACCTTCTCTTTTCTTTCAGCATCCGCGGCGGCATTCTTTTCTGCTTCACGAATCATGTTTTCAATCTGATCTTTTGATAATCCACCAGAAGACCGAATAACAACTGAAATTAAAAATGAGTGAGATGATTTTAGGGATAATGAAACTTACTAGTAAACATTTTAGAAGAAACGAAATGTATATTTTGCGACTAACTTTGCTGTTCCTTGCCGGTTCCTCGATCTCTTGCTGATACGTTAACAATACCATTCGCATCTATATCAAAAGTAACTTCGATTTGTGGTACGCCACGTGGAGCTGGTGGTATTCCAACCTTTAATGAAGAAATTAAGACAAATGAAGAGTAGAAAGTTTAAAAAAATCGACAAGGAATGGACGTACCAATGAAAACTGTCCTAAAAGTTTGTTATTGGTTGCCATGTCACGTTCCCCTTGGTAAACTTTGATTTCTACTTGTGTCTGGCCATCTGCTGCTGTAGAGAATACCTGAAATGACTCCTCTGAGATCGTGTATCACTGTTTCATTTATAAAAATCAATTATTTCTTGTACATTAAAATGTAACAATTAATGACGGTCTAGATCTCCTAAATTCAATGTTCAATTCAGAGATTAAAGCAAATCAGGATTAGTCATTCAAACAAATGTTAACCAAAGTGCCACATTTACGTAAATATTTAATGCAATTCAGCCTGAAGCAATGACTCTAAAATTGTATGTTAGGCAAGTGCTTACTAAGCTTTAACTTACTAGACAATTTTATTAAATGTTTAATTAAGCAAACGAATATTTAAGAGCAGCTCGAAAGTACAATTCAGGAAAAAGGGGAAGTAAAATGCAACTCTTAGATCCTTATTTATTCTTTTAATCAATGATAGTGTGACTAGTTGAACAAAAAAAGAAAAACTCCTTACTGCTGATTTTCAAAGAATTTCTATATCAGACCTGGCTTTTCTTTGTAGGAATGGTTGTGTTGCGTTGGATAAGTTTGGTCATTACCCCACCCAATGTTTCGATACCCAACGAAAGTGGTGTAACATCGAGTAGGAGAACATCAGTCACATCGCCCGCCAACACCGCACCTTGGATTGCCGCTCCGATCGCTACCGCCTCATCAGGGTTCACTGCTTTTGAAGGTTGCTTACCAAATACTTCTTGTACCGTTTGTTGGACCTTCAAGACAAAACTTCAGTTTTCTTGTAGAAGCTCTCGAAGTAACAAACTCCATATTATTTACGCCTCATTTTCCACATTTCTCGTTTGCCACCGTCTATGGAAATTATTGCAGAACTAAAAGTCATGTATTCCATTCCAGTTCCACAAGCAGCTTTTCCATCCCATGAAAACAAAGAAAAACGTACTTTTGGCATCCTAGTCATGCCTCCAACAAGTAAAATCTCTCCAATTTCGGACGGTTTAACCTCTGCATCATGCATAGCTTTGCGACAGGGCTCGATAGTTCGCTTTATGAGATCAGCCACTAGCTGTTCAAACTTAGCACGCGTTAACTTCAAATTCATGTGTTTTGGGCCAGAGGCATCCATCGTCAAGTATGGTAAGTTTATATCAGTTTGTGTTGTCGATGATAATTCGCATTTCGCTTTTTCGGCAGCTTCTCGCAAACGTTGCATTGCCATAGGATCCTTTAAGCTTTTAAATTTACGAGTTATATTTTTTACAAGTAATTTGCAGCTAAATATTCCATTTCATGATTCAAATTCGCTTGTTTCTTCAGAAAAATGATTCGGATCAAAGTGAAGATTAATTGTATCATCATTATCATGAACTGATAAAGTTCAGTAAATGGTAAGTAAACGAAAAATAATGGACAGTTTTTTAGAAAAAATAAAATGTTCAAGAAATGGTAATGAACAAAATCTTATGCCTTATGAATGTCAATGCCAGAATCTTTCTTGAATTCCGCTGCAAGATAATGAACCAATGCATTATCAAAATCTTCACCACCAAGGAATGTATCACCATTAGTCGACTTCACTTCGAAAACCCCTTTCTGGATTTCAAGGACAGATATGTCGAATGTACCGCCACCCAAATCATACACAGCGATGCTGGAAATTGATTGCATTCATAAAGGAATCAACAAACCATGACTTCAAAAGTTTGAACGGTAGTACCATAAAAACAAAAGCACCTAATTGCTACACTTAAACATCGCTCGCTGCAGAGATTCTACAAAATTAAATCCAAGAGCAATCTCACATTTTGTCTTCCGCTTTATCAAGTCCATAAGACAGAGCTGCCGCAGTGGGCTCGTTAATGACACGCAGTACATTCAAACCAGCAATTCTACCAGCATCTTTTGTCGCCTAAATTCAAAAAACAATTTTTTTTTTTTGCAAAATTCACAAAATTTTTATAAAAATTCGAACAGTGGAATTACACTCAAGTAGTTTATAAACCAACGTTAATTGAAACCCCTTACTTCCAAATTACAAAAACAAAAACTGCGTAGAAGCTGACAAGAATACCTGTCTCTGAGAATCATTGAAGTAAGCCGGAACTGTGACAACAGCATTGTGAACAGTTGTGCCCAAATAACTTTCTGCTGTTTCTTTCATTTTCATCAGAATGTATGCACCGACCTAAAATATAAATTTCATTAGGTTAAAACCGTATTCTATCAGAAAAGTGATTTTTTACTGGAAATTACTGCATTCAGTCGCTGGATCACACATCATTACTGCTCACAGTACGCTCACCTGAGATGGCGAATACATTTTGCCTTGTGCTTCAACCCAGGCATCACCATTGGATGCACGAACAATTTTAAATGGAACCACTTTCCTATAAGATACGGATAATTGTCAATCCAAACATATAAGAACATTAAAAATGCTATATTTAAACCACATAGCATTAAGAAGCTATCTAAAAGATATTTTTACGATACACACGATTAGGAAATATCAGGATAATTCATGGTTCATGGTCTTATTGTTGCAGATTCTGAAAAATGAGATTAAATTTCCTATTACGTAAAAATTCACGAACACCACGACTGGAAAACTTAATTTTTGGTCCTTTCCGGCAAAGAAGCAGTACTCAATAAACCCACAAGTACACTAAAAATACTATGTTTAAACCATATACCATTCAGGAAGTTGCTCTGGAAAATAATTTTACGATAATCAGTATTGGAAAATACATCAAGAAAAACTAACACATCCTTTTGTACTTCCGGATCATCGAAACGTCGTCCAATCAACCGTTTAGTAGCGTAAAGTGTATTCTGTGAATTTGTAACCGCTTGTCGTTTTGCTGGTGCGCCAACTAACCTTTCGCCATCTTTGGTAAACGCAATCACTGATGGCGTCGTCCTCACACCTTCCGCATTTTCAATAACCTACAATGACAAGATTAAGCCAACAAAAAAATTTGAGACCGAATTATTTAATACAACAAAAAACGAGACATTCACCCTTTCTCTTCTACTGTATTAATAAGTGATTTTCTCATCGACTCTATTAAAAAATTTCAAACATTTCCCGCAAAAATCTCAAACAAATATAAAGACTGCTTACTTTGGCTTGTTTCCCTTCCATAACTGCAACACACGAATTGGTTGTCCCAAGGTCGATGCCAATAACTGTTCCCTTGACACCATCGGACCTACAAAAAATTTGTTAAGATTAAAGTAATCAATCTCAGCAAAACCTAAACGAGTCAGCATCAAGAAAACTAAGACAAGAATTAGTTCCAACGATATGAGAATTTTATTGAGTATAATAATAGTACAGAAAAAATCCAAAACAGTGTACCGTGAGGAGAGGCTCTATCTGTTCTTTCAATCCCTGAAGAAGGTTTTCTTTTCTAGAAATTCTAAACCTACAGTTTACTCCATTCTGGAATTATTACTTATCATGCAATCATGTATGTCGAAAAAATCTTATGTACACTCCCTACGTCCACCCTAACTAAACATTAAAAATTATAAGGATATTGCGTTCTAAAGCAGAGGAAAGAAACTAAATACTTTGTCATAATTGAATTGTATTTCTACGTGGACTTACTTGTATCGGCGAGTCACACCTAATAGAATGCTATCTGTGGGTCGCACATACAATGTTCGACTGCATGTAGCCGACACTACTGTTCGGATCGCTGAGAAGATCATTCTTGTTCTGCTTCTTTCTACCTGTGTAAGATTATAATGTGTCACATTACCAAAACAGAACCAGTTTCTGATAGCTTTCGGGGATACTGGGACAACCCAATAAACTGTATGGAGAAGTCTGTAAACGAAAATCCCCCAACCTTCAACACACCCGCTACACCAAAATCCCACCTGTGCATAATCTAACCTACGGTAGCACCCTCCGAGGTTCCTGCCAACTGCTACAGCACTAAAATATCGTTTCTCCGTTCGTATTTCATTGAACTGAGTGGTTGCTCGGTTGTATAGGAGGGACATTTGTGGGTTGGAGTCAGTTTCTGGTCGTTTGAATCCGGCAGAAGTTTCGGACCGGAACAAAGGTATAGTAACATCGTCGGTATCAGTTGGGTGCTGTTAGAACATATTGGAAACATAACGCCATATTGGAAACATAACGTCATCACATATTGGAAACATAACGCCATCATAATGCCACTTGGACAAGTTTAGTTGGAAAAAATCTTTGGCCTAACTTTTGTATATACCTAATAATAATAATGAATCTTAGGATAACAAACAATCACGTCCTGCTGTTACCAATCGTTTCTAAGCGTTTCATATTGTCAGTCCACTTTATCCCTGCAGAGTGAATAAAACTTCCAGTGGTTTCATTTATTTATACGTTCAAAGCGACAAAGAAATAAGTGATTGATGCTTGGATTCAAAGGAAGCAGTGACACTGAAAAGCTCACTTCATCAATCGAGCTGTTGAATGCTTGCTTGAGTTGTAGGAAATCAGTAACATCATCTGGAGCCCAATAGTACAAAAACCTTATAATTCATTCCTCATTTTACGACGGCTTTATAACTCATTCTCCGTGGTGCAAAGGCCTTACATTCACCCATGATATAAAGGCCTTATAATTTATTCTTCTATAGTGCAAAGACCTTATAATTCATTCCCTTATAGTACATAGGCCTTACAATTCACTCTCTCGTGGCACGCAGGCTTTATAATCCATTTTTCTATGATACACATGTTTTGTTTATGCTACGCATCACAATTTTGTCTTCAAAAAAAAAACTCAGTAAGAGCGAGTGAGGACGTTTTAACTTTATCTTTATCAGCATTGAGAGGTACGGTGACTCTTTCAATTTACTAATTAATAAGCAGAATAATTTAATGACATTACAGAAAATGGGGTTGTTATTTATTAAATAAATAGACGGAATCAATATGGAAATGAAGACATTAAGGAAGGATGTAATTAAATTATAACCAAAATGTAATCGACTTCTTAGGCTTTGTCAGAATAGCTGCCGTGGACTTCGACAAGTATGACACTCCTGTTTTATTATCATCCAATACTTGGCGCATTGCAAGATATTACGAGAGGAATGAATGGATCACAAATGTTTGTTCTTGATGTAACGAAAGATTCGAGGAGTTCCGGATGCTACACAGTTGTTTCCTGTCCGCTTGGTTCCTTTAAGGAAGTATACCTGTCCGATGTGTCCCTGAAATCTACGGTTAAATTATAATATATTGTAATTATCATAACAAATTGTATTTCTTGTTATCTATGGTCTGAAATTTCTTTGAATTTTGAGTTATACACAATAAGCATAATCTTACGTTGTTTGCATTCCATCTGCAGTTGGCATCTGAATTGGTTCAGATCTCCCATCCTCCTCTATTCCAATCCAAGTTCTTCGTTTATTAATCATTTTTCCAATTATTATCGTTTTTCCTTTAATCTAGAACTGAATGCACTTTTCAAAGTGAAAAATCCACAACTTTTTGACGAAATTATTTAATTCAAGAAATAATACATCATAAAAATACAAAAATAATACTTGGATTGTGTCGTTTTACTCTGATTCTACCAGGAAATGTTATTGAGAACAGCCTAGATAAATAAATGAAAGTATCAGCTCATAGAATTACCATATTGGCAAGAAACTACGATGTTCTCATGAATTGCATATTAGCACGATATAGGTCAAATAAGCAACTCTCACACTCGAATTTACCGGTAGAATATTTTTTCCATTAAATTTTCGGGAAAATAATGTTGAAAAATTTTAATTCAAAAATGTTTTAAATCTTCACATCAGCTTTAGTTAAGACATAGAACCAACGATTATAATCTGAAGCTGATATATGGGTCGAAATATTTTTTGAATTCTGAATTTGTTATTCCAAAGAACGTTTTATTAAAAACTTGCAGACTAAACTGGATATTTTGGAAAGCACTTAGGTGTAAACATTCAAATTAGAGAGGAGTTGCGGCACATTTTGGAATAATTAAGAGAAGCAACCTCAACGCTGTGATTAATTTTAAATGGCTCCAAATCACCCTTCAAAAGAAGACACTTTTCGGAGTTGGCTCCAGGTGTTTCTTGCAGTAACTTTGCATGCCTTGTGGATTCCTTGTCAGTCTGAAATATATTCCTGTCCATGAAAAATTCTAAACGCAGAAAGAATAAAAATACTAATTTCATGTCACATAACACAATTTCGAAATGTTCTGAAACGCTTGAAATTTAATTATAGCAAACAGTTCTTGTTAACAACATACAAGACTGACTTTTCATATTTGGTAGTTAAAAAATTAACAAAAAACCTCTTTTTTTCGCTTCAGCTCCCAATCCTCGCCCATTTGTTTGATTTCCATCTGATTATGTCGATAAAGCAATGTACAAATCTCATCATAGTATTCTGAAAGATAAGCCTCAAAGCTTCATTAGATAGCAATTGGTATTTTTTGAAAAAGTGGCAGATTTTAAGTGGTTTTTCAACTAGTAAACTCGATATAATTCTTAAAATTTAAAAAAGAATTAACTGCCAAAAATAGGCACATATAAGCAGGAATTATCAGATATCAGGTAAAAAATTTTTGTTGGGAAAGCTGTGAATTGAAGGATAAATTTCAAAAAAAGTAGAGGAAATGATTGTTTAGATTAGTAAAATATCTGAAAAAAGTGGCAAAGGAAGAATAAATTATGAAAAAGAAGCCATGAGACTAAAATTGAGCAGACACGGAGTTTTCACACCGGTATGATCACCTTTATCAAGGAATTGTTGTTCTTCTTCTTCGCACCTTTCTAAATCATCCGTTCCTCTGCAGCAACATTCTACATAACAATTTAATGCTATTACTAGTGATAAAATGATAAGAATAAGTGCCAAAATAGATATCGCCATTTGTAACGCAGTGAAATTGTTGTTAAACAACTTTGCAAACATTCTTCATCGCAATAGATGAACTGATGAGATCAAATAGAACACGAAATATGGTTAAGACGAAAAAGTCCAAATATTGGCGAATCTACCATCAGTGGCCCGCAGAAAATTTCGTTTTTGACGTAAATTATTTTGTCAAATGACCAGAGCGAAATGAAACAAATTCCAAATCAATGATTGATAACTGTAACATTCCTTTAATTAATGGATTAATATTTGTCTGCAGGAGGACGATTCCAGAAATTAACTCGATGATTAGATGAAGGACTACTAATGTGTCAGATCTGGGAAAAACGAGATTAAATCAATCAGCCTGGGCATCGTTGTAAGTGTTTAATGACTAATTGCTAAAATATGTCTGAATGGACAGTTATAATAGAAATGGAACAAGCAGAGTTGTGAGATTAGAATTCAATGCTCACCTGATAAAGTAAAGGTAATGATGAACGAAGGAAATTAATGAAAAAATGTTGGATGATTTCTAACAATTGATTGAGTGAGTGAATTTTGGTATGAATAAGGCATCATTTTAATAGTACCTTTCACTGTAGTGCTGAAAATGAATAACCAGTTATTGCATTCATTCCACATTTAATGGTGAATTCGAATATCGATGAATGACTGTCAATAATTTTATAAGCTTAAGTGCCATAATTGTCATATTCTAGATGGCTTTAAAAAATTTTATCAAAGCTGATGTTTGATAGAAAAGCGGTTTGATAAATCGAATTAATAATGTGGCAGGCGAAGAGAGGTTCAAATTGTGAAGATACTAATAAAAAATTCTTTGGCTAATAAGAGGTTCGGAAGAGAATGGTCATGAAAAGAGAACAATTTGTCCTCCCTTATGATATAGAGACATATTATGAAGGTGTGAAGGACAGCGCAGCCATCTGAAAGATCCACTATGTGGAAATTTGTTCATTAGAATTAATGTCCTCAGCAATCATTGAGAATGGCACCAAGGACAGCGATATCTTGACAATCGTGCTTTTCTTCACAGGAAAGATGAATTGATGTTTTTATTGTGGAATAAAAAACATCATCAGCTAATATCGTATTACATAATATCATAATTCATCATAAATTCTCTTATTGTCAACAAATCCGAAGAAGGGATATGAATGGTAACTGTTTACATGCTGAATCGCTTTAAATATAAGAAAGCACTCTCTCTGGAATGTTATTAATACTTGACGAGTTTCAAAAATTTATTTCAGAAATTTATTAACAATCTGAGAAACAAAAGATGAAGTACTGATTTGTAAATGTTGTCCTTCGAAGGCTAGCAAGTGCAATCGTTTGCTCTCCAACAGCTCCCGTAGGCCGAGGCGATCCTGAAATTATCAATTTATTCCGGGTGAAGAAAACATTTATCGTGGTTTTTAATAAACTGATTTACTCAAAAAGATTCATATTTTATTCACGTTCTGAACCGAAGTTATAAAATGATCCAGGAGAAAAGATTTTATCAAAATTATCACTTCAGTCAGAGTTGACTATATGTTTTACCATCGCCTTATCATATCCGTGTTGTTTTGTCTATGACATTCAAAAGTGAAATGTCGTCAATCATTACAGACATACAAAACCTAACAAAAATAACATACCTTTGGGAAGAAAAAGAAAATTTCCAACCTCTGTGTAGATTTCTGATTTTTCGAGAGGAACGATCTTTGATGTGTCGTTCTCAAGATAATATTCGAACCACTGCAAGCATCACTTTTAAATTATGAACTGAATTAGTTAAACACAGGAAAAATAGTGCTTATTTCCGCAGAAAAAAAGCAAACTCATATAATCATAAAATGATTCCTTTCAGGCGTAAAAATGAATTTTCTAATCTAGAAGATGAAAAATCTTAAGGTGGCATCTTTCATAGATAGGATTTGGTTGATGTTGATCCTATTGCGAGGCTTGCAGATACTGATAGATCACTGAGATACGAAACTGCTATGAGGAAATGAGATATGATTAAGTGTTACGATAGAGGATATAATTAAGAGAAAGAAACTTCGGTTAAACAACTCTAATTTAAAAACTGCCTCATTAGTCCAGAAGCTATTAAAATCTCGGTTTAGCGTTCAATCAGTGCAATGTAATGAATTTATACAAGAAATCAGAAACCTCCGATTCTCGCGGCACTACCATTGTGTCATTCAAAAATTTCACTAACACCAGATTTTGTAGTTTCAATAAATTTTCTTTATATGTTTCATTTAGATTCTGAAAATGAGGATCTTTTAGCTTTAAATAAATGATTGTTGAGGTTATCAGTGCAACACCTTTGAGTGCTTTCATATTCCCAAACTAATGTCGACATATTCATTTCCATATATTTTGTTAACCAAAAAGGTTTAAAAAGTAGAATAACCATACTCTTTCATTGTTGATATCAGCAAGAAATATGCTACTTTTCCGGTAGGTTTCTTCATCTAACGGATCATGCCAATACTGTGCTTGGACTACTCTTAAACAGTAAATTAAGAGGATGATGAATTTATTGCAAATTAGCTGTGAGTCTCCCCGATAAATACAAACCAACAAATAGGGTGAAATATTTGTTTAGAAAGTTGGGAGAATGCAGAAAAAGTAAACATGAAAGAGAATTGCTTTTGATATCATCGAGTTGTAAATGCATTAAAATGAAATAGAGAAGCGAAACAAACGTATTCTGGACAAAGCCAACGTATGCACCCCACTCTAGTAGATTCCTCACACGATCACAGATGTAACTTTCAGCAGGACATAGCGGTAGTCCAAATACTCCCTGATGTTGTCCACCAAGGGAAATCAAATTTTTCATTTGTGGAATTGGGCAACGTTGTGCCACAGCTCGCCTGTATCATACTTTAATAAGCTTATAAACATGAAAAGTATCTTCTATAAATGAGATCTGCAAGAAGAGATAGTGATCAGAATTATTGCATATGGCATATATATTTAAGACTCGAGCAGTACTACCATTCGAGTCTTTGTAAGAGAACAAGAATCGATTGTATAAAAAATTTTTAAAAATTAAAATTAAAAGTACAGGAATTGTGCGCCCTGTGAGAAACCAATAGAATTATATCCATTTTTTAATTTTTCATCCTTCTGTATGCTCTGACATACCTCCGCTACCTGATCGTTCACATTTCCAAAGAAACCATGCTCTGTATCCTGAAAAATATCCACTGGTTATGAAAGTTCAAACAGATGAGCTTTCAACAATTACCATACGGAAACAAACCATTACAACGTTGGATCCTATCATTATTGAATAAATGTAGACATTAGGGATATTCTGCTTCAGTATTTTTTCTATTCTTCCCAAACTTAACGGATTGCAACAACTATCACCTGAAAATTTCTTATGCAACGACGAAAGTAAACAAACGTTAAAATTAATAGTGGGATTTGTGCTTTCGAAAATTTAAACAAGTATTCGATCGCTGGCCACTACCTGAGTAAGTTTTCGATTCTGTAAGTATGATGACAATTCAAAAAATGTATTAATTAAATTCCTCGAATACCATGCACATGTGTACATATATGTATGTATATATTAATATTTATTTATATGAGAAAGTCGATTTCCAACTTTCTGGAAAAAAATGTGGAAATTTTGGCAGGAAGAAAAATTACCCATGCCGTGCCAGAGTACAATTGGTGTTGGCTCCACATTACCGAGGATTATTCGCAGGAATTCGGTCACAGAATTAGTAGTGATTGTTGCCGATCCGGTAGAGAGCAGGCAAGCAATGAGAAAAACGCAAATAGTTACCATTTGTAGTAATTGTCTTCCAATTAATTTAGAAATAAAGAATTTTATAGCAAGGAATTTTCTGGAAGATTAACAAAAATCGATGTTTTTTTGATAAACGAATCGATGTTTTTTGATAAACGATGCACGGTAACAGCAAAAAATGTAAACACACAAAGCATTGGTTCTTGGATTGTGTGACCTTTAACCATTCAGGGGTCACGACGAGATTAGAGACTAATAAGTGTTACTTATTATATAATTTGCTCTCTCCACCGTTCCTACTTCAATTTCCACCGAAACAAAAACTGAATTATCCGAGAAGTTCTGCGTTGTATTTAAGGTGTTAAAAGGGAATTTGTTAGAATAAAAATGAAATATTAGTAAAATGGAATTGGTCGGTGTTCGAATTGCAAGGAGTCAATTGCGAAGGATAGCTTTCCTCTTCCAATGATCCTCAATGATCACAACAGCTGGTTCTACAAGCACGAGCACCACTTCTCATTAATAAATTGATAAGTTTTTGGCTGGTTTGCGGTCTTTGTAAAAATTGTCACCATTTTTCTTATTTCATCGAAAGACACATCGTTTAGATTGGTTTTCACTTACAGAATATCTTTTTCTAAAATGTGAATGACATCGTTTACAAGGTACTTCTATTCTTCTCATTTTTCAGATTTCATTCAAAATTTAAATCCTCTCGGTACCAATCACATCGATGTTCTATTCGATAAAGAGAAAATGTCCAAGTTGGGTTGAAGTAAAAAAGTTTCCTTCTTATTATTTCTATGAATTTGAAGATTCGTGATAGCTCGTAATTTTATTGTTTCCCACACTACGGATATTCAAGAATATGACTTTTCCCAGTTGCTGCAATAAAGTTTTGGATGAGGTTAGAACTCAGGAAAACGAGTAAATGAGCCAATAATGGTGGAGTAGCGCTGTTTATTACTGTGAATTTAATTGTGATATCGCAGTACACCTGCAATTTTTGTGGGAACAGACACCAGATCTTATTGCAATTTGATTAAACACTTTAAAATTTGCATAGCAAATTTTAATTGTAATGACATTTTGCTTAAGATGCATCTAATTTGATAGTGTGGATGTTCTTAAGTGATGGCAAGTCAGCTCCAGGTTTACGAGTCGTTAGTTCTTCTTTTTCCGTTTCTTCGCCAGGCATATGATCAGGCAGTTTCTTGCCTCGAGTTTCTGGTACGATGAAGATGTAGAGAAGGAAATCAGCCAGGCAAGTGATGAACATCAGGAGGAACGGTGCTGGAGGCCAATGTTTACTCTAAAATAGTTCACAGTTTATACCACAAAGCAAATTATTTAGATTTAAGCCTTCGTACATCCCGAAATTGACCAAACAAATAATTGTTTTAATTTAAATATACCGGTATGAAAACAAGTGGACTGATAATTGTTCCGAGACGATTGAATGTTTGAATAAAAGCAATTCCAGCACTGCGTACTGGTGTCGGAAATAGCTCAGTTGGCTGAACATTGTTCAGGACGAATAATTCGGTACACATCGCTGCGGCAAGTAATGATGAGTAACGAGTGAAGGTGACAATTGCATGAATCAATCGGTCACCTAAATGTAATGACTGCATGTAACGTTATGGCCGCTAACGATTCATTCTCCCTTTGCCGTGACTTACTATCTTTTCATGTACCTGTGACATCAGGTAAGTGATAATGCATACTGATATTCATCCAAGATTGAAATATTCTACAATTTAGAAGAAAAGTCAGACATTTAACAATCATCAACTTACCTTGTCCACCGGCTTTTACAATCGCTTTATATTCTTCAATTTGGTGCCCTGGAAAACAATTAGTTGTCAGCAGTAAGTAATATGTGATAAGAGATAAGATTTGAAAAATTTAATCTGAAAATGTTCCATCTGTCAAGTTCGTGCTTGGAAGGTGGTCACAATCCGCATTTTATACTTTACAGATTTAAGAATTAAAACCAGATATTGGAGGATCAAAAGGTTGAAATAATCATCCAAACTTTCATTTCTTCTGGTAAAACGTCAAGTTCAATCAGATGAACAATTAAAGTTGCCGTCAGTGCACAGGAAAGTTAAAATGAGTTTGACATGACATCCGCTTGTCAGCTTTCCATCTTTGTCAATTTCATTCAAATAGTTTGCAAAATGTTCGATCAAAACATACATGCAAATAAATAGATGATAAAAATCATTCCCATCATAAACACGATAAATCCAGCTGATAAACAATGCAACAAGCGCCGGCCAACACGTTGAATTGTAAATTCAAGTATGGCGGCAATAATGTTGATACCATAACGTGCGGCACCTAGGATGATCACATTCATATAGACCGTACCCGCCAATGCATCCATATTGTAGGCAATGCCGTAGCTGATGAAACTTGTTGAAAACCTCCAAAAATCAGTTTTAAATATTCTGAATTTGGTATAAACTTCATTTTGAAATTTAATTGACGTCATGCATTGCTAGTTTCAAATGATTATCCATAGGTCCAATTTCAGGTCTTAAATGCAACCGCACAAAATTAAGCGGTTTATGTCTAAAATTTAAATCAGTTCCTCATCGAAATTCATTTAGGACACACAGACTGATGGCAAAGACGATTGTGTAGCTGCCCAATTTACGATCTGTGAACAAATGATAAAAATAGTAGTTCCGATTAGCTTTACTCGATTTCTCTGTCTGAAATTTAGGGAAAAATTAAGTAAATAGGTGACAAGAGATAATAGAGAACAACTGCCACCTATTCAGCTTTACCGTTTTTGAGTCTGCAACTGGATTTGTGCTATTGAATTTATTTGATTTTTTTTCTTCTTTTGATATATTTTTTAAATGTATATTAGTAGAAATCAGAGAAAAAAGGCTAATTTCTATTTCGTCCAGCTGGCCCAAGGACATATGATAAACGAGTACTGTACTGCAGAGAGAATGAAAATGAAACCTCCTCTTCGACGGATTTTTCAACAATATAAGCTATATGCTTCGCTTTCTCTGGCGACACCTTTTCATCCCATCTTTTAATATAAACTGCTGCTTCTGCGGCTTGCTTACCTTGACCTTTTTTGATAAGCCATCGTGGCGTATCTCTTAGATATCTGCAATACAAATTCAGGGCTACTATGTATGTCAAAGAATGTGTATGTCATTGAAATTTGTTTTTGCTACTGGAAATTTAGAAAAAAGATGCATCAAGAAGACTAACGGAATCATTATCAACGGTAAAGCGGTTAATCCAGCAGCTACTCTGGATAGTGTTTTCCAGTCATTACTAAGATAGGCAATACCGGACAAGATGATGTAATTTGGTGAATAGGTGACCACCGTGGCTATCCACATTCGATGCTTGTCAGGAAGATTTTCCATGAAATATGGATTGCTCACACTGAACAAATTAAAAATGATTTATTAGCATTTGGTTTCAGATTATAAATTACCATTTTCAGTAACTATCCATTCCAGAATTAGTTCTGCTTGACAAATCAGTAAGCAAATGGCAAAATGCGCGTACAGTCAATCCTTACAAATTTTTACAGCTCGTGCACAAAGTCCCTTTGTTCCAAAACATCATGACGTTACTGGTCAACATCACTCAGTGACTAATCACAAACATATGAGAGATCAGAAAAATACATAGATGAAGCCCGATCAAAATTACTAACCAATGCTTCCCACCTGTGAAAACCATATCAAAGAAACGAATAAAAGTGAATACAATGAATGAGGGAGCGAAAGACGTTGCTAACAACGATATCATCATTCCAATGGTACCAATAAATAAGACCTGAAAATTTAACTTCATACTTTCCCTACTTTTAGGATTATTGCTGGGTTATAGTGGCAAACAACAAATCAGGAATTACGTCTTTTGAAATTGGAATTATGAAATTGTAAGGATCCATGACGATCGGATGGCAAATTGAATAAATAAAGCAGGGCCTTTCTTGAATTAAAAACTTTTTGCTTTTAAATGGATGCTTACAAAAGTATCTTTGAGAATATTTTAAGTTATCAAGCCTTTCAAATGAGCGTAATGAACCTTTTTTCTGCCGTAAATATCAGCAAAATTACCGGCGACGACTGCGCCTATCATTAAACCAATATTTTGTAGTGTCGTGCCTAGTTTAACATATTCAACTGGTACTTCAAACTGAAAATTTCCATTGCTTGTGCACTATTTCATTTCTCAATAAGGCTGGAATGAGTTATTGAGAAACTTAGTATTTTCAAAATCCGATCAGTCATTCCGTCTAAAAAATATAGGCTTAAATTTTATTTTATTTGGGCGACACTTCAAGTATCATCAGCATACATCATTTGTAATCGGCATGAAATCGTAGTAACTCGAGCCGCAGAGTACTTTGGATTCATTAATGAAAACCCAACAGGAACCATTTGATGAGCAGTTCTTTGACGCGATATATTCCGGATATTGCTTATCGCAAAAGTCCTTCACAGTTGGCTTTCGGTCTAAAATTTTTAGCCAGTTCGATTTAGTCGAGATTGTTACTACCTATTTAATTAATTGTGTAAATTCTTCCTTTTCTATTGCTCCTCACTTAACTCCTCTTTCTCTCTCCCTCTCTCTCTTTTTTCTCATTATTAGCTTTTCATTTATATTTGCAATCAGTTATGCGTTGAACAATGCCGGTGCATTTAAATCTTCTCATTGTTCTCATGACCATAAACAATTATTATCAGTTGACAGAGATGACAATTGATAACTATTGCGACTTTTCAAACTGCTGCCAAGAAAGCTGAAATTTTTCAAAAACTTCTTCAATTTATACTGTAAACAATTAAGGGCAATATTTTTCCAAAACAAGCTCTAATTAGATCATACTTTCTGAACTACAATCGACTATAACCAAATATTGCGTGATTGGCAAATATTGCGTAAGTGTTATAGTTTACAAGAATAATGATAACTCACTGGAGTTCATTTCAATTGTAATGACCCAATCATATTTAACTGCATTATTTTACAAGCAATAAATATATTTTGAACAATAAATGGGAACACTGAAATTAGAACTGACCAGCAAATGTCATAAACAGAAGATTGCACACTTGCGTAAGCACCATCAGAAAATAAACGAGAGTCAGGAATGAGACATATTTTCGACAAGACTGCAAGTCGGATAGTTTGAAAGATTCGCCGGTAGATTCACTTCTTCTTACTGTCGTTATTACGCCACTGGATGGATGAACTGTACGTGACATAACCGCTGAAGATGACATTAATAGAATTCCCAGCTTAATGCATCAATGGATTCATTAAGACTTTCTGAGATGGCTGTCCCTGAGGTTAATGGGAGGAATAAATCATAATTTTTCTTAAATTTACGATTATCACCTTAGAAATCATGTTACTTCCATCTGTTCTGCAAGAATTCTTTAGCAGAACAAGCTAAAACAGAGCGAAAATGTGTTTGATTGAAAATACTAAACGAATTTGTTGCAATGACTAAAACAGCTATGAGTCAAGTGCAGAATGAAGTTATTTCAAAAAAAAAGAAAATATCAAATGACGTCGGCTACTTCAATCATTCCATAAGCAAAAAAAAAAGCACGTTTGTATTTGAATGCGAAATGATTGGCGGAATTGTCATGTCATTTAGTCTTACTTAGTTATCGTAAAATACTAAAAGCATTTGGATATGAGCACCATTTTCCTCATTAGCACAAGATTTTGGGATCAATCAGTAACGCCATATTTCTATTAGATTAAGATAAAAACAAGTTATTGCAGCTATACTTGGTAAATTCTAGAAAATGATCGTTGTTACCAACAAATATGACCTTCACTATTAAGGGTCAAGCTAACCCAGACATCTTCTCCCTATTCTTAAGTACACAAAGTTCTCGAATTTTTAATCTGACTTTTAGTTCTTTAAAAGTTTCCACATTTCTACCACTCCGACCAAAATGATCGAAATAATACGATCCCGCTCTATTACTGTTCTGTCCCCAAATTGCCATGCGTTATGCGTCATCACTCTTCTTGTATATTTTGTTTACATTTTCGCATCCTTATATAAATAATGTCGCATATAGTCACCACTAATTAATTTAATAGCCAAAAATTCTTGAGATTCAAGCAATTAATTCCTTTCACACATTGTAACGTCATCGTAAAGGGCATCATTAGAGAAACATCACATGAGAAAATTTCTTTAATTAATAGGGACTCATTTCACCTCATCAAAGATAATGTCTGGAACACTTCTAAGTTAAAAGACAGCCATCCGCTAAGTTCACGTAATTACGTAGTAGGCAACTTTAATAAAGTCGTGATAACTTATCATGAGCAGATCTAGGAATGCCACAGATCAGAAGAACAGAATGCTAGTTTCGTTGATAAATCGCTCTCTCTCTCTCTCTCTCTCTCTCTCTCTCTTTCTCTTTCTCCTGCTTTAGCAGAATTTTTTCAAACAGTTTTCAAAACTTCCTTAGTTATGGTTTTTCTTAATTTGATTAGAAGTGATCAATGAAATCCCATTAATGTAAGCATTAAAATGGAGAACGTGCAAAGCTGGAGGTACTTTGTGAAATGAAACATTTCAAATTTCGAGGCCAATTTGAAGAAAGGCTATTAATATGCATAAAATGTATGGAAGAACATAATCAAGCTGTGAACACAGGAAACTAGTGTTCTATGAAAGAAACAATGAATATGCGCAAATGTGAGCGCAAAGTATTGGCTTATTTTTCTGTTTCTTTTCCTCCCATTGATCAATTACAAGCACCGAAAAAAAGGACCGTCGGGAAGAAGGAATGATTTCCAGTAATGAAGGAGAGGACGGGAACAACTGATTTCACCCTTTCTCCTGAAAGGTTGTTCCGATTCATTAAGAGATGGACGGCAATTAAAATCAAATTTCATCAAAAAGCAGTGAAGGAATTTGTTGAATCAATTGTAAAGAGTACCTTGACAATAAAGTTAGCATTTCGAAGAGAAGAATTATTGCTAGAAAAAAAAACGTGATCAAAGTTCAAATAAGTAAGCAAAGAAGCTTAAACAAAGAAACATAGATCTTTGGGTCGTCTTGTGACTCAATCTTAATGCGGTTAAATCAAATGTTTATTATTCTTTTAATAATATCACGCCTAGAAGATCGAAGTGTACTGTAAAAAGTAAAAGAGGGTTTAATTCTCAAGCACACTTTCCTTATTCTAAGTGATATCTAATGTGGTTGTGAAATGAACCCAAGATAGTTGAGTAGCTAGACTCATCATGCTATTGAATTCATAGAAAATTGGGGTTGTTAAAAGCGCAGATACGAGCACAGTTCAATATCTCATTAAACTTTTAAATTAAAGTTATTCCTGGAAAGTAGATGAAAAGTAAAATTTAATTGAAGAGATAATCACCTTCACTTACAAATAATCTGATGTGCATAGTCTGCGAATTTTATCGGTTTGATTTGAAGCGACAAACGAGGAATGGACAGTGTTGCAAAGATAATAATCAGAAAGTTACAGTACAAGAAGTCAGGTAGAAAAGGAAGTTAGAGCATATTTATGGGTTGTAAAATAAGGTCATTGTGATGAGAAATTCGAAGTTTCTGAATGATATTCTTGATATCGACTAAGCATGAAAATTTGTCTTTACCCCTTTGACCTTATTGTGAATTTCCACTAAATTATATTATTATTATTATGCGAGATGAAATGACCTTGGAAATGGATGGCATTCGAACGGTAATTTGCAGTGTCATGACATGCTTTTAAACTACTTTGCAGCAATCGATGGAAACTTTTTGAAACATAAGATTCTATTGAAATATGAAATGTAGAAGTGAAGTGATTGAATGCCTTATTTGTTTGATAGATGTTCTGCCGAATTATAATAGTCTTGGTTATTGGCATAGCCTATATACCGAAAAACTCCACTTCTCGCCATCAACAATAAGCAACAAGGGAAGTGTTGAACACTGACCAGGTCATTTATAATATATATTTAAGTGACCATCAGCAGTAAGATAGACGTTCGTTGTACCTAGTCATATTTGATTTCATTTTAGTAAATTATTGGCTTTGGTAATAACCATAGCAAACATTTTATTCATTTTAATCAAACCACCAAATTGAAAGGGAGAAAAGTCCTAATGTTTATTTTAATCTTACCGGTCACTAGGTAATAACATATCATATCATATCATGTCATATCATATAAGACATTATTATACAAAAGACTTTGAAGAACTATTTGCGCAATAGGTTCTACTAAATGACTGGAACTAGCGTAAAAACTTCATACACAGATAAGGACTTGAGGATGCATAATATATGTCCATGTGGACGTATACTTCCTTTTGCAAACAATTTTTCCGTCTTTATGGGTGCCTTCTTTTGTATTTGAATACATTCAACAAATTTTAAACGAAAAGAATCGTTATAATTTGATCTATTTTCCAGCTTATTTGTTGGTGACAAAGATAACCAGAGTATGTTTTAAAACTTGATCACTCTCACAGAACAGGAATACATTGAATTCAAAATTTGCATTAATGATCAAATAGCAAAGCGTAAAGAAATAAATAAGTAACACCCAATGATTTAAAAGTACAACCAATTATAAAAACCAACAAAACTTATTATCACTATAAATATAATATTTTATTATTTCAAACAATGACATAACCTTCGAAAAAAAGCCACACACGAAGAACAGTTAAAAAACTCAATATTTCTAATCTAAATAACTTGAATGATTATCATTAGAAATAGCCAAAAACATGGTAAAACAATAAAGAACAAAACGAAACAAAACAAAAACTTCATTAAAGAAAATATTTTAAGTGGTTGTAGTTAATTAAAGTAGCAACAATAAAACATATCCTTATAACCATGTAAAAAAAAATGAAAATAGCAAAAAACTATGCCAAAAGGCAAAAAAAGCAATTTTTCATAAAATAAATTACATTTTCATTCCATTCAATATTACAAACAACCAAAAATGAAAACTGAATCTCAATGTAAACAAAAAAATTGCAACTTTCAGCCATCAAATATCAAACAAATAATAATCGCAAAGCTTCTAAATTGCGTAATAATCAACGAGATATAATACACTTCTACCCCAGAAAAGATAGTACGGAAATGTAAGTACTCAAACCCTCCACCAAATTACATTACCCAACACACAGAAATTTATAAAACTGAAAAATAACAACAAAAAAAGGCAAGAGATAACAGATAAGAAGTTTTAAAATTAGTTTAGAAGGCTTAAAAAATATATCTATAATATAAAACCAATCAAAAAACTCTCGTCTTTTCATGAAGAATATACAACATCGGTGTAGCGCAACACAATAATACAAAAAAACTATTTACATGTCTCAGTCCCGTCAACTCCTGAATAATTTGGTAAAAATAAAAATAATATAAAAATTTCCTATACGCGATCCTCAAAAGAAGATCAGAAATTTAAAAAAATCTTAAAAGTTAAAAAATTTTCAGACATCTTTGTCATATTACAATCAATAATTTTTAATAAAAAATAATTTAAATAAAACATTAGCAAGAAAAATACTAAAAACTTCATTTATACTTGAAATTATCATAAAAATGAGAACATTTCACTTGATTACTTTTACGCCATCACGTTGAGACTGTGATTTAAAAAAAAAAATCACCAAACAGAAGGTAACTTTATATGAAAATTTATGTTTATAATAAACATTTAATAACTAATCGAAAAAAAAAACAAAACTAAGCAACAAAATTTAAAGCAAAAATAAAATTAGAAAAATAAAAATTATAAAATGACCAAAGCATCAATCATTTTAAAAAAAAATTTGTAAAACACACACATTTATGCTGCAAAGCAGTTTTTTAAACTCATACAAAAATGTATATAAATTAACAATAAAAATAAGTTTTATCAATACAAAATTAGGATATCATCATATTCGTGGAAACAAAAAATACCAAGTCCTGATATTTTGTTTCTATTTTTCATAAATTATGATAAAAACCTCCACTGATATGCAACACTAAAAAATAAAATCAAAAAAAAAATCAAATTCCTAAAAATCTTTTACCCAGAACCAGATATTTTCACAATCAAGTCAAAAAATTTAACTCACTGAACAACTCATCAGAGATCAACCCTTTCAACATCCTAAAAACATTATTCATGAATCTGTGATTAAAATAAACCAGAATAAAACCATTTAAAGCATCTATCATATGAGACACTTAAGAACAGCAAGATAATGAATAACACAACTGTCGCCAGCATCTAAATCATCTAGGGATTTCATAAAGGAATTAAAACATAATTTACCTCTGTGTCATATTCATAACTTCAGTACCACTGATTACAACAACCAGTCATAATAACCAAAAAATTAATAATTAAATGTCTATAAAATTAACTCAATCCTGCAACTATCCCTATGCTTCAAAGTAAATTTTAAAAGAATTTACATAAAAATAAATTCCAATTTTAACTTAAAAAACAGTAAAAACCCGCCAAAAAGAATAACATGAGAACAGTAATTGTAGAAATAATAACGGTAGTGTATATAAGGATTAATGGGAATAAAGAATGCATAACTTTGCAAATAAATTATTAGCTTAAAAAACTTTGTTTGGAAAATAAAAACACCAAAAACAATAGTGAAAAGCCAAAAGTGAAATTACAATGCTTTCATTGTGGCATCACAATAAACTTCTAGATGTAAACTATCATGACAAAATAAATTAAATTAAAGTCAAAAAACATATAGTTGCAAAAAATAAGAAATAATTTCACAGGAATGACAAATAATAGAAGAAGCAAAATAAATTGAAATGATAAAATAGTCAAACAGTGCGATAAATTATCCTCATTATTTCTCAAAAATCTTTAAAACAATTGGAAACTTATCAATAGCGAACGTGAAAGTATGAACACCAAAAAGAATCATGAAAAAACAGTAGAAAAATAAAAAGCCAGCACAGCTCAAGGATTAAAGAAAGAAAACAATAAATGGCACTCAAAGACACCAGATTTTAAAAAACATTAAATTGGAAGTCTTGTGAGAAAAATTGCGAACTAAAAAGTTAATAATAAATTTTAAAAATCCTAAATTACCAAACGTACGCAGCTCTGTATGAAATAGATAAAAACAACCGAAACCAAGCAATAGATGATCGCTTGAAAAATCCCATACCTTTTCAAAAATTTTCAAAAAAACTTGAATAAACAAGCAAAACATGAAAATACCAAAAGATAAACCGAAAAAAAATAATAAGCAAAAGACAAAAACAAAAATCGGTATATACCCATTAACATATCAAAACAAAATCGGGGTAAGTTCTGCGATAAATATAATCAAACACACAATTAAATAAAACAAAAAATAAAAAACTCATGTCGAGAAGTCGGACAACCAAAGTGTGAAAATTATCATATTCCTTTAAAAGGAAAACAGCAAAACCCGCACTAGAATATTTGAGATTAAATCCATTAATTAACTCACTTCCATATCAGGAAAATCGAAGGTAGCGGGGTGTAAATCTAACAAAACCAAACAAACAAGTTAGAAAACAAAAAGAAACGTAAATTAATCTAAAGACAAACAAATCCCTTACTGAACAATAAAAAGTAAGTAATTAAACAGAAAATGAAATTTCACAAGAACAACTCTGAACACAATTACATATTTCACTATTAAAACCGCACTTGATATCAGTAAAAATACCTAGCAACATAGTAAAACAAACAAATACACCAACTGAACAGAATATAAAAATTTCAAAATACCGAAAAAAAAACAAAAAAGTAATGCAGTGAATCAAAAGAGAAACTGCCAAAATAAAACCAAAAATAAGTATAAACAAAAAAGACAATCAAGAAAAAAAACAAAACAAAAGCTCCTTTATCTTCGACAACTTAAAACTACGAAATAAAACTTGAAAAATACTGGAATACTCAACCTTATTGGGACCATATTGAGAACCACCCAAAAATGACACTTCAACGAAATCAAGAAAGTAGTAATCTGTAAAATAGGAAACAATCACAACTAAATTCAAATCTAATAAAAAATAAACAAAGTAGAATCCAAAGAATTTACAATTCTTTCTTCTATTAATAAATAATACTCCAAAAATAGAGACAACTTTCCTCACTTCTATAACACCAAAACTTATACTCCCTCTAGGTCACTGACAAATGGTTTTACCACTTTATTTATTGAATTCACTAAAATATTAAAATAAAATTACTTTTTCCCAGGTTAAAAAAAATAAAATAGAAAATCCAAAATATTAATAATATATACAAATGATAATACATTTAAATATATGTTTTTAATGCTAAAATATTACAAAATTACAAATTAGCATTAAAAACTAAACAATCAACAAAATTCATTTAAAAACAGGGCTCTCCAAATAAACCAAGGCAACCTAAAGTCAGTAATACTTTTTAGGTGAAATATAACTTCATCC